AATAGAGCCTACTGCTAAACAAAGGATATACAGTCCTGTCATGTGATAGAGTAAAGAGTAAGGTTTCGAATTAACCCCTCCTCCTTGGCTCAGGCCTTTCAGCGAGGCTTTAGGCCTCTTAAGTACTTAACAGTATACATTTACAATCTCTAAAGAATATCTGTAACCTTAATGACGAAATGATGGGAGCTCTTGTTTCCAAGGAGTTCAGTGGAGTTTCTGTATTTGTCAGAAGAGAGCAGCTCGCACCAAAACTTTCCGTCCATTCCTCTAGACGCGGCCATGTTCACAGAAAAACATGACGTATGACTGAGGCACTTAAATGCACAGTCAATGCTATCATCCACTGTGTATGATTCAATTCTGGGGACGTTCAGATAACGGAATTCTTCTCTCACAAACACATGCTGTCGAGCAGTTTGTGGGGGGCGGTAGATATCATGGCCACCTGGTTGAGGCAAAAGGTAGTATATGTCAGGCAAACTCTACCTTGAATAGCGCCAAAACTTGAAAATACTCTAACTCAAAGTTAGTTGAATCAATATCAAATACTCCTAACTAACATCTTCAAGAATTGCGTAATTAGATCTTGGGGATAACAGGATTAAAGTTGCAGAAACTTTTTTTTTTTAACGCAACCGATGCCACATTCAAAAAGTTCTGTAAAATACAATTACTTTACGCAGTCTTCTATCTAAATCGAGAAAGGCTACCATTCTTTATTTGTGATAAGAGAAAATAAACTCAGAAAATTACATCAAGTTGAAATAGAATGAGATAAACGAAAAGAGACCCATTTTTGACAAATCTTTACGTCGCGTCATCTACACAAGCAAATTTGGTCCGTTGAAAAACAAATTTTCTACGAGAAGTCTTTAACATAAAAAACTGGTATTAAGATGACTTTTTGTGCAGGATCAAGTTCTCATTTTTTCCTGATTCTGCCATAGCAAAGTTTTCAAAGAAAACATAGATTGGCGGCTCTTTTTTGTTTCACTTTGGGCTTGTGAATAATTTATGATTGGATAAATGAATGGTCCGTGAGTGGATGTGACTACTGTTTGTATAAAGAAGGGATGCAATTCAGTATACCTCGCTAATTTCAGTTGTGGATCGTGTGCTTACTTTCTCGGAAAAATCAATTGAAAGGGATTTTACAGACACTTCACAAGCTTCCACTTCCCCATCTATGAAATATATGTAGAGGATTTCGTCGTTATGGATTCAAAAGCTGGCCCTCTTACTTTATTATTTGTGGCCATGCAAATTATAATATTGATATTTTAACATATAAATTAGAATTATTTGAATGAAACATCACAGGGAATGCATACGTGATGATGATTATTTCAGCAAAGTATACAATATACAATGCAGGTGCTCCCAAAATATTGATTTTAAATCTGAGTGCTCGATCGTTTGGTGATGGTATAATTGATGATTGAGACTGGGTTCTTCGAATTTCACTACTTTGCGTGTAGATAAAATAAAGTAACTGTAAGATTTCAATTTTCCAATTATACCAATTGAAAATGTAGGGAAACGTGTAGGGGAAGAAAAAGAACCGCAGCTATATTTTAGATAGTTTAAACTGAGTTGCGAAATAATTTAAAACAGGCTAATGTTTAAATTCGAAAAATAATTCTCAAATGTCACTATAACAGAGTGAAACTCTCTATGCCTAAAGACAGAAGTTCTCTATGCATCGGGTTTAACTCAAACTACAGCATGAAAATTAGGCAGTATCTCCTATTCAAAATTAAAAACTTGCCTACTCGAAAACTGCATCGAGAAAGAAGCCATTCACTCTATTCTGAAAACGTCTGAGGCTCGATTGAGGTCAGAGGTTTGAGGTTCGCTTCCAAATTTTACATAACATGAATCTTCGGAGGATGCATGCTTAAGATCTTCGGGGGTCGTTTCGTGTCGACGTCTTCGACAGCAAGGAAGACTATCAAGACAGTTTTGATGAAACTTTAAAGGTAGAGAAATGTTTGAAATGATTGGTTCCGAGTAGATTATATTTTGTGAAGGAGTCTTAAAGTATATCAATTGGCTTCACACGAGAATAATGAGCAAAGTTAAGTAAGATAAAGTTGGCTCTTTCAAATTTATGGAAGCAGGTTATTCCCAATAACCATCTTACAAGCTTGCCTTGAAGATACCTTTTTTAAGGGACTCCGCACGCATGCTAACCTTGAGAACCAGCTGCCTCGAGGAGCAGAATAGGCCAGATAATTAAAAGCGAACAGAAGAAAACTAGAAGCATGGCTTAAGAGGATGTAAGTTCACAAGGGTACAAAAGTATTGAGTTAATGAAAAATCAAATCAAATTGTCTTAATATAAAACTACGACTTGTTCAAAGCTTAACAGCGAGACAGGCCCATGCTTGTATTTTATTTTATATGTAACCACAAACTGTTCGGCGTCTTACTTTAATTAATATTTTTTTTTTTAAGGGCACGGTAACGAATCCTGCAATCTGATTGGTTCTTTACCCGGTCAGTATTTTCCTATCTCTGCCCACGGGCCACAGTAACGCTTTTGTGAATCGCCGAGTACATCCAAAATTTCGTTGCCATTTTTCATAAATATAGCTGGTTTTTCCGGCTGGGCAGTATTTCTAAGCAAACACGTCGGTCACCACCTCAAGCCGATAAATAACTTATGAATCCTCTCTTTTCTCTCTCTCAAATCACTTTGGTTGATAGAAAAATGTTGGTTTCAGAATGAATTTGCAGCTGTATAAGCAATAGTGTCATTACGTTGGTTGACAAGCGGCTTAAAAACCGTCTGCAATTAATTTTAATCGTTCACAAAAAGTACCTAGAAAGTTAAAACGTGAGGTAATTGGTTTCAGTTAAACTGAACGATGGAACTTTCATTCATTTAATATCTGAATTTTCTCAAACAATTTGTTCGTAGTGAAAGAGCGAGCGAAGTTTTGAATTCAGTTCTACAACAAATATAAGCTCTCGGTGAGTCTTTCCGAGTCCGTTAAATTTGGACATTTGTACCGTAAATTGCACAACAGAAACTGAAGGAATTTATTGAGAAAAGGCCGCATTAAATCCCACTGTGTCTCGTTGGAGTGTGCCATTCGAATTTAGTTTTTGTGAAGGAAAGACTAGATTTACACACGCCATTGCAGCAAACAAACGGGCAAACTCTCACAACTTCAAAATAAAAAATTTGAATTTACTCACAATTACTTTCCTCGCTGTTTACTTAATGAGCAGAGGTAAATCTTCGTACATGAATGAATCGTCCATGAGAGTGAAAAATACTTTCCGTTAGATCAATACATGTTTTTGAAGAAACATTGTGATACTTGTAAAAATAATGTTTCAAAGTTTGTTTGGAAGCCTTTTAAATCACCTTTATCCTTAGGCAAATGAAAATGTTTCGGTGAGGCACCTCTCTCTAATTTGCATCACCTCTATTTTAAGTATCATTTACTCGCTCAAGAATTGTTTACTTTATGGACGATCTTGCCGTATTTACAGCCCTAAATCATTCGGGTTCTTTCGGAAAGAATTTCGTCAAGTTTAAAAAAATATATATGTTATTTACCGGCTAAGGGTCGGTCCGTGTGATAAAAAACTGTGACCTCGGTCTTGAAAGACCTCGATCACAGTTTTTCATCATACGGACCTCCCAGCCGGCAAATAACATATATTCATTACAGAATAGATAGCGAGAAGCGTAGCTAATCGTATTGCAGCAAATATACTTGAACGCAACTAGATTTATGCTAAATTCACATATATCTTGGTAAAGTGCCTAAATTTTCACCCTCTTTTAAGTTATAAAATCTTCCATATCGAATCAGAGGCATCCCATTTGTAGAATTTGAGAAATGAACCGTTGATTTCAAACAAAGTTTGAAAGAAGAGTATCTCTACGGTTAAAGCCTGAGAAAATGCTCTTAAATTAAACGGAAAAAAGGTAAAACAATGAATGGAGATAAGAAGTTTTTAAATTGAACTACCGTGTAATCTTCATCACTGCTGGCTTTGTTAAAACCTAAACCTAACGCTCACTGTTGAAGGTCTATCGATCTAAATAATGAAAGGTGAAAAATGAATTATTGATTGAATAAAAAAGCATTTTTTTACATAGTTAATTTTTTAAATTCGTTAACTTATGTGTTGCGGCGGGGATCATTTGAAAAATGTAGCTGATCGTCAACTATAACCAGGTTAATTAAAAGTATGTGAAGTGTAGCGGCAAATTTTGTCGAAACACTGAAGTTTTGAGCCAAGTCATTCATCTATGCTTCGAGAACCAAGCCTAGAAAAGTCAACATTTTCAAAATTTCTCACGTTGGTAGTCTACATTTTCACTAACCTTCTGCCTTGAGGATCAGTTCAGACCAGATAAATAAAACAGAATAAAAAGAAGAAACATTCGCGGCGATGGCCCGTGAATCAACCATCGAGGTTTTTTAGGCGAAAATATCTAAAACCGCCGTTTCTCCCTCAAAACAAACTGACTCTGTTGTCGTTAAAACATCTCCTTAATCTCGTTGATTTTTATTGACTGACCAATCCAGCTAGATTATCCTATGGCAGGTGCTAACTACGTTTCCATATATGCCAACTCTCCCGGATTATCCGGAAGTCTCCCGGATACAGAGGTAATCTCCCCCTCTCGCGTACCAAAAACCACCATATAAAAGGAAGTTTGGATCAGTTGCCCAGAAAAAAACTAAGATTTATGCTCCATATGTTTCAAAATTCCGAAATCATCTGGCTTCATATGCTTGTATTACGGTTTCTGGCTTCATTTTCTTGCATGATGCATGTTGTTCGTTGCAAACAAATAGAAGAGAGTTTCTTCTTTGTTATCCCTATATAAGCGAGAGTCTGATTGGATGAGTATTCAACCACTTGAAGTCCCTGATAGATAGATCCACGTTTTTCCCACGAAATTGCTTGGGGGGAAAGGGGTGGGGAATGGTACTGGCAAACTCGGTCGGGGAGGGGGGGTGCTGGTTCGAAAAAAATCTCCAGATTTGAGATCGCTAGAGGTTGACATCTCTGCGATTTGATAATTTTACAAACGAACCCAGTGATTAAAGATTACTATTTCAGTTTGAATGTATCTAAATGCAAATGTATCAACTCGAAAAACAGGCCCATATCACACGATTTTTAAAAAGCGATGGGCATTTCACGCAGAGGAAGATGAAGCAAATGTTTTTTCTTGCTTGAAAATGTTGTTTCAGCTTTCGAAGTGTAAATAGCAAAGAATGCATTTATCAACGAAAAAATTAACGAAGAGTAGAAGACAGATGGGACAGTAACTGGCGAAATATTCTTCAAGATGTCGCCTAAAATTGTTCGGCGCGTGAACCTTAGAATTACACAGCTTTAATGCATTCTGGTTATGCAGCCTTTACCTTCAGGGTACCGGTCGGGATAAATCGTCATCCACTGAATACGGATTTAATCCTTTACACCCTAACATCAGTATCCATAGTCTCTATACTCTTCTCTATACATTTCCTTTAGTACTGACGAGGAGAATTTGTTTAACAATCAAAGCTTCTTTGGTTGGCGATCATTTCCTTTATTCTTATGATCTTAATGAATGATTCAGCAGTATTACTGTAAGGAGAAATTAGATGCTGGTCATTCTCAGGGTTTAGAGAGTTAAACCCATTCTATGTATAAAACTTTTCGCCAGCTACAGCTATTTCCGATAGCCTACGTTATCGATATGTTTGGACGCGAGCCAAAAACTGGGTCTAGTGAATAAAGTCAACGGTGAATGGTAAACTTCCCAGCTGGGAAAAATATATCTCTTTTTGTTTTCTTTCGTTTCGATTTTGCTTTGTTTATTTGCGTTTTTTCTCTTACAAACACACATGGCATAAGAAAAGCTGTACAAAGCTTTCGCGAGCATCATATTGGAGCTGTTTTAAAATTCATTTAAACGCACATCGTCACTGAACCAAGATGTAGCACATGGCTCTAATGGAAGAAAGATCACCGCACGCTCTGTTGTCAACACCAAACCCTATTGCAGAATCACATGTACGGCAGTCGTTTTCGTTGTTCCCAAGGATTCCGACTCTTGCTCTGCGATGGATGGTCTGGGTATCGAATCCTTCCTTGTTGCAGTTGGGTTGAAGAGAAGCCTTTGAATCAGTGAGCGCTATCCACTTGTTCCGACCCAGTGAAGTGGACCGATACTGGCCATCAGCGATCAAAGAGTGAAGAGAGGAAGCCTGGCTGTTGATAACGGTGAACCTCAACTGTCCGTTAACCTTCATACCGAGACAGACCTTGGAAAAGGGTGTGTTCCAGTAGGTCGGTAGCTTAGTCTCTTGTGAATCGAAACTAGTCGTTCCACCAGACGGGTTGAATTCGCTTTTGTCAGTCCAGTATCCCGAACTGAATAGAAAAGTGTTCTGCGAAATAATTGTATTACAGTAAATAATCAATCCGACGCAAAGAGAAGCATCGAAAGAAGTAAGCAAGAAAATTGTGCATTGTGATTCAGAATCTATTAAAATTACGCGCCTCGCACGATTTCCCGTTTGAAACCGCCTCTTTCTTTATTTTGAGCGGGAAACGGAAGAGTGGAAGGATATTTGACCTGACCTGTGCCGCATCTGCGCAATGTTACATACTTCGCCATAATTCTTCGTCGCGAAAACCAAAACATTTTGGCTGTGGCACGAAGCTCGACCCAGACTTGTTCGAGATAAATGAAGTGAAACATTTGTGGTTAGAAATACATGAATTCTGTACAACAAATTAGTGAATGATGTATTTTTATGCAGACCCTTTGAAGGAACATTTCACAACAAAAGGTAACAACCTACCTTGTTGCCATCAATCTTCATAACTGGTGTCCATCCACCATCTCCACATCCAAAATCTCCCATTTGACAGAGAACGGAAGTTGTTTTCGCGCCAAAGTGTAGGGTAACCAACTCGCTGGCGTTCGACCTGTTCGGGGAACCAGATCAGTCTTAACAACTACATTGATTTTTATTTCTCCAAAATTTATTAGATTCAATAATTCTTTAGTTGATGTTAAGTTTTACAGATGAAAAATGACAAGAATAAGCCCTGAATATTTCATTGAATGAAATTAACCTGGAAACTGAAAGGAGAAGATGATTTCTGACGTTAACTCAACAGATAACCCTTTTTTTAAATTCTTAATTTGCCCTTTTAGTGTCTAAAGAAAGAATTTAACTTTATCACCGAATGCATCCCAATCTAAAGTTAAAGATTGAATTAAATATCGAGTTTTTCCCTCTTCATTCATATGAAACAAGTTTCAAACCTACTTGTATGAATTGTACGCATCTTTACAGGACTTGAAGCCTAAGTATGAATTAAAGAATTGCGTGTTACAAATGATGTCTCCGGTATGCAGCAAATGTAGGAGTTTTCTTTAAATCTTCAACTCTTATTCGCCTGACACCGTTGAAGTAATTAACAATTATTAACTGAAGTGATGGTGAATATCCATTCCTTACAGGGGATGTTCAGTGCTGCATCAAACGAGTTCGTCAGAGGAAGCCTTTGATAAATTTCAGTTGGGAAAGAGGTCAATTGTAGGACCGACGCAATGATCACTCAGTTGGCTATGTTGTCGTTAATATACTAAAAGCAAACTGCTCTTGGGGCAAGGCAATCCCTGGATAGAGAGTCAAATTTTATGCAAATAAATGCTAATCCAACCTGGCAATTGCAAGTAACGTCTAACCTTTCTCGCAGAATTCTCCAATGAAGCCTTTCTTGCAGAGGCATTCAAAGATGCCATTTTTGTAACTTGGTACACAGGTCCCTTCATTTTTGCATGGCGAGGAAGAACAGGGAGACTGAGGAGAAGAAAAACCATTTAATAGTTGAGCAATGATAACATATGGGTCTGTTTGAAATAAAATTTCACTCATAATAGAGCCTACTGCTAAACAAAGGATATACAGTCCTGTCATGCGATAGATAAAGATAACCCCCCTCCCCTCCCTCCCTTGTTGGCTCAGGCCTTACAGCGAAGTTTTGGGCCTCTTAAGTACTTAACAGTACACATTTACAATCTCTAAAGAATATCTGTAACCTTAATGACGAAATGATGGGAGCTCTTGTTTCCAAGGAGTTCAGTGGAGTTTCTGTATTTGTCAGAAGGGAGCAGCTCGCACCAAAACTTTCCGTCCATTCCTCTAGACGCGGCCAGGTTCACAGAAAAACATGACGTATGACTGAGGCACTTAAATACACAGTCAATGCTATTATCAACTGTGTAGGAACCAATTCTGGGAACGTTCAAATAACGGAATTCTTCTCTCACAAACACATGCTGTCGAACACTTTGCGGGGGACGGTAAATATTATGGCCACCTGGTTGAGACAAAACGTAGTATATATCAAGCAAACTCTACATAAGCAAATTTGGTGCGTTGAAAAAAAAGTTCTACGAAAAAAGTCTTTACCTTAAGAAAACTGGTATTACGATGACTTTTTGTGCAGCTTCTGCCATAACAAAGTTTTCATAGAAAACATAGATAAACGGCTCTTTTTTATTTCACTTTGGGCTTGTGAATAATTTATGATTGGATAAATGAATGGTCCGTGAGTGGATGTGACTACTGTTTATATAAAGAAGGGATACAATTCAGTATAACTCGCTAATTTGTGGATTGTGTGCTTACTTTCTCGGAAAATCAATTACATGAGAGGGATTTTACGGACAGTTGACAAGCTTCCACTTCCCCATCTATGAAATATATGTAGGGGATTTCGTCGTTATGGATTCAAAAGCTGGCTCTTTTACTTTATTTTTTGTGGCCATGCAAATTATAATATTAATGTTTTAACATGTTTTGATAAATTGTCAACAAACTAGCTTTTCAGTAAATTAGAATTATTTGGATCTTTGTCACGTTTAATATAGTAATTGCATTATCATTTTTTAACGGGCCGACAAATCATCTTTAAGATGCGCCATTTTAAGAATGAAGACAGGGAGACTAGTTTTAATCATCCTGGACGCTTGTTACGTGATTTTCAGCATCATTTAAATGTGAGACATCACAGGGAATGCATACGTAATGATGATTATTTTAGCAAAGTATACAATATACAATGCAGGTGCTCCCAAAATATTGATTTTAAGTCTGAGTGCTTGTTTGTTGATGGTATAATTGATGATTGAGATTGGGGTCTTCGAATTACTCCTTCGCGTGTAGAGAAAATAAAGTAACTGTAAGATTTCAATTTTCCAATCATACCGATTGGAAATGTAGATAAACGTGTAGGGAAAAAAAAGACCCGCAGCTATATTTTAGATAGTTTAAACTGAGTTGCGAAATAATTTAAAACAGGCTAATGTTCAAATTCGTGAATAATTCACAAATGTCACCATGACAGAGTGAAACTCTTTATGCTTAAAGACAGAAGTTCTCTTTGCATAGGGTTTAACTCAAAATACAGCATGAAAATTAGGCAATATGTCCTATTCAAAATTAAAAATTTCCGAGTACTTATAATTTGTGAAAGAGTCTAAAAGTATATTAATTAGCTTTACACAAGAATAATGAGCAAAGTTAAGTAAGATAAAGTTGGCTCTTTCAAATTTATGGAAGCAGGTTATTCCCAATTACTATCTTACAAGCTTGCCTTAAAGATACCTTTTTCAAGGGACTCTGCACACTAACCTTGAGAAGCAGCTGCCTCGAGGAGCAGATTAGGCCAGATAATGAAAAGCAAAAAAATAAAAACTAGAAACATGGCTTAATAGGATGTAAGTCCACGAAGGCGCAATAGTATTGAATAATAAAAAACGAACTGATACTGAAACTAGATAAAGCTGTTGCGTGCCGATTTCAACCGACCAATCAGATAACTTTTAAGACGGCAGCTGCTGCGCACATTTGTTCCGTATATATCATAAGTTGATATGTTATGGGGGGTCTATTAAACTTTAATGTTTGCTTAAAATTTCTCATAACTTGTTAAACAGATAGAGGAAAGTGTTTTGGTGAAGTACTTTGATAACGTTACTGACCGAGTAAACAACCAGGATCATCCTCAAAATCCTACACAAAGTTTCGTCCTTACCTGGTCTACAAATCATTGGTTGATGCCAATCTCTTTTCTCACGCGCGAGTCCTTTTCATATCGTCGCCTTGAGTTTTTATTTGCTCCTTTCCATATTTGATCGAATAATTTTTTAAATACATAGTATCATAGCTACCAGAAACATAAGTTCCTGCTAAAAAATTAGATTATGAGAATGAGATTTCTATCGAGCATAAGAATAGGTAAGGGAGCGGCCCGAATAAGGTATCACGTGTAATAACAATAGTAATGATTATAATAAAAGTAATAATAATAATTATTACAATAGCAGTTATAATAACAATAATAATGATAATGGTTTACTCAATGGAGCCCACGAGATGGCTCTTCATCGATCAAAACTATCCAGATTCTTACAGTTCGCATAAACCAAAATGAATTGAAACTGATGGCAATTGAAAAATGAAATGAAATAAATAAAACCAAGGTGTCGATGACGCGTGAAAACGCCTTTAAAAACATTAGTAAATAATAATCTAATTATCTTCATTTAAAACTACTACTTGTTCAAAGCTTAACAGCGAGACAGGCCCATGCTTGTATTTAATTTTATATGTAACCACAAACTGTTCGGCTTCTTACTTAGATTACTATGTATTACAGAATAGATAGCGAGAAGCGTAGCCAATCATATTGCAGCAATTATACTTGAACGCTACTAGATTTATGCTAAATTCACATATACCTTGGTAAACACTGAGCGCCTAAATTTTCACTCTCTTTTAAGTTATAAAATCTTCCATATTGAATCAGAGGCATCCCATTCGTAGAATTTGAGAAATGAATCGCTGATTTCAAGCAAAGTTTGAAAGAAGAGTATTTCAACGGTTAAAGCCTGGGAAAGTGCGCTTAAATTAAACGGGAAAAAGGTAAAACAATGTAATGGAGGTAAGAAGTTTTTGACTTGAACTACCGTGTAATTTTCATCACTGCTGGCTTTGTTAAAACCTAAACATAACGCTCACAGTTGAAGGTCTATGGATGTAAATGATGAAAGGTGAAAGATGAATTATTGATTGACTTAAAACTGCAGCTAAAATGAATCATTGATTGAATAAAAAAGCATTTTTTACATAATTAATTTTTTAAATTCGTTAACTTATGTGTTGCGTCAGAGATCATTTGAAAAATGTAGCGGATCGTCTATCATAACCAGGTTAATTAAAAGTATATGAAGTGTAGCGGCAAATTTTATCGAAACACTGACGTTTGGAGCCAAGCCATTCATCTATGCTTCGAGAACCAAGCCTCGAAAAGTCAGCGTTTTCAAATTTCTTGGTAGTCTACATTTTCACTAACCTTCTGCCTTGAGGATCAGTTCAGGCCAGATAAATATAACAGAATAAAAAAGAGAAACATTCGCGGCGATGTCCCGTGAACCGACCATCGAGGTTTTTTAGGCGAAAATATCTAAAACTGTCGTTTCTCCCTCAAAACAAACTGACTCTGCTGTTGTTAAAACATCTCTTTAATCTCGTTGATTTTTATTGATTGATCAATCCGGCTAGATTATCCTACGGCAGGTGCTAACTACGTTTTTATATATGCCAATTCTCCCGGGTGACCAAAAACCACCAGATAAAAGGAAGTTTGGATCAGTTGCCCACAAAAAAAATAAGATTTAAGCTCCATATGTTCCAAAATTCCAAAATCATCTGGCTTCTTATGCTTGTATTACGGTTTCTGGCTTCATTTTCTTGCGTGATGCAAGTTGTTAGTTGCAAACAAATAGAAGAGAGTTTCTTCTTTCTTACCCCTATATAAGCGAGAATCTGATTGGATGAGTATTCAACCACTTGAAGTCCCTGTAGATAGATCCGCGTTTTTCCCGCGAAATTACTCGGTGGGAGTATACGGGTCGTATTGGCAAACTCGATTGGGGGGGGGGCCGCTGGTCCGAAAAAAAAATCTCCAGATTTGAGATGTTCAGAGGTTGGCATCTCTGCGATTTGATAATTTTACAAACAAACCCAGTGATTAAAGATTACTATTTCATTTCGAATGTATCTAAATGCAAATGTATCAACTCGAAAAACAGGCCCATATCAAACGATTTTTAAGAAAGCGATGGGCATTTCACGCAGAGGAGGATGAAGGAAATGTTTTCTTGCTTGAAAATGTTGTTTCATCTTTCGAACTGTAAATAACAAAGAATGTATTTATCAATGAAAAAATTAATGAAGAGTAGAACCCAGATGGGACAGTAACTGGCGAAATATTATTCAAGATGTCGCCTAAAATTATATGGCGCGTAAACCTAAGAATTACGCAGCTTTAATGCATTCTGGTTATACAGCCTTTACCTTTAGGGTACCGGTCGGGATAAATCGTCATCCACTGAATACGGATTTAATCCTTTACACCCTAACATTAGTATCCATAGTCTCTATACATTTCCTTTAGTATTGACAAGGAGAATTTGTTTAACAATCAAAGCTTCTTTGGTTGGCGATCATTTCCTTTATTCTTATGATCTTACTGAATGATTCAGCTTTATGACTGTAAGGAGAAATTAGATGCTGGTCATTCTCAGGGTTTAAAGAGTTAAACCCATTCTATATATAAAACTTTTTGCCAGCTACAGTTCTTTCCGATAGCCTACGTTATCGATATGTTTGGACGCGAGCCAAAAACTGGTTCCAGTGAATAAAGTCAACAGTGAATGGCAAACTTTCCTCGTACATTATATTAAAACGGCTCGGGATAAATATCTCTCTTTTTGTTTTCTTTCGTTTCCATTTTGCTTTGTTTATTTGCATTTTTTCACTTACAAACACACATGGCATAAGAAAAGCTGTACAAAGCTTTCGCGAGCATCATACATTCTGGTTTGCGAGACTCGGATGATAGGTGCTTAATCGCAGTGTTCTCAAGGCGTTCATATACACAACAAATTTTATAATCCTGCGTTTTTACACACTGTTCTTAGATGACTTCATCTTATCTATTTTGGTGCTGTTTTAAAATTTATTTAAACGCAGATCATCACTGAACCAAGATGTAGCACATGGCTCTAATGGAAGAACGATCACCGCAAGCTGTGGTGTCAACACCAAACCCTATTACAGAATCACATGTACGGCAGTCGTTTTCGTTGTTCCCAAGGATTCCAACTCTTGCTTTGCGATTGGCCTTGGTATTGAATCCTTCCTGGTTGCAGTTAGGCTGAAGTCTAGCCCTTGAATCAGTCAGCGCTATCCACTTGTACCGACCCAGTGAAGTAGGCCGATACTGACCATCAGCAATCAGAGAGTGAAGAGAGGAAGCCTGGCTGTTGATAACGGTGAACCTCAATTGTCCGTTAACCTTCATACCGAGGCAGACCTTGGAAAAGGGTGTGTTCCAGTACGTCTGTAATTTGGTCTCTTGTGAATCGAAGCCAGTCGTTGCACCAGACGGGTTGTATTCGCTTTTGTCAGTCCAGTATCCTGAACTGAACAGAAAAGTGTTCTGCGATATAATTGCATAAGAGTAAATAATCCATCTCATACAAAGATAAGCATCAAAAATAGCAAGCATGAACATTGTGTATTGTGATTCAGAATCGATTGCGCCTGTCAAAATTTCCCGTTTAAACCGCCTCTTTTTTTATTTTTAGGGGGAAAAGAAAGAAAAGTAGAAGAATATTTGACCTGACCTGCAACGCATCTGCGCAATATTACATACTCCGCTATGATTCTTCGTCGCGAAAACCAAAATATTTTGCTGTGGAACGAAGCTCGAGTCAGGCTTTAAAAGTTAGGGGTATGAGAAAAAGTACAAGCGTTTGTTCGAGATAAATAAGTGAGACATCTGTGGTTAGAGATACTTGAATTCTATACTTCATATTATGTATTTTGATGATGTATTTTGGTGATGTATTTATCTGCAGATCCTTTGAAGGAAAATTTTCAAAACAAAAGGTAACAACCTACCTTGTTGCCATCAATCTTCATAACTGGTGTCCATCCACCATCTCCACATCCAAAATCTCCCATTTGACAGAGAACGGAAGTTGTATTCGAGCCAAAGTGTAAGGTAACCAACTCGCTGGCGTTCGACCTGTTCGGGGAACCCGATCAGTTTTAACAATTACATTAATTTTTATTACTCTAAAATCTATTAATCCAATAATTCTTTAATTGATGTTAAGTTTCACGAATTAAAAATGACAAGATTAAACCCTGAATATTTCGTTGAATGAAATTAGTTTGGAAACTGATAGGAGAAGATTACTTCTGATGTAAACTCAACAGATAAGCCTTTTTTTAAATTCTTAATTCGCCCTTTTAGTGTCTAAAGAGAGAATTTAACTTTATCACCGAATGCATCTCAATCTAAAGTTAAAGATTGAATTAAATATCGAGTTTTTCCCTCTTCATTCATATAAAACAAGTTTCAAACTTACTTGTATGAATTGTACGCATCTTTACAGGACTTGAAGTCTAAGTATGAATTAAAGAATTGCGTGTTACAAATGATGTCTCCGGCATGCAGCAAGGGTAGAAGTTTTCTTTAAATCCTCAACTCTTATTCGCCTGACACCGTTGAAGTAATTAACAATTATCAACTGAAGTGATAGTGAATATCCATTCCCTACAGGGGATGTACAGTGCTGCATCAAACGGGTTCGTCAGAGGAAGCCTTTGATAAATTTCAGTTAGGAAAGAGGTCAATTGTAGGACCAACGCAATGATCACTCAGTTGGCTACGTTGTCGTTAATATACTAAAAGCAAACTGCTCTTGGGGCAAGGCAATCCCTGGATAGAGAGCCAAATTTTACGCAAATAAATGCTAATCCAACCTGGCAATTGCAAGTAACATCTAACCTTTCTCGCAGAATTCTCCAATGAAGCCTTTCTTGCAGAGGCATTCAAAGATGCCATTTTTGTCACTTGGTACACAGATCCCTCCATTTTTGCATGGCGAGGAAGAACAGGGAGACTGAGGAGAAGAAGAAACACTTAATAGTTGAACAATGATAACACGAGGGTCTGTTTTAAATAAAATTTCACTTATAATAGAGCCTACTGCTAAACAAAGGATATACAGTCCTGTCATGCGATAGAGTAAAGAGTAAGGTTTCAAATTACCCTCCCCTCGTTAGCTCAGGCCTTACAGCGAGGCTTTAGGCCTCTTAAGTACATAACAGTACACATTTACAATCCCTAAAGAATATCTGTAACCTTAATGACGAAATGATGGGAGCTCTTGTTTCCAAGGAGTTCAGTGGAGTTTCTGTATTTGTCAGAAGAGAGAAGCTCGCACCAAAACTTTCCTTCGATTCCTCTAGACGCGGCCAGGTTCACAGAAAAACATGACGTATGACTAAGGCAATTAAATGCACAGTCAATGCTATCATCCAATGTGTAGAATCCAATTCTGGAGACGTTCAAATAACGGAATTCTTCTCTCACAAACACATGCTGTCGAACAGTTTGTGGGGGGCGGTAGATATCATGACCACCTGGTTGAGGCAAAAGGTAGCACATGTCAGGCAAACTCTACATAAGCAAATTTGGTCCGTTGAAAAAAAATTTCTACGAAAAAAGTCTTTACCTTAAAAAACTGGTATCAAGATGACTTTTTGTGCAAGATCAAGATCTAACTTTTTTCCTGGTTCTGCCATAGCAAAGTTTTCATAGATTAACGGCTCTTTTTTGTTTCACTTTGGGCTTGTGAATAATTTATGATTGGATAAATGAATGATCCGTGAGTGGATGTGACTACTGTTTATATAAAGAAGGGATGCAATTTAGTATAACTCGCTAATTTGTGGATCGTGTACTTAATTTCTCGGAAAAATCTATGAATCTATGAAATATATGTAGGGGATTTTGTCGTTATGGATTCAAAAGATGGCCCTTTTACTTTATTTTTTGTGGCCATGCAAATTATAATCTTAATATTTTATTATGTTTTGATAAATTGTCAACAAACTAGCTTTTCAGTAAATTAGAATTATTTGGATCTTTGTCACGTTTAATGTAGTAATTGCATTGTCATTTTTTAACGGGTTGACAAATCATTTTTAAGCTGCGCCATTTTAAGAATGAAGACATGGAGAGTAGTTTTAATCATCCTGGACGCTTGTTATGTGATTTTCAGCATCATTTAAATGTGAGACATCACAGGGAATGCATACGTGATGATGATTATTTCAGCAAAGTATACAATATACAATGCAGGTGCTCCCAAAATATTGCTTTTAATTCTGAGTGCTCGTTTGCCGATGGTATAATTGATGATTGAGATTGGGGTCTTCGAATTTCACTACTTCGCGTATAGACAAAATAAAGTAACTGTAAGACTTCAATTTTCCAATCATACCGATTGAAAATGTAGGGAAACGTGTAGGGGAAAAAAGGCCCGCAGCTTTATTTTAGATAGTTTAAACTGAGTTGCGAAATAATTTAAAACAGGTTAATGTTCAAATTCGTGAATAATTCACAAATGTCGCTACGACAGAGTGAAACTCTTTATGCCTAAAGACAGAAGTTCTCTATGCATAGGGTTTAACTCAAACTACAGCATGAAAATTAGGCAGTATGTGGTATTCAAAATAAAAAAATTGCCTACTCGGAAACTGCATCGAGAAAGAAACCATTCATTCTATTCTGAAAACGTCTGAGGCTCGATTGAGGTCAGAGGTTTGAGGTTCGCTTCCTTGGTCATGGGGACTCAGAATTTTTTCTTTGTCCTACGCTCGTGACAAGACGAAAAGACATCTTTCTCTATTTCTTTACCGAGCTCAAAACTTACCATCTCACGTATTCTATTTCAAAACAGTTTATATTTTACATAACAGGGATCTTCGGAGGATGCATGGTCAAGATCCTCTGGGGTCATTTCGTGTTGACGTCTTTGACAGCAGGGAAGACTATCGAGACAATTTTGATGAAACTTTTAAGGTAGAGAAATGATTCAAATGATTGGTTCCGAGTAGATTATACTTTTTGAAGGAGTCTAAAAGTATATTAATTAGCTTCACACAAGAATAATGGACAAAGTTAAGCGAGATAAAGTCGGCTCTTTCAAATTTATGGAAGCAGGTTATTCCCAATTACTATCTTACAAGCTTGCCTTAAAGATACCTTTTTCAAGGGACTCCGCATACTAACCTTGAGAAGCAGCTGCCTCGAGGAGCAGATTAGGCCAGATAATTGAAAGCGAACAAATGAAAACTAAAAACATGGCTTGTAAGTCCACAAGGGCACAAAAGTATTGAGTTGCTTAGGGTTAGCAAAAAAAACCAACTGTTATTGGAAGTAAGATAAAGCTCTTGCGTGTTGATTTCTACTGACCAATCAGATAACTTTTAGGACGGCAGCTGCTGCGCACATTTCTTCTGTATATATCATAAGTTGATATGTTACGTGAGGTCTGTTAAACTCTAATGATTGTTGTTTCCACTTTAATTACTGTTGAAGTAAACCTTCGATAACGTTATTAACCCAGTAAACAACTAGGATCATCCGAAAATTCCTACACAAGGTTTTGTCCTTACTTGGTCTTCAAATCATTGGTTGATGCCAATCACTTTTCTCGCGCGCGAGTACTTTTTCCATCGTCGCCTTGGGTTTTTATTTGCTCCTTTCCATATTTGATCGAATAATTTTTTAAATACAGTACCATAGCTACCAGAAACATAAGCTTCTGCTAAACAATTAGATTACGAGACCGAGATTTCTATCGAGCATAACAACTGGTAAGGGAGAGGCCCGAATAAGGTATCACATGTAATAACGATAATAATGATAATAATAAAAGTAATAATAATAATTATTAAAATAGTAGTAATAATAAAAATAATAATAATGATAATGGTTTACTCAATGGAGCCCACGATATGGCTCTTCACCTATCAAAACTATCTAGACTCTTACAGTTACGTGAAATAAAATGAATTGAAACTGGTAGCAATTGCAAAACGAAATTAAGTAAATGAAAATAGGGTGTCCATAACGCGTCAAAACGCCTTTAAAAATATTAGTAAATAATAATCTAATATAATTGTAAAGTAAATTCGGCGTCTTACTTAGATAGCGTGAAGCGTAGCCAATCATATTGTTACAATTATACTTGAACGCTACTAGATTTATGCTAAATTCACATATACCTTGGTAAACACTGAGCGCCTAAATTTTCACCCTCTTTTAAGTTATAAAATCTTCCATATCGAATCAGAGGCATCCCATTCGTAGAATTTGAGAAATGAACCGTTGATTTCAAACAAAGTTTGAAAGAAGAGTATCTCGACGGTTAAAGCCCGAGAAAATGCTCTTAAATTAAACGGAAAAAAGGTAAAACAATGAAATGGAGGTAAGAAGTTTTTGACTTGAACTACCGTGTAATTTTCATCACTGCTGGCAAAAGTAATGCTCACAGTTGAAGGTCTATCGATCTAATTGATGGAAAGTGAAAAATGAATTATTGATTGACTTCAAACTGCAGCTAAAATGAATCATCGATTGAATAAAATAGCATTTTTTTATACAGTTAATTTTTTAAATTCGTTAACTTATGTGTTGCGTCGGGGGTCATTTGAAAAATATAGCGGATCGTCAATTATAACCAGGTTAATTAAAAGTATATGAAGTGCAGCGGCAAATTTTGCCGAAGCATTGACGTTTTCACTAACCTTCTGCCTTGAGGATCAGTTCAGACCAGATAATAAAAACAGAACAAAAAAGAGAAACATTCACAGCGCTGGCCCGTGAATCGACCATCGAGGTTTTTTAGACGAAAATATTTGAAACCGCTGTTTCTCCCTCAAAACAAACTGACTCTGTTGTCGTTAAAACATCTCCTTAATCTCACTGATTTTTATTGACTGTCCAATCCAGGTAGATTATTCTACGGCAGGTGCTAACTTCGTTTTCATATATGCCAACTCTCTCGGATTATCCGGGATTCTCCCGGATACAGAGGCAATCTCCCGCTTTCCCGTACGGGTGACCAAAATCCCGGCTAAGAAGAAGTTTGGATCAGTTGCCCAGAAAAAAACTAAACACATGTTCCAAAATTCCAAAATCATCTGGCTTCTTATGCTTGTATTACGGTTTCTGGCTTCATTTTCTTGCGTGATGCATGTTGTTCGTTGCAAACAAAAAGAACAGAGTTTCTTCTTTGTTACTCCTATATAAGCGAGAATCTGATTGGATGAGTATTCAACAAATAGAAGTCCCTGATAGATAGATCGGCGTTTTTCCCGCGAAATTGCTCGGTTGGAGGTAGGGGGTCCATTTCGAAAGAGAAATGTTGGGGGGGGAGGGGAGTCGCATTGGCGAATTTGGTGGGGGGCCCCCGCTGGTCCGAAAAAAAATCTCCAGATTTGAAATCTGCGGAGGTTGGTATCTCTGTGTTTCGATAATTCTAACAAACAATACCAGTGATTAAAGATTACTATTTCATTTTGAATGTATCTAAATGCAAATGTGTCAACTCGAAAAACACGCCCATATCAAACGATTGTTAAAAATCGATGGGCATTTCACGCAGAAGAAGATGAACCGAATGTTTTAGATCAAGATATCTCTCGAAGGACTAAACCGCATCATGTTGACGCCATGGCTTTACAGCTTGTAGGAAATAGGAGAATTCTGGGCCTATGATTTTTCTGTCATGTAAATTTGGAGAAATTGGAAGAAGAGACTGGAAGGTTTTTTGGTTGTGTCCTCGTGTACCGGTACACAAAGGAACGAAACATTAACGAACTGCGTCACAACTCCATGTATGGATATGAAAACAATAGGAATTCCCACGTGTACCGGTACACCAGGACAGCCCCGGTTTTTTTGTCCGCTTTGTAGTCTTCAAAAATCCTCAGTTCAGCCGGTACACGAGTCAGCAGTAACTCTTATTAGCATATGCCATGTCATGTAAGGATAACACGTTTTGCTTTCAAGTCCTTCTAAAGTCTTTTCGTTTGCAAAATGCCCTTCGTTTTGAAGACACGAACTCTTGCAGCCCCTCTTACCAAGCAATTACAATGGGGAAGACTGTTATTCGCTGCATATCTTCACAGCAAAGCGGACACGGAAGGAGATAACATCCAATTATTCAATAACACTTACTCTCGAGACGCCATGACTAACATCACTCCGAGCATTTTGTCCAAAGTCGGACGAAACCTGCACCTTTGTAAAAATCACCCACTAAGCATTTTAAGAGAACGAATCCAGGAACATGTTTATGCGGACTACAGAACTCGCTGGGGCGGCCCCATGTTTACAATGGTGGATAATTTGTCTCCCGTTGTCACGGTGGAACAGAACTTTGATAGTTTGCTTGTTCCAAAAGATCACGTTAGTCGAACGAAGAATGATAACTACTACATAAACGCTGAGCACTTGCTTCGCGCTCACACCTCTGCGCATCAAAGAGACTTGATTAAAACTGGACTGGATGCTTTTCTTGTTACGGGTGATGTTTACAGGCGGGATGAAATCGACATGTGTCATTACCCTGTTTTTCATCAGATGGAAGGTGTCAGGTTGTTTTCACAGCACGAGCTGTTTTCACAATATGAGGTGAATATCTCTTCCTTTTCCAAACCATTTGAGGGGGAAGGAGTGGGCTTTTTTCTTTTTCCTTTTGGGAATGTCAGCTGGCCTTGCAGAATACCTTCTCTATGATGAAGTCTATTCTGTGGCCAACTATGGACCCCATCTCAGTCACCTCTGGGCCAATGTAATTTTTAAAATCCGTACAGTAACAACTTTTTAATTGCAAATCTTCCTATTTTTAAACCCCTACTCACCAGAATTTTCTTATCCCAAAGTCCCAAAAATGTGCGACTCCATTCTAGAAAATCTATTGGAAATGCAATGCTTTTATTATCAATCCAGTCATTAAAATGCTACCCCATCCAGTAGCACACTCCATTGGCCTATTACTGGGAGATACCCCTTTCTGCATGCGCATAACCACTCAGGTGACATCGGATATGTACATGTCTTGATTGTGCAAAAATTGCAAGACATTTTACAATTATTGACCTCCTTTATCTATTGATTGTAATTTTGAAGCATGAGCTATCTTAACCCTTAACTCCCAAGATCCAATTAGTAATTCTCCCTACTAGAAGCCATACATTGCCTTTTAAATTGAATGAAAAGAATTTGGTATTAGATCAAGATAACATCCATTAGATGGCTTATCAATTTTCAAAACCAGGTTATGAGACAAGGTATTGGAATTACCCAGAAAAATTAAATTTCAATCACTTCTGGGGATTAAAAGGTTAAATTTACCGTGATTTGTTCATACAAAGAAATGACAAATGCAGTATTTGATCATGATTACTTTCATTATTTCTTTGCAAGGAGCCATTTGAAATGTTTGATCAAAGCAGAAGCAAAACCCCTGAGAAACAAGCTGCACACACACTGGAGGCAGTAAAGCTTGTTGAGTTCAGTCTCAAGCAAACACTGGTGAAGATTGTTGAACACCTGTGTGGAGAGGGAGTGGAAATGCGCTGGGTTGATGCATACTTTCCCTTCACCCATCCTTCCTGGGAATTGGAAGTTAATTTTGAAGGTGAATGGTTGGAGCTGCTTGGGTGCGGTGTGATGGCACAGGAGATACTTGTAAATGGTAAGTTAACAAGATAAATGTAAATGAAACGTTTTGGAAACTAGCAGTGATGCATTTATTCATTTCTCTGCCTTTTCAAAGTTGAACTGGAATTTGAAATGATGGTTTTTGTGGAGGGAGAAAAACCAGGTTACCATATGGAAAACCCCTAGATCATTGAACAAAAACTGACATATTAGATTCAATATTAGATAACTCATTTTTTTAGTTTCATGTCATGATTAACAATCAAACTTCCTTACCTTTAGTACTTTCATTAGCATTATCTTTAAATTGATTTTATATTTTAGCTGTGTTTATTATTGAAGGTATACATGTAGCCTAATGGCTGGACTCTGGAATAAAAGGTCCAGGTTTGAGACCTGATAAGATCAGTGTTATGTGTTCTTGTGCTAAACACTTTACTCCCACAGTGCCTCTCTTTACCCAGGAATATAAATGGGTATCAGTGAATTATTAGGAAAATCTGATAAAATGTTGGGGGGGGGGGGAACCTTGCAATGGACTGGCATCCCATTCAGGGGGGTAGTAGTAATCCTAGTCGCTTCATATTGAGGAAACCAGGATAATCTGCTGCTGAATGAGCTACTTGGCTTGAACAGAGACTTAACCTTAAGTGAAGTAAAGTTTATAGTTTTATCAGATTTTATTGTAATTAAGATTTCCCATTTCATTTCCAGGTGGAGCTGAACACAAGATAGGCTGGGCATTTGGTATTGGACTTGAGCGTTTGGCCATGAGGCTTTTTAACATCCCTGATATTCGGCTGTTTTGGAGTGATGATCCAAGATTCCTTTCTCAGTTTGATGGAAACAAAGTTGTTGAGTTCAAGCCGTTCAGCAAGTACCCACCTACTTACAAGGATGTGGCGTTTTGGATTCCTGAAAACTTCTCTCCAAATAACCTGTTTGATGTGGTTCGTGGGGTGGCCGGTGACATAGTGGAAAAGGTGAGGGACTGGAAGTTGAGGAAAGGGCTGTGTATGTAGAAAAGTAGCAGAGAGAGAGAGGGTCTAATAACTGATTTTGGTTTACTTAAATCTACTGGTGATCTATCACAAATGCTGCAATCTTTTTGTCTATGCTACTCATCTAGTTAAGAAATGTTCAGCAAGCAGCATGTAACCATCCAGTTATGGATGCACACTGGAAGGTGTCAAGCCAGAGTTTATAGGTACCTTAGGTTTATGAAATAGTGAAAATGAACATCGCTAAGGCTGTTTACCTTATTTCAGGTGGAGTTGGTGGACACATTCTGTCATCCCAAGACTCAGAGAGAGAGTCACTGCTATAGGATAACTTACAGGTCCATGGATAAGACTTTTACTGACATTGAAATTAATAGTATTCAGGATGAGGTCAGGGAAGAAATTCAGAAGAGATTATTGGTAGAACTTAGATAGATTACTCCATCAATGTCATTTTGAAATAGATGCTTGATCAAGCTGTGGTGTGATTTGAAGAAATTGCACTGGTTTTGCTTTTTTAAGCTCCATGATTGGTCCTAAAAATGTGTGCCAGCCACTGAACCAATCAGATGCTAAACTTGTCATTTTCCAGTGCTTGAGGCAGGTTAGGTGCATCTAATTGAGTTCTCATTGGCTCCCTGAGATTCTTTTTTTTTGTTCTGATTGGCTTTTATGTTTACATTGCCCTGGATTTAAATTTAAGAAACTTAAAAATTGTACAGTGTTCTAAAACATCTACATTCAAATTTTGTTCCCTCATACAAGTGGGTCACATTGAACCAAAAAATTGTTACTTGTGAAATCGGTTTTAAATTTTATTTCCCACTAAGAAGACAATGTAAACAAGTATTAGTAGATTTTGAGTACACTTTGTCCCCCTAACAAATTGTATCTTGGCTCCAGTTGTTCAAAGGTTGGATAACGCTATCCACTGTATAAATTTTATCTGGTGAATAGTGCAGTATATTTTGCCATCACTTATCTACTGGATAGTGATTGATCTGTTGGATAATGTTATCAGACCTTCATACAGTTGGGCCTTGAAGTTTAGAGCCTGTTAATTTAAGAAATCCCGAGGAAAACACACTTTGTATAGTTTCAGATACAGCTAATTCCTTATTGAGTTTGAATAACATTCATAAATCGTTTGAAAGTAAACCTCTGACGATACTTAATTTCACCGTGCATGTCAATATAGGAATTGTTGAAGTTTACTGGAAAGGAAAGAGAGGAACCAAGAACCATGCTTTGAAAAATGCCCCTGTGAATGTGCAAGGCGATTCTTAGGAGATGATTCCCTTGAATATCATCTAAGAATTACGAAATCTCTGAGCTATTGAGACGTTTTGTAATTCTTAGGAGAGAACTTCCATCTACTATCATTTAAACTGGAATATTTTGTCTGAAGATTTAATTTTCTTCTCAACGGATTCTGTTTCAATATCTTATTTTGGGTTCATTCTAAACCCTTCGTGTTTGTCTTTTCCGGTAAATTATTATTTGAAACAACCGAGGCATTGTTATGTAGCTCTTTCCAACTGCAACAGATTCTCTCACATCACAGTCTGGGTTAATTTTGCTCCCGACAAAAGTGAAATTGCATAGGTTCATCTACCAGCAACTAAAATAATTTTCTTTTCAAATCCTGGACACTTGTTCAAAGCATGGTTTCGGGGATCGATGTCAAATTTCTTATGTACCACACACGTAAATCCCCATAGGAATTCGAAATAAATAAATCTTTTGGGAAATATTAATTTGATTTAAGTGCAAATGCTGTTTGGTATCCATGCTGGACTCAGATAAGGATATGTGAGGTATCCCTCTCGAAATCGTTCTTTATTTCTCTTGTCCAGGAGGGGTTTGACCGAGGAGTGAAGTCGGTTGTAGTGTTTTTGGACAATTACTCTGCCTCCTTGCTCCGGGAGTTTGCCTCCGTAGTCGAACAGGCGGTCGATACGAAGAGAACCCAAGCTCATTGCAACTCCGGCTTGAACCTGTCAAAGACATAAAAACAAAAGGATTTTTTAAAAAAATTTTTGGAAAGAGTGCAATTCAAACCAAGATAATGTATAATTTTCTTTACTCACTGCTGAAACATAACTATTCGGCAATCGTAAAGCATTAAATTTGTCATCGGGCACTCGTTCGTCGTCGTACATCTTCGTGGGCATGTTTGGCGTGAATGCTCCGTAATCCGAGATTGGATAATTGACAGCAGTATGTTGAGCGGTTGAGGTCCAGATGAGGCGCGTAACAATGTCGACCAGTAGTGCTTTGGTGGCTATCTGAGCTGGAAAACCGCGAAGCTGAAGAATTCAAGAACAATTAGAAAGTAATAATCAAGCGAATAGCGAAAGTAATCCGGAATTGCATTGGTTTTGTTTTACTTTGCGCTCTGATTGGTCTGCCAAAAATCGTGCAATCCTCTACCAATGAAATGCCCTAGTTAAACAAATCGCACTTTGACAACCCGCGTTTTCTCGCCTTCAGGCAGTTTGTTGGTGTTTTTCATTTTGGTTTCTCCTTAGCACCATGTCATATAATAATTTTTTTCCCGAAAGGTCTTTGTGATTAATTCGCTTTTGATTTTATTCAGTCTAAACACGCCCGGAGGACTTAAGCTACCTTTCCTTTACCGCCGTCTTTCCCCACTCCCTCAGATGACATCTCGTTGGCGAGACCTTGAACTTCGTGATCCTTCAGTACATCGCTGTCAGCGTGGTAATAACTACGATACAATGACATGCGTGAGATAAGACTTTTCATTAACTGGACAGTCGATCCAGCAACCAAGAATCGACCATTTATTTACAGTATGAGCATTCCATTTCTAAGCAACATCACCAAGTTGAAAGTAAAGTCAGCTTACTAGCCAAAATGACCATCTTGCCGGCTTTGTCTCATAACAAAACTGGTTGGCTTCTACTCACAAATTGACGTAGTCCTTGACTAGATCTTCCATAGCTTTATAAATCAATTCTCCGTCGTCTCTGTATGGGAAATATGGCAATTTTTTTCGGTCATCGATGCCACGGGCCTGATAGTAAGAAAAAGGAAAAAAGAGAAATTTCTATGAAGTATATGCGCAACACTGGAATAAACTCCTTAAGGCAGTCACAAGTTTAAATAATTGCTCGTTGAAAGCTCGAGCACAATTTCGTTCCTCTTGCAAAATGTTTTTAGAATGTGAAGGTGATATGAGTCACCGAATCTTCTTATGTCTTTATGCAACCTCGTTCCCAGAGTCCTCTCTTTTCATCCCACGAGGAAGGAAGAGAGAGGAACCTGGGAACGAGGTTGGTCAAAAGTGTAATTTGAAGTTACGTCATACCTTATTCTTGGCTCGGAAGTCAGTATCGGCCCAAGTCAAGGTCTGAAATGCACGCACCAATAGGGTTACAGAACCAGTATTACCAATAGCAAACAACTGATGCATGTATGCTTGATCGTCAACTAGTTTAGGAAATCCCACTTTGTTAGTGGGTAATAAGCCTCTACAGTAGAACAAAGAAATAATTACAAACAGAAATTAATAATAATCGTATAAATTATATTGATATTCACTTTTACCTTTTATTGAGCGGTATTATTCTACACCAAGTCGCTGATAACACAATAATATATATAAGATGTTGGAATGTGGCATCATGTCGTCCAACCTGGGCTCGCAACAATTAAAACACCTGATAAGCCAGGTAAAGTGAAGTAGAACACTTAAGGCTGATCGAGTTGGCCTGGGTGTGACTCCACTCACCCATGAGCTTTTAAGATCTTCCCTACCTACAGTGATATTTCAGTAGCTGGTGCAAGGGGTGCAGTGTTGATAGGTATCTCAGTATGCACACACAAAATGGCTCCATCATGAGGTGGGTTTTTAGTAAATGTTCCACCATCTCCACATAAGCAAAATCTGTGACTTGAAAGCCCGCTTTGGCAAGAGCCCACAGGTCACCATCTTCAGGAGAATAGACTGGTGAGCCTGTGCAAGGAATGAAATAGGAGATCTGTTATTCCGAGTTAGAATTTTGAATTGGGGTTGGAAAAACTTCGGAAACAGGATACCGGGAGAAACAGAATGCGAAGGGACGGCACGAGGAGAGAAAGATTGTCCTCGTACTTACCTGATGTAGAATCAACCTGGATAGCCACTGGTTGCAACTGTGCGGGTCTACCTTCTCCCCCTGGACGCGAGACAAACAATGCTATGGGAGACATTGCGGGCCACATTTTCCGCGTGGGCCTGGACTCTGTGATGTCTGGCACGGTAGAGAGGTTGTCAAAGGCCGGGTACTGCACAACAAATAAAGATCCATCGGCGATTGTGTCTTGTATCAAGGTGTTTGTTTCCAGGCTTCTCGAGAGCGCGGCATCCCAGTCGTAGTTTGGATTCAAACGTTTTTCAAGATCAGACCATTTGACTCCAATGGGATCTGAGAGAGATACAACAAACGTTAATCAACTATTGACACATTCACGTCTTTCATAAGTAATTGTTTGTCATTGCGGAGCCTTGGAGCTGTACTTACCTTGACCAGCGGTAACTTTCATAAGTGACATAGGATTGAGGCCGGCTAACCGCTGTTCAGTAAACACACGGTCTTGTCGCCATGTGACATTGTTGACGACGCTTTTAAAAAGTTCTTCTTGAGAAGGAAATCGGAAAAACGGGCGAACCTGAAGAAAAATGACCCACAAAAATTATTCTTGGTGCAAAGAGATGGACTTGATTGCCACAAGGTTGATAAGTCTACGAATAGTGGCGAGAAAAAAACCTCGATTTCCATGAAAGTAATTAAAAGTGTTGCATAGTTTTACACTTAAGTTTTGGAGATTTCTCTCTTACCATTTCTTCACTTTGTTGTTGCTTGAGAAAGAAGTGATAAACTTGTTCATAGTCAGAGATCTTGGTGAATTCTTCTTCATTCGTTTTATTAAAATTCTGGATGAGCAATAGATTTTTCTTCAACATATAACCATATAGCTTCATCCACGTTTTTGTGAAGGGGTCTGATAGTGTAAGATTTATCAAGAGATATGCATTAATGTCACTCATGGGGAATGGAAGGTTTTTCACGTGGCCCAGTTTGTAGAGTCCTCGATGTTTTTCAATGTCTTTTCCTCTGCTCTCGTGGCAGTGGAGTGGAACCTTTTGGGGGATAGCGACACCACAAGGGACACCTGGGAAAGCAAAACAAAAAAAATTGGGCAAGTAGAAAATCTTTATTTAAAGTGAGCTGTTTTTTTCCTGTGTCAGGAGACTGAGACAAAGGAATGAATTCTTAGTCCTCAACCCACCCTCTTCAAAGGGACTAGCAGAACATGAGCTCATGTGCTATTGGGTAGACTCAGATTTTTCTAGAATACCTTAATTTTTTTTATCTGAAGGAATCATAAAGTGGAACATCGAGAATTCTCTGGCAAGAGGTGAAAAGAAGAGAGAGTAACTAAATCTAATGACCTAATTAATTATTAATTAGCATAAGATTACATTAATGACCCCAATCAAGTGCATATGTATAATTTTTTTTCCGGAAAAAGCTAAGGTACTTACGCTCCTTGCATCCCACTTTGGGTTCGTATCCAATCCATCCCGGACAACAATCGTAAATGTTATAATGAATAATTTTGCGAACTGGGTACCAGTAAATCTTGGTTTCGGTACTATAAGGAAAAAATTGATAAAAACATCAGTTCTACAAGGGATGATTCAATTTCGGTGGTAAAATGTCCTTGAAATATTATTCATGTTGGGAAAATACTGCTTACGTATCCGTTCCTCAATTCATTTATCCATCTATTCTATTTTTTAAGTAAAGTTTCAGGGTATTTTGCAAAGTAGGATTGTAGTAATCTCGTGGCTAGATCCTACCGCGTAGTTGTAACTGAAATGTAGGACCTTACAATCGTTTGGCCGTGAAAGGTCTGGGTACGAGACTATAATTGTAATTGAGTTGAATCAGAATTATTTTGCTTTAATAATAATTAACAAATTGCAGCCTATTTCTTTTTGGTTAATTATTATTACCATTATATATTTTTTTGGCAAGTGAAAACTGTTTTCACTTTAGACCAAATCAAAGATAAAAGATGAAATAGTTGGGTGTGATGTAATTGAAGTGATAATTAGAAATGTAATGGCGACTTCTCAGAGAATCGTCATTCGTTTCTCAGTGTCAGCGGTGTTCTCAATTTTGACATGACCGTGGAGGGCTGGTAAGAAATTTGACGTCACTGGAAAACTACCTGTCGAGATTGCTTCAGACTGACACGTTTGTTCTCCTGAATTTTACAAATTTTTCTTCAAAAATTCAAAATGAGTTTGGTTTAGATATAGCTGTTTTTAGAGCCAATAATACTGAAAATGACCATTCTTGAAAAAATTAGGGTCTGAAATGCTCAGCAAAACTAAAACACAGTCAATTGCCGAAAACGATGAAATTTTTCAGCACTATGGATCAGCGGGAAATATTGATTGACTTGTCCCATTCGGAGGCAAAAGAACCCTATGGATCCTTTTTTTTAAACACAGGAAGCTCAAAATCATCATGTCCATCATAAAAGCTTTCTTAAAGAGGGGCAGAAGTAAATTTTTTCCTAAGAAAGAGATTCTGTTTTTGTTTCTTTCGATATCCAGAAAAAAAAATTAGGAGAGAACTATGTAATGTTAAGAATAAAGGCAAATTGTCAAGGATAACTCAAGGAATTCAGGCCTTAAAAAGAGGAAGTAGAACAATATAAAATTGCGGTTTTAAACAAAAAACACTGGTTACTTATTACAACTAAATGTGTGTTTACATTGAAACAGCTTCTGTACCTTTCTCTTGAATTCCTTACCTTTCTTCTTTACATTGGAGTTTAGGGAAAGAAAAAATTCCACAATCGACAACCTTAACTTTTTTTTCAGTGGTGGCATTTCTCCGTAGCACTAACTGTGATCTTGTTCTTTCAAAGGCGCAAACATTTTTGCCTTTTTCCGGCGCCGGTCGAGGGATTGACTCTTCATGGGATACCCTGCATAATTTAGAACAAAACGTTTGAAGTAACGTTCCGCTAAACTGTAATTTTCGAACTAAATTATGTTCAAAAAGACTTACCTTATTATAACGGCGAAAATGATAGCGAACAGAAATGTCGAACAGGCAATCGACGATTGTTTTTTCAAATTCATTGGCAACAAAACTTTACAAGTTGGCCCGATATAATGAGAATATAACTAGATGCAAGGATTCGACAAGAAAATTACACTTGTTTTCAAATGCAAAATTTTTTATCGACGAACAATGTACGACACAAATCCTTTTAAAAAACAATCTGTATAACCATGTTTCAACAAAAGAAGCCCCCGATTTGCTTCATTCACGAACCACTTAAAACATTAAGAAGTAATCATATTTTGCCCGGATATTGGTAAGGATTTCATTACCAATAAGGAAATCTTATCTAAACATTCCTAATGTACTAAACAAATCTTCAGAAATCCTTTGTAGGCTAAAACCAATAAGGTATTGAAGTAAATTTCGATTCTGTTGGCATTAAAATCTTGCGTTCGTACCCAGTGCCAAAATTTTTACCTTTTCCTCACATTTAAGCGTTACAGAGAACAATCCATGACTTGTTCCTTCTTTCTTGGGTTTGGTTCACTTGTGAAAAAACTAATTTCGTATTTCTTTGTTAATTGCACCTGTCGTTTATGTGCACCTCTGACAGTGATCAGTGACAAATTGTCGGATAAACCAAATCGAGCAGGCGATACAAACTTGCGATAATTTCCTGGTTAACAAGAAATTATTTATATTCATTAAATATGATTTTCAGTTTTCGCAATTAGAGAAAGGGGGAAAAAAGATAGAAAAATGAAGTAGTCTCATTTTATTTCCGCGAGGAAAACACTGAGCAATTTATTCCCGATTTCTTTGTCTCTTTTACAAAAAATTTAGATCCAGTAAATTTAGATCCATTCAGATCCTTAACTTCTACCATACGTGAGATTGGTTTTGAAGGAACAGATTGATTAATGAGCTTGATTAGAAATTGCAACTTGTTATCTCCTCGCTATTCACTAACTAGTTGAACAGCTGCACGACAATATTTGGTTGATAGTTCCTGATCTTTCTATCTCATCCCTAGTCCACTTAGCCAAGCCGGCAGAGCGTAAACAACAACGGGATGTCTGATAGGCGTTACCCTTCCACCACCTCACTCACCTCCCCCCCCACCACTCCCACCCCCACACAAACAAACTCCTTTGCCGCTTCGACGACTGGGGATGAGTCTACGTGTCTCGTACTCAGACTTTATGCCTGAAACGAGGCCGTGAGTGAAAGGTCTGGGTACGGGAGATCCGGAGCATCGCAACGACAGGTTTGATTATTGGGAAAGCCTCGACCGAATTCCAATTTCTAAAAAATCAGCCACTTTTAGAGTTTCGATCAATACAAAAGCCCTTATACTTTTGGTGGTATTCTCTCATCTTTTTAGAACTGAGTGTAATTCTCCCTAACGAATCTGTATTTACAAAGTATTGGAACGCGAATCGTTAGAATGTCTTAGGGGTTGAGGGAGCGTCCAATGCTGGTCGAATCTAACGCCAACCCACGTCAGAGAATACCCACTAAACCACGTCTGGAATTTCACACAAAAAAATAAACACACCAAGTATATTTTGAAACAAAGAATGTTCCTATTATCATGAGTGCGAAAACACCAAAGCTAACTTCACGACCTGACTAAATTACTAAAATCTCCTTCAATCACTCACAAGAGAATGCACTACAACTTTGAACTCACATCAAACGCATCTGCCAAAAAGGTTTGTAATAACAGTACTAAAAATAAAAGTAATAATGTATCACACACTTAGCCCTAAGAGAACATCAACCACGAACTGATTGAACTAGGAAGTGGATTATAGGATCAATGAACACACCAATAACTCTAACATTATTCAAAAGCTTACAACAAAATAACAACAAATACGAAAAAAGATGCACTTCCGTACACCCTGCTTCAAAAAAAAAACTTCACGGGACGCACGCCCATCGTTTCCTGACTTCTTAAAAACTTGTTCCCTTTTGGAGACAGAGACAAATTTATGGGCAACATTCTATCCAAAACACGTCTGCTTTGTCCTCAGTTCTGTCCTCTAAAACCAGCGGCAGCTTTAAGGAATGTCTTGCGCTTATTTTAGATGCTAAAAGAGGTTGGAAGTTCTAACGTAACCACAGTTTAGTCACTAGAACTAAAGCAAATAGTCATTAAAGGAAAGGTCTTTGCAGTAAGTTTAAATAAGATTAGGCTTATCAACCAAGCAACATTAAACTGATTTTTCTCGTAACCGAGGTTCAAGTTTACGAAACGTCTCACTTCAAAGATAAAGTGGACATCACGTTGTAGAACTCAAACATTTCGTCCACAACCTTTGTTACAGATGTCTTGCTTGGAATGTTTAGTTTCAAATTGGGGAAAGAGATTTCCGATAAAAATCCATAACAAAAAATTCATAGGAGAATCTGTTAATCATTACCAAGATCTTGCATTTAATTATTTGGAAGCAAGTTCGTCTTGCTTTTGTGAATATCAGTGATGAAAGAAGCGTCAATAGTAAGCGAGCTAGCTGTGGGGTCTACTGTGTGACAGGGAGCTCAAGAAAAGTGAAAGATCTAGGCTGTCTGCTGTGTTACGACCAACTGTCCGCAATCACGTCGAGGTTAATTATAACGCTGGTTCTTTCTTGTCGTTTCACGGCACCCAACCAATGTCTTTTTTCTTCTATAAAACTAGCGAAGCTTTGCTCGTCAGGTCAAGAACCGTCTAAAAACCACCAAGTCAAAGTTCCAAAAAAAAAACTTCATTTTTTTCTGTTCGCGGCGTCAAAACCGTTGAGACCCGTCGTTTGTAAATGCGGGTGAAATTTTTCTCCTCTCTTCTCGTTCCACTCTCTCCTCTCTTTTTTCTTCAAGGTTTTAGTCAGCACCACACCCTCAGTGTGGGGACAATCAAGGGTGTGGCCTAAGCAAGGTGTTACCTTCTGGTTGCCTTGACGACGGCTGCCAGGTGACGACGTGCCCCCTTCACAGCCGGTAGGCTAGTACTTCAGTACTGAGAGGCATAGTTTGGTTGGGAGTAGTCTGGTAAGGAGTTCATGTAGCCTCCCCTCTCCCCTTGGTAGGTAGAATCCTGTGACAACACAGCATCTGCCTGGGATTTCAGGTTGAAGTCGTCTCCAAGGTAACTATCCTGAGATAGGTCCGGCTGCGACAATGGCTGTGAGGCCATGGGCTGACTCATGGACATGCCACCCTGAGTGAGTGGGCCCTGGGACAGAGGCTGGGAAGCATCCTATTGCAATGGGGAGAAAAACATTACAATAAGAAATCCACTCAACCCTTAAATTCTGAAGAGCTTGGCGCGAATTCTCAAAATGCGTGACAAAACATTTCCTTCCTCTAACACTGGAAAATTTGTGAAATATAGAGGTCATATTCTTTACTTTAGATTTCGTTTTCAAATTCCTCCCTGACGTTCTGTCAAAGAGTGTTTAGAAATTGTAAAGAGAGTGAAAGTCTCCATCGCTTCTGGGGCCTATATTTTTCTGGTTCATCAGTTGCATTCCGTTTTCCTCCTCTCCATCCCTCACTGTCCTCGATCCTTTGCAGTTGTATTTCCACACAAGCAAATTATTTTAAAATTTTCTCCCATTGCAAGGCAATAAAAGTCTGGTTTTCTCGATACAACGATTTCAGACTGACTTGAATCAAACTAAATATCACGTTCCTTTGGCGTAGATTGAGAATCAAGTTATCCTAAGGGAATAATCCCCATTTAAAGTTCGTCAGCTCATACCTGACTGGCCTGGCTGGCTGGCATGTGAGGAGCATACGCCATTGGTTGCTGGTGATGATGGTTGCGCTGATTTCGCTGCCGAGGCTGCTGAACTGGTCGGCCATGTGGCATTCGACCGGCAAGAGGCTAAAACATAAAGAAAAGTTGTCAGTTTAAACTTGGGGCACGACTTTCACGTCCAAAGCATGTGGCCATCAGACCTGATATTTACAAGACATTAGTGAAAAATTGTATGTTGGTGCAAAAATTACGGGCTACAGCTAAAGAAATACTCATAATTAATATCTAACTTACAAGGTCAAACCTTTAAACATGTTTGCGACAAGACCTCAAATCCCCCCCAAGCTGTAAAACGTAACGCTGATACGTCGCAGGACTTTCCTTAAGAACAGATTGACCAAGTGCACTCACCTGCCCAAAGTAGGAGTGGTGTGGGGGAGGCACCGGGGGGATAAACATCCCCACGGGTACCGGGATCCTTGCAGCAGCAGCGGGTGGAATGGTTCGCTCGGCTCCGATGTAACTGAGTCGGTCATGAGTGTGGAAGTAAGTGTCATGGAAGGCTGCAGGATCCATGGGTGCCTGAGGTATCTGACGGTCATACACACTACCGCGGATCAGCGCTTCACGAGCGTCGAACATGGTGCTGCTCATGAAACGGCCGCCCTGAGGAGAAAAACAGGAAGGTGAGTACGTGGGCTAGGCTGAGCTGTCAATAATTTTGAAAGTACATGGCACATGAGAAATGGCAAGTGGACGCCATGTTGTTTCACCAGATTTCAGGCACGACTGGGAACTATTCAGTCAACAAAGTTTGCAGGAATTAAATGAAAAAGGATGTTGAGCAAGAGAATGAACAGGTATCTTACCGGATTTGTACGGTTAACAAGTTTCCTTGGCTTGCTAAACTGAATCATGCTTTCCTTTAAATTGTTCAGGGGTCCTGCAATGCAAAATAGGCCATTCATACGTCAATGTTTAATTCTCGCAAAGTGATCAAAAGTTATCCCTTCGGGTTGCTATAAATTTCCTTGTAAAATTGTTAAAAGAATTTGGTCCGACATTATTCAACTTAAAAAACCCCTCACCCTCCAGCTGGTGATTTGTTTTTGTTCCCACGACCTGTTTGCGAGATTGTGAAGCGAAAACGCGATGAAAAGTTACATTCTGAGCACTTTTGAGGTTTTTGGGGTTAACTCACGGATATCCTGCCTCTCACCGCCTCTCACCGCACGACGAATGACTGGCTGCATTCAATGAAAATGAAGCGGAATCAAAGTTTTCAGCTCACCTTCCATCAAAGCCTTATTTTCTTTGTAGTAATTCAACAGATGGTTCCACAAAGGTTGCTGAAGAGAAAAACACCAATGCAGTCAGTTGCAGTAACTTGCAAGCTTTACTATAATTTACGTATCAAAATGAAAGAGAAGATTAAACTACGTCGGAGTGTAAAATCACATTCAAGTTCAAAGAGTCGATTAGCAAATTTAACTATCTGTAGCAGCGACTTACCCTGGATAGGATCTTGGGGTTGCCAATGACAATGATTCCATATCTAAAATGGAAGAACGGATAACGTTAAACACTGAACAATTTAGAAACCTCTCACATGTTTTGTTCCTTAAACTAATAAATATAATACATACTTTGCTCGGGTCAAAGCCACGTTCAGACGTCTCGGATCATTCAAGAAACCAATTCCCTGCAGATCAACAACAAGAGACATAAGTTAGGTAGACTACCTTCAACTTTCAATGGCCACCTCTTCAGAAGTGATCCTCTTTAGGATATCATACACTGAAAAGCCCACCGGTTACTGTCTTGTATATTTAAGGCAAACTACAAATTTTCACTTTGTTCAAGAAGTAAAACTTGAGATAAGTCATCTTACTTATAAATCTCAAACGTGCTTTGCTTTTTGTTCAAAGTTGTCGGCCTCGGTTATTCTGAACTAGACATAAAAGAGGGTGATACCTGATGTTCGTTGGAGCGTACACAGGACAGGATAATGTAGTCCTTCTCCCGGCCCTGGAATGCGTCGACACTGGCTACCTCGATTTCCTATAGTCAGAAAATGTGTGTTAACACTTATCACTGGTCTCTCATTCATGAAATCCTGATGTTGTAGTCTCAAGAGTGTAAATATTACCAAACAGACTCGAATAGTCCTATTTATTTACTATGGGATGTTTCCTCCTAATTACCTCGATTTTTCCGCTCCAATAAGATGTAGGTTACGGGAAAAATATATATATAAAAAAAGAAACTAAACAAAAAGCAAAACCCAAACGTCATAGAATAGGATGTTCATGTACTACCTTAAGGTCCAAAAACTCTCCCAATCCATCGTAATAAAAAGTGCGAAATTCAGTAGCGTGGATTGACACTCTTAACTCTTAAAGCACAACTTACCAGATAAAGATTGGCATGAAGAGAGCCACTAAACTGCATGTACTGTACAATGTAAGCTCTCTGACCCTCATACGGAGTTATCACTCCAATCTGCTCTGGTTTCACGCCAGCACGGAGAAATCGAGTGGCAATCTTCTCCACGTTTGCAGCTTCAGTCCTGTGCAAGAAACACATACGTGAACAAGTAGCACTCCAATTTTGATCGAAAGTAAAATAGCGCTCGTGTTTCCTCTCTTTTGTGTGTAATAAGCTGTCCAGTAAGGGAATAAAATGATGAACAAAGCATCCTTCCGGATACATTATCGGCGTTTTCAGTAATATTAGTTTCATTCGGCTATCTTTGCTCTTTCCCTCAAGGTTTCCCGTACGCTGTTTGAAAATTCTCCAAATAAGTGAAGTTCAAGTTGTAGAAAACCTGACTCGCAACGGTATGTCACTATTGCATCCAATGACTCTTCTACATCATTCTTACTTGCAGGATTATCACAACGCAATTTGTTTTGATGCGAGTGCGTTACAGTAAAACGTTACAACAAAAAACCTACCTTTTTTTACCCTTTACGGTGGCCAATTTACGTTTTCCCCTCAACTCAGTTGTTAACACTAAATTACCTGCTATACTCTCCCACCGACGCAACATCACAGTTTCTTTAGAAACTTACCCCTTTTATAAAGAACCTACCTGTTGAGGTAAGATGTTCCCGAGGAAGCGATTTCCTCCTGACCCATGGTCGCATAAAAGAACATTGGCTTATCGGGAACAGGCCAAGGGAAGTCAATTCCGGTCTGCTGGCGTTCAGCTGCGAGAGAAATGGTACGAGAGGAAGCTTTACACGAGGTACAGCATTTCAAGATAGTTGGGATTTGCAGACTTAGCAGGAATGCCAACTTACTGAATTAACACGATGCAAGATAAGTATATTACTGCGTAACTGTCTTCAAAAATATCAGCCACGTAGCTCAATCATTTCAATTGACCAACACTGCCTAAAACTCATGCTCACATTTAACGATTCTTCCCCACTTCAACCATTTGCCCAAAGGTCTTGAGGCCGTGTCAACCCTTCACCCCTAAGAATGACTATCCTCTTATTTTTCCTTACATTTTCACACTTTGACATAACAGGAAATGCATAAGGAACAGTTTGGAAAATATGAAGTTAGTTGAACTTACCAACAGTGACTCCATTCTGAAGAGTTCCGTCATAAAACAGATTGGATGGGAACTCGCTCAGGGAAGGGTGCATACGATACTGGACTTGGAGACGAATAGGACGGATCCCAAGAACCACCAGACGTTCAAACAAAGACTGAGACAGACCAGCACTACACAGGATGAAAAAAGAAAAAAAAAACCAGTCAGATTAAACACCACCCTGCTTATAGCTAGTGTTACAAATAGAACCAGTTGTTGCACTGATCTGTTTATAACTTATAACAAGAACCATCAGAATTGCAGGAAATGTTTCAGAGTTGTTTTCCTGCCTGAAAAGAATGATTGTTTTTCCTTTCCTGAAAAGTTGCAATGGAAAAACTTCACATTCCATTTTTGTTTTGTGTCAATAAAAGAAATGCAAAAAGAGAAAAAAATATTTAAAGTTCTATGGCAACCAGGTGGACAATAAGCCCTTTTGAACATGTGAATGTCAATAAAAGAAATAAGTTAAAAGAGATTTTCAGACACTTACTTAGCTGCTTTCTTGCACATCACAACAGGACCAAGCTGACAATGATCACCAACAAGGATGAGCTGAATACAACAAAAAAACCCATGATTGTTAACAAAACTGTCCAAAACATTTCATGTCCATTCACAGGACCCACAAAACAACTGGAGTTTTGTTTAAAGCAGCAGTGTTCAAACAGAAACTTTACAGAAACTGGCATTTGAAAGAGGTTTATTCATAAAAAAAAAAAACCCGTTTATGATCCAACCATAATTAGCATGATCTAAACCTGTGACAAACCTGTTTGCAGCCAAGTACAACAGGCACCATACACTCTGGTTCAGTGGCTTGGGTTGACTCATCAATCAGCACAGTGCGGAATCTGAACTTGGACAGACGAGGGTCACCAGCACCAACACAAGTGGTACAAATCACATCTGCATGCTGGGGAAGAAGGAAAAGCTCCCTTGAGTGAAAAGCAAGGAGATCTGAGCTCCACAACATAAAATTGATGACATAGTATCAACTCTTACACCAAAGGACAGCTAAGAGCCATGTTGATTTCAAGATAATTTTTAACATTGAGCGATTTACAGAAGGGTACAAATAGCAAGGAATGTCTTAAAATTGCCAACTTTATTTAACAACTCAGCTTAAAGAGATGTCTGTCACCCCAAACTATAGCTGTTCATGTGGAGTTACTTTCAACTACTCATTCTGGCTATAGTTTCATGTTTGATTCCCCAACTATGTGAAATAGAATTTAAGATACCCACTTCAATAAGAGCTAGAACTTAATATTGTGGGTCTAACAAGGAAATACATTTTCATGTATATATACTATTGAAGGCTTCCAAAATTGATATGTACTTGTATATCAGAGTGAATAATCATTTCAGCTTCACTCCCCTAGGAAGGGTTAATGCTGAAAACACCAGCTTTACAAATCTTGTTCATGTACTTCATCAACTTTTAGTTGATTATCAAATAAGTGATAGGTTGCCACTGTTTGAAAATGTATAGTTCCTGTAACAACTGAGTAATGCATGGTGTTGAGTTGTAAATAGACTTTACCTGGAGAAGCTCACGTTCACAATTTCTCTTCAGAGATCGGTACCTCTTCTCATCAGCGGCAGACAGCTCACCCTGCTCATCTTTGAGCTGCTGCAGCTTTTGGAGTTCAGGAACACTGTCCATGTTACGCACTTGATTGTGCAGTGCAAGGAATGCCACAGGAGAGTCAATAGCCTCTCTACTCTTGGCACACAGTCTCACAACCTAAGGACAAATCACTGTCTGTTATCAGTCTCTCCAACAACTAGGAACTGGAGAGGTTTATTATTAGTTTTCAAGCAGAAACAGTGAACAAAAACATCCCTGTCATTCTTTATAACCTAATAACCCATGCATGAAGAATTCTACATTTTGCGCTAAAGCTGTGATCTTGATGGAGGAAATTCACATGTGATACAATGGCTTCAGAAAAACCAAGCTTGATAATATTAATCAACCTGCATAATTTCAATGGCTTTTTCTAACTCTGTGGACAGTTATTCCCTATATACGACGTACTGTGATTTTACAAAGTCATTGCCTGTAATGAGCACATTGTACCTTGAGTCCTGTCTTGTGGATTTTCTCTGTCAACTGGTCCACTGCAATGTTACTTGGAGCACAGACAAGAACTTGACTAAAAACCAAAAAAAATGAAGTGTTAAAATAAAGCTTTTACTTCAAGGAGGACAACCATTCATAGCCGCGAGGATCACCTATATTTGTTTATTCTACTGTTGTGCACATTTATGATTTTCATATATCTACAGTCATTAGTCAGAGAAATGTTTTCTTATTGTACTTACCCATTGTTTTGCTTGGCTAGGTGATAAACAACACTAGCTGATGTGACTGTTTTTCCGGTACCCGGGGGTCCCTATGTGAAAAAATGAAAAATATAAATTTGGAATCATCACAATCTACATGTAAAAGTTGTTTATAAGACAGAAAGCAACCTGACACTTCACTAACCTGGATAAGACTAAGTGGTCTTTGTAAGACAGTCTTGACAGCATACACTTGTGAATGGTTCAGCTCTGGCAGACCTTGGGCTGAAAACCTACAAAGAGTGATTGTCACCTTCAGTATGTAAAGCAATAGCAGATCACTTGCAATATGACAAACTCTTAGGGATACAATCATGACAGTACAGTGAATACTCTAAAAACCCTCTCCTTTCTCCTGTCTCCTTTCTCTAAACAAATCCTCTAGCACTGATTTTCATCAGAGCTCATATAATTTTGTGTTTCAGCATAAAGAATATTAGAATTTCAAAGCTTTTATTAGTTTCTATTTCAAATATTGTAAATTTCCAATAAAGAATTTCATGGCTCCATAGGAAAGCTCCTACCAGTCTCTAACAAGTCCCCCCCACCTTAACCTTCCCCAATAACTCCCTCATCAAGAACTCCTAGAAAGTAATAAGCCCTATGAGATCTGTAAGAGCATTTCAGATAATTCCTCAGCAAATGACCAAGACCTGTCAGAACCAATACCATCTCAATCAGGTACACAACATTCTTGAGTACCAACCTCTTAGGCAGCTGGCATTTGACAACCTGTTCTTCCACCTCATGACCCAGCAGCTTGTGATAGATGTAGCCACTGACTGATGTTTCATCCACAGCAAAGGTCTTCATTCCTGTTTGCATTCTGATCATAAAGTAAACACAATAACATGAGATAATGACAAAAGTGAAGCCACACATGGACATCCTCCCCATGATAAGTCACAACTTTTGAGCCTGTCAGGTAAGTTTACAAGTTGTCTAGTGTTTTCCAGAGAATTTTATGTAGTCAGCCACTCAATAAAAATAATAAGTATTTCACATCAAGAGAAGTATTTTTAATGCTTTCTCTCAGAAAAGTGGCTGATGCTTCAGAAATCTCACAAAAGAATGGTTATTTGACCTTGTTAAAAACTTTTTTAAAACCACTTTAGTCAGATGAAAGCCATGGTCTCAGAAAAGAGAGCAAAATTAAAACTGGTTTGAAACATTTAGAACCAAATCAAAGTTTGAACTACAACAGCAACAGGTTCTCAGGGTTAAAGATGCCTTGAAATTTTCACCTGTCAAATGAGGTTGATTTCCACACAAAGTCCACAACAAAGTTATGAGTACATTCAACTGGGGCACCCAGATTGCTGCGCAACTCAATCCCCACTTCCTCACCAAAGTCTGGCGAACACAGTCAAGGAAATCACAAAAGTATCTGCTGGCAAAACATATGTTTAAGAAACAGGTCCTTCATTACAAATACAGCTTTTCAAAAGCAAGGATACTGTTCGGCACTTTGATCACATGACCAACACCCTGCCAAGGTTTGTGTAATTCCCCGACATATCGCAGGCGGAGCTCATCACCAGGCATCAATCTCATGTCATCATTTGTCTTGGGAAAGGAGAAGTATGCAATCCTTTTCTTGTTGAGACCAATGTCCCAACGAACAACAATGTTATCTTGAGTCTGTGGAAATGGAGATTTACATGTAATCAGGCAATAGTAGGGAAATGTCACTGTAAAGTACTGATAGATGGAAGAATTTGAAGTCAAAGTATCAATTAATTTTTTAGAATTGGTAAGTCTGCTGTTAAGCTAACTCTACCTGAGACTCTTTCAGCTTCTTGTCATAATCTGCTTCCAGTTTAACCAGTGGGCCAAAGATGTTTTGATATTGGTAGGCATCCTCATACCTGAACAAAATATGACATGGGAAGGGTGAACACCTTTGTCAATAAAGGGGAAAGATGGATTGAAGGATAAGAGGTACAGATAAAAGGAATTATAATTTTTCATGTTTTACATCAATTTAATAACTGCAGCCACAGACCTGAGAAGAACTTGTTGTGGTTCATCATCAACTCCTGGTTTATCCAAATCTTCTAGCTTAGCTTCAGGATTATCCTATGAAAAACAACCATCACACAATTAAGCCAGAGACAGAGCCCAATTACTACAATAAAAAACCCAACAATCAACTACATTCATCCACAAGGTGGTAATGATACATTTGCATTGGGAAAAAAATTCAAACATTACTCGAAAAATGTACAGCACAAACCTTCCACAGTTCTTCGAGCTTGTTAATCTGTTGTGCAGAGATCTGTGGGATGTAAAAATGTTGAATGAGTGCCACATTCATTAACTGGTGGACAACCTATGTGGTTTAAAGAGTGTTTGACAACTGCATCACTAAGGGGAGATTGAGTGCCTGAAACATCCAGGAGCTTCCACTATTGGCAGCCAGCTCCTAGATGGAGACTTCTCCCATGGCTTGCGAATCCTAGCAACCCAGCCATGAGCCCCAACACAGGAAAGGGAAACAGGCACCTGTAACAGTGAATAAACAGTGGAAAAGGGTGGGAAGGGGTGGGGAAACCTGCCTAGATGATGAGCTAACACTCCTCACAATGCTGCCAGTTCATGATCAAAGCAAATGCAAAAATGCCTCAAATGAATAGCACATGGAATTCTGACACAAGCACATATGCAAAAAAACGCTGATGCTCTTTGTTGTTAACTCTGTTAAATTGAATAAAATTGCATTTAAATCAAGGGTGTCACTAACTTTTGGCAACTGGGCATGCTGAATGCAAAGCTTGATCACAGAGCCTTATTCCCTTTCCTCAGGTACTCCAGAGACACATATACCCTTCCCTGTGACATTATGAAATTCTTCAGAGACAAGGATGCATTTCCCTGAACTACCACACCTTAGTAGCCAAAAAATAGGTACAGAGTAAATTGAACTAGTAAATCTCTTCATTTTTGATAATTCAAATGTATTTTTAGTTTTGAGAAATCTCAAGGAAAATAAGGGATGGAAACTGAAACATTCTTCTTCTGGTGGATGAGCAGCACAAAATTATTTTCACAACAACTAAATTTTCCCAGTGCTCCATCATTAATAATCAAATATGAATGTCTACCTGTCTGGCTCGCAGCTGATCCTCATCAGGTGGAACTTTAACAAGCCAGGACAAGAAGCACCTATCATTAATCAGAGGCTGCCACTGTGCCTGGTCCCTAAGTTTGAACAAAGCAAGTGTCTATATTACCAGATAAACAAAAAAACATAACAGTTCACACTAAATAGTTTCCACATTAAAACAGACCTTTAATTTGCCCAACAAGTTTATTTTAAATCACAATTATGTCACTAGTAGAGTGCATTAAAGCACCAACAAAAAGTAAGAATATCAAAGCAGGTACTGAATAGTAGGAAGGCCATGTTCAAGTTCCTGTTCAATTTTTTTTTTTAATGAGAATATTATACATACCAGTTCATGTCCTTGGAGTTACTCTGTGTAGCACAGGGTTGTCTGAAGAAAGATGCACAAGTGGCAAAAGTAAGCAAAAGGAACCTTGTTGTAATGATTTTGAACTTAAAATTTACTAAACTCAAATCATAATGGAAAGAATAATTTTTTTGCATGAAATTATAAAACTTTGATAGCAGAACCACCTTTATTCTGTCAACATGTTCCCTTGTAAATCAAATTTCCAGGAATTACTCTTTGATGAATTCAAGGAACAATTCTTCCTAGATACACATATATAAAAGAAGCTTTACAGACCAACTAACCTGCACAGTAACACCACAACTGAATCAGCCTTGGCAGGAATAAATCCCAACAAGAAGACATTGCGGCAGCCACAGTTGTAGCATTCCAAGATTGTCTCCCCCAAAGGGCCATCTTTGTGAAGTGTCACCTCTTTGTGCTTGGCTCTTACAAGGTGGTTTACAATATGACTGCAAAGAAACACATACCAATTGAAGATAACTTCCTGACTCCATATTCAAGTTCAACCTATTGTTAAAGCATTGCTGCCTGTTCTTTGGCAAGGAATGCAACTCTCACAATGCCCAGGTTTTTCTAAACAGATAGCATCCATAACTGTTAGGGTATCCCAACAAAATGACGAGGGGAGGGGGAGGGAAGTGGGGATAAGCAGCATTGAACTAGCATTAATCCCATCTGAGGGGATGAACACCTTTCCTTGATTTATTCATGCTTCAAAAGCCAAGATAAGTTCTCACAGTATGGGCTACTTAGCCAGTCAGATGCAATCTATTCTTAGTCTCTACCACTGTTCCAAATGAGTGCATGGTAGACATGCACTAAGTGGAAATATCCTTCATGAAACCATAACCGAGTTGAAATTTGTTCCACAAACCTGCCTGCAGTGTTTCCTCGCCCATTACAGAACCACTTCTTGCACTGAATGCACTGCACAACAGATGCTGGGTCATGAACTCCACAATACCTGCAGGTATAATTGATCAATATTATAATTACATGTAAGTTGGTTCGTTCGGAAGTGCAAATCTATAAATAAATTAATTATAATGATCTGGATCATGATAACCCTGATAATGGTAATAGAGCAGTTTTCAATTTAGTATTGATGATAAAACCAAATTGCTTTGATTACCCCAGATAACTCACACCAATTTCTTAACCAATCTTGATGTTTTCTTGATAGGATGTTTCCTTTGCTTTGATTGGCCAATGCAATTATTTTGGTTTTGGTTTTACAATTTTCAATTGAAATGCACCCCTCAGTGTAGTTCACAATTTAAAACATCATTGATTAACAAACACACAATTGTAAGAGGCTTAAAAATAAATATATTGAAATATATCTGGTCAGGAACAGCTATGTGTTAGCCTCCAGGCTACTAATCTTGCTACTACCTGTTTTCTAGATAATATGTATAAATTATTTGGAGAAGTTACATATTTATCACTTTTGGGAGTTAAAGGATTAATAGGGAATTATTGAGTTTCTTAACATGACTACAGCCATAAAAATTTTCTCCAAAAAAAATTTAAAAATGCCCCATTTAAACTGCAACCTAATTTGGATCACAAAATGTAGTCATATAACTGGGTTTCTTCTTTTTTTTTTAACCGAGAAAAAAAATTGAAGTCTGTATTTAGGTGCTGCATATTATTTTCAATTCGTCAATTACGACCTTTGGGTTGTGTAAGATAGTGTTATTAAAGAGTTCAGCTCAACTTATTAAAATAGAAAAGAAATTTTAGACTAAAAGAGAACAAAGCGAGTTGAATTAATAATTTGCAACATTTTCAAGTTAAAGAAACGACATGATTTTTTTTTTTTAAGCGGGTCAAGAAACAGCTGAATCTCGCTCCATGCCGGACATGCAGTGTCGGTCTAGGTGAACACTTGTAAGCCTTTCTTACATTATGGAAACCCATTTTCCCAGATTTCACTTTGACGAAAAACAGAAAACAATTTAAGATGTCTGGGAAAACATAATTATGGAACCGTTAAGCAGTTAACTGAATATTTAATTTTAACGTTGAACGCACCTGCAAGCGAAGGCTGGAAGATCCTTCGAGTAAAAAGTCTCGTCCTCATCTTCTTCAAAGTTAAGCTCCCCCAAAGAGTTGCTAACCTTAGAAACGGTACCATCCACCTTAGCTTCTTCGTTTCCTGTTGTCGGGCCGTTAGCTAGATCTTCTTTTTTGTCTGCGACGTTGCCATTGACCAAAGGTTGGCTCGGTTCAGGTTGTGAAGCTTGAGATTGGGTTTGGGTTTGCGAAGGTACTGTAAAGTCGTGAAATTCGTACTCGCTTCCTTGTGTGTCCGCACCGAAATCAGCTTCTTCAGTGTCTAAAAAAGTCAAAGTTTGAGATGCAGGCCCGTAGGAGTCTACAGTGCTCATCTTTCAGACGAAAAAAAAGTAAAAACTGTCTCAGTTGCGACAGTTAAAACGAAAGTATCGGAGGATTTTGAAATCTATCGTAAGAACGTGGCCAAGATGGCGACTTCAGCCACGCGATTCCAATTTCGCAATACGTCCGTGAAAAGATCGGAATTTCTCGGTTCCACAGACATGTCTTCGACTTTCCGACTTATTATCGACTTGAACGGTATCTGTAGAACATTTCCCATCATGCCATAGTTTTTCAAGATGGCGATAGTTGCCTAGCTGGGGTTCAATGTATCATTATTTAATCAATTCTTCACGTCTTACCGGCATTTTCACAATTTGTCTGTAGTATGATGAAAGAGACCTCTGAAATTTGAAAGAAAAGATTAACAGACTGTTTAATTCAAGTTGGAAGCTCTAACCTTTTTAATTTTTAATTTAGCGTCATCTGTATCATAGATGTCCCGTCTACACAATTTGTACGTAACATCTCGTCACTTCCTGCAGTCCTTCGCTCCAAAAATATCCGTACAACGGATTTTCGGGGCTCGTTTTTTCTGCGAGAATTCAACTCCAAGGCCTTCACCCGAAACATCGGCGCAGACTTTTGGGGTTTTGTTAGACATCGACGGAGTTCTTGTCAGGGGCCGGAACCCAATCCCCGGAGCGAAAGAAGCCTTGGGACTGCTTCAAAAGTCGGATGTTCCTACAGTTTTCTTGACAAATGGTGGCCTTGAAATGGAAAAGGAACTGGCGGAACATCTTTCAGATAGGATCGGCTTTGAGGTAAGTTATTAAAATATATTATTGGCGAGGAGTGGCTTGGTGAATCATGATGGCTTAGTAGATCGATAAGCGAAAGAAGTGTATGGTTATTAATTTACCATTTGAGAGGGGTTGCTTTGTTCCTCAAGGTGTCTCTTTATTATTGTTCAACGGTGAAGAAATATATTTTAACTTTTAGGTACGAGAAGATCAGATGATTTTATCACATACACCTCTAAAAATGTTTGATTGGCTTCACAACAAACATGTTTTGGTATCTGGTCAAGGAAGTGCTAAAGAAATTCTTCAAGAGTATCCTTTCACAATATATCTTGGGCACGTTGCTGAAGTTTCAGTGAGCTGGAAGATTAATAATGTTGTACATCTGTCCAAGAACAGAATATGTTTTCATGGGTCAATTGCAGACCAATGCTCCACATTCGCACTGACAGGCAAAAAAAAAAAATTGAAATATCTGGGATATGAAACACCCATGATGTGTCAAATCCATACCAAAGTGGAACATATATATATCTCTGGGGTGGAAGAGGAGGGGAGAGTCAGGGCTCACTTAGACAAGTACATTACACTATTGTATTTCTCAATGAAACCTCTGGCTACAGTTGTTCAAAGGGTGAATAGTGCTATACGCTGAATAAATCTCTATCCATTGGATAGCACACTACATTTTGTTAACACTTATCCATTGGATAGTGATTTATCTGGTAGATAGCGTTATCCACACCTTGAACAACTGGGCTCTGATGTTCAGGAACATCAATGAGCTTTATTGGCAATATTAGCTTTTTGATCTGCATGCAAACTATATCTTTTTCACCAAGCATAATGGAAACTAGGAGTTGTTAGCATGTTTGCCAAAAAAATCAAATAAGACAAATCAAAGCAAGCAAGGAGATGAATAATGCTACTTTTGTTAACTTACAAAAATTAGATATGGATTTACCAAGGTATCGGATGTTGAAGATGTGCGAAGAGCATATCCATTGCTGGACATGGTAGACAGGGAACGTAGATATGATTTTGCTTCTGTAAGTAAAAATAATTTATTCAAACAATTGTCTATCTGCCATTTAACAAATAGATTCCTTGTTGTTGTGCATCTGTTCAGTAATAGTCAGATCCACACAGTGTCATTTAAATTGATAAGAACAAAAAAGTGGCACATGCGGTGCAACCAAATGTGTCCATGGCAACAGTCCAGAACCTTAATGCTTTTATCTTAAAAAATGAAAAAATGCTGTTAATGGTGACGTAATTTATGGGTTTGTCCTCCAAAATATCATAAGTGAGAACACTATATCATATAATGTAAAATAATTGTCATGAAAAATGTTTCAAGATTTGGGAAATGCATTAGAAGTTATACTATGTTACCTTTTTTTCCTTTACTTATAACCTAGCATTTCCAATAACTTTTTAACAATAAAAGAAACTTAGAAGATTTTACTCTTTTTTTCAGCTTGGTTATGCTCCTGAAGAATTTCCACCTATTGAAGGTAAGTTTTAAGTGTAAATTTATTTGTAAGGCATGCATGTGTATGAGTAGGCTATTCATTCACCTTTCCCATTCAGGTAGGCTATCCATGTCTTTTGCCATAATCTTTTACACTGGAATTATGAAAAATAATTACACTTTTAACTCAGGAGAAAAATGCTGAGGAATCAATGTTGCTGAGACAAGCTACTTCAGTTGTTATTTTGAATGTGTAATATTTTTCATTTCTCACAAATAAGTCTTATATTTCTGCAGCCATTAATTTATGATTATTATTTTGGTTTTTACACATATCATTTCTATACCAATATTTTCATACTTTATAAAAATTACACTGCCCTTTATTTATCATGTTTCACACCCCTTTTAACAGTGTGTTTTATTTACTTAACCCTTTAACTTCCAGAAGTGATTAACATGTAACTTCTCCCTATAGTATCCATACATTATACAGCAAACAAGTAGTGAGATTACTCAAACTTATTAGGTACAAGATACTATCTTGATGGAACACCAAATTCTCATAACCAATTCACAAAGAAATGTATAGCAGCTGGAGGAGAGAATTAACCATCAGATCCTGGGAGTTAAAGGGTTAAACCTTTTTCCTACAAGTGTTTTGTGTCTTGCATTTTCCTTTAGTATTGTTGTAGATGCTCAGAACTTGTTGAATAGATTATTCAAAATTAACTTATCTTGTAGATAGAAATAAGAGAGATGGTAAGTTTTTTTCTTTGTCTCATGCTTGTGACAAGACGAAAAAGATGTTTCTTTATTTCTTTATGAACTTATCTTTTAGTCACACAATGCAAGTTATTTAACCTTAGCCAGCCAGACTAACCAGGTCACAAAAAAACCAATTTTTATATGTAATAGGTAAAATAATTTAATTACTTAGTAACATTATATTTCCTTTTTGTCATATATAGCAATAGTATTGCTTGGAGAGCCGGTGAGATGGGAAACAAATCTTCAGTTGGTTATTGATATGCTTGTTACCAATGGAAGCCCATCATCTAGTGTGCTGTCTGTACCAAGCCACCATATTCCTGTAATTGTTTCAAATACAGATTTAATATACATGGCAGAAGTTTCATTACCCAGGTACACATAAAGAGTGATGATTTTGTCAGAATTGAAACATAAATTAGTTGTCAGTACTGATCTTAGCATTTAAAACCTTAACCTATAATATCATTTAAAAATTTCAGATTTGGACATGGTGCTTTCTTGCTTAGCTTGGAAAATCTTTATAAGGTGTGAAGATATCTGTTATTTATTTTAGCCCTTAAGGTGTTTGTTAAATGTAACCTAAGGACTGTTATAAAATTGATTGCTAGTGCCATGTAGTTGCTGTTGGCATTCTGTAAAGGATGCATTGAGTAGATAGAACCAAACTGGTGTAAAGTACTACTATTGTACTGTTGTTGCTAGACATTTTAAATTTGAAAACACCTTCAAAGAATTTTTCATGCAAATAATTTGTGTATGTGCAGGTTTGTTTTAGGTTTTTTCAGTTTTTTGGTTGAGTCACTTTGTAGAAGTTTATTCATTTGTGATTTGAAAGTTTACAGCTTTTCTGTGTGCTGGAGTTGTTTTTTCGTCTGTTTCATAGAGAGTTTGATATTTAGGAAAAATTATTGATTTCATCTCTAGATCTTGATTGGAGAATCGTAAGATTCTTTAGTGTCACAGCCAGTTAAAGATGTATCATACATGGTTTCAGAGAATGTTTCGTCTCTGAGCCATAGAGAAATCTTCCACCTCACCAGAAATTTGCCTTTTGCTATACATTTCCTTTTTTTAATGATTCTCATTTAAGGAGAACCAGATAGTCTGCTGTTGGATTGTAACAGTCATCGGATATAAAAGTAGTGATATTTTTCACTTGCTTGCATTAAAACATACTCCTAAAAGATTGTAATATTTTTGTTTCCAGAAACTGACAGGTCAAGAATTGGTTTACTCAGCATTTTTAGGAAAGCCATACTTAACAAGTTACCAGTATGCAGAATACTGCCTGAATCAAAACAGTGGAGGAGCATCTGGCAATCTGAGAACACTATATGCTGTTGGGTCAGTGCAAATGTACATGCATCATGGTGTAACATAAAACTCTATTAGATAAAGCAAATGATGATGTATTCTGAAAAGAGACTTCATATCTTAGCTTGCCCATGTGTTATTCTCCATTAAATTTACTTCATTTTCATTTTAGTGACAATCTGGATACAGACATTTATGGAGCCAATTTGTGTCATGAGTATGTAAAGGTATTTGATGATGGTAGTGGAAATATTAATACTTATGAACATCATCCAAATGACTCCTCAAGTCAATTGGAACAGAATACATTCAAATGGTTACCTGGGGTTAGGAAAGTAGAATCAATTCTTGTCCAAACTGGTGTATCAACTCAAGATAATGACAACCAGCCTTCAACCAAGGAAGATGCTCGCTATTTACATCGCGACATTCATTTTCATCCTCACTTGAGGAGAGCAAATCATGTTGTGGAGAATATTGCTCAAGCAGTTGAACTGATCCTAAAGCAGGAACAGATAAATTCCCAATAATGATGTAACAATGAATATGTATAAAATGGAGTGTTTGCAAAATTAAATACATTTATTCTTATAAATTCCCAGAAAAATGATGCAAAATGTTTCATATATTACACTAAAACAATATTTTTGCAAATTTATAACTTGTCTTCAATGTAGGAATGGTAGATAGTAATTAATTAACTAGTAAATAGAAATATACTGGTAATGTGTCCTAAGGTAACCTGCTTAGATTAATTTTAAAATTTCTACTCTACACCAAATTTCAGTGGGAATGGTTTTTGATTTGATTAATGGAGACAAAATAACATTTCAGTCGTGACTTATTTATTGCTTTAAAACAATTTACTTGTGTATTACATCTAGTTAAATAACTTTTTTTCAAAGTTTCATTTGAGAAAAATAATGATATTTTCAATCTAGGATAGGGCTTTTTTACTTTAATTATAATAATGGTAATACTTAAAAAATTTATATATATATTTAGAAATTCAACCCACAAAAACACATTATCGTCAGATGATTACATTCTTAGCTTTCGAATATTCATAGAAATTTCATGTTTTTATTATTGATTTATTTAAGATGCATCATTGTTTTCAAAAATATATTGCATAGTGGTTATATTATTTATACAATTAGCTCTGAGTATTGGATTTTTTTTTTAACCCCTTAACTCCTAAGATCTCATTAGTAATTCTCCTTACTGTCTGCCTTATAGTTCTTGTGATGTTAGTTTGGAGAATTTGGTATTGGATCAACTAATAATTCCCTAATTAATATTTTTCTATATTCTCATCATTTGTCTGCTTGACACTGTATTGATATTGTTAGGTGTTAGGAGAAATTCTGTCTTGGTCACTCTTGGGAGTTAAAGGGTTAAGGACAGTATTGTGTTTCACTAGGTTAAATTTTGAGGAAGATGTTACCTTAATTTTAATCTGTTTTTATTTCTTGGGATCACAATTTTGTGTTAAATATTTATTTAAACATGAAGAATAAATTGTTTTTAATATGCTGTGAAATATTTTATGATTACTTTGCTGCAATTTGACATTATGTAATACGTAATGGAAACTGTGCGATTATCAAAAACGCTTGCCATTTTGGCGGGACCATGGCCTGAATTCCGGAATCTCCTCGTCTTGGACGCGAAACCCAATCTAGTCCTCTTCTTAGAGGGATCGAAAAATGTAACGGAGCGACGTTAAACGCTCACGAAACGCAGAGTAAACGCCAAAAAAAAAAAAAAAAAAGACGCGGTAGCGAGAACAAAGGAAAGATGACGTTTAAATTGTCTAGACAAGATGCCAGTCTGTCTCAGGATGTAGGATGTACTAATTATTATCTCCTAATTGATATCTCCTCATGTTTCCCACACAGTTTTTTGTTGCCCATTTTTAAGTTTGTGCTGTTTCGTTTTGTCGTAATTTTACCTGTGGATTTGTATACAATGACATGAGTAAAGAGACGCGACATGCTGTTGTCGAAATTATCTACTTAGCCAAGATCTTGAAAAGAGACTAGTACGTCATCTAAGAAGGGAAATCCCTTGAGAAGGCGTTTATCAAAAGTTTACCTTTCTAAACACAAAGGTAGTGTAATGTTATTAACTAATGCTACGATATCGAAAGATATGTCGTCGAAATTGTCGTTGTCATTTTCGAGATGCAACAGGCAGCAGAAATCAAACCAAAATAACACAGAAGGTATCTGAGAGCGCCAGGGTGTGCCCAATTTTGTTTTCTTTTTTCTCCATTTCGCGTGCTGAGATTGATACAGACACTTTTCGGGGTGAAATTTTGACCAAGGAATTAAAAGAATGCTTCTATTTTGGATTATGTGATGCATCTGAGACAATCAAAGCCTTGTTTACCATTAAAGTACCAAAAGAACATTTCCGATCTTAAACATTCATCATTTTAGCCAGAAAAAGTAATCACCCGTTTATTTATAACAATAGAGAGGAATTTTTGGTGGCCTTTCATTCCACAGGGACGCCGCAAGAATGGAATTCTCCAGTCACCACATCTCTCCCATACTCGACCTCGGGATTCACTCGTGAGAGAAGTACCTTCCACAAGCCTTGCGGAAAGCATATATCCAGTGTTGCTGATAGCATTTAAAATTATTAAAACGGCGTAACGTAGTGTTGGTTGGTTTCTTTGAACTGTCACACTACTTTAGAATGCTCCAGATGCTTTATTCTTCTACGTTCGGGTATTGCGTGACAAACTCTTCAAAAGACGGATTAAAAAAAGGCGCGCCGAGTTCATTGTTACAGTACTTACGTCACCGTCAAACAACTATTGCTTGTGACGATCACGAAATCTTTCGTTTCGACTGTCAACAATTGTGCACGCAACGAGTGCATCTAATAGGGAACAATTCATTAGGTACATTTACTTGCGTCGTGCATCTTTCTGATTGAATGTAAAAAAAAGGAAAAAGGACAAACAAACAAACAGGCGAAAAAAATTTTATGGGGCCAGTTAGTCACGTTTTGACATGAAAAAGCTACACTCAGCTGCGCGGTTGGTAAAAGTGTTAATACGCAGTTGACAACTGTCAACAGCCGTGAACTGTCTCGATTTGCGTGTACAGTCTACGAAGGTTACTTTATTCCCACATATTGCTCTATTAACTCGAGACTGAGCTGATGCTTCTGATGATATCAATGAAGCAAATGTCTGACGCTCGAGTCGTTTACGCTGTCAAAGGTCGAGTAGATGCAAACATTTATAAACACGTAGAATTAAAAATGCATGAACTTGGCCTCTGTGAGACGCGTGGCGTGATGGATGCATAGGTGTGTCGGAAACCTAGCGACGCAAAATTTTCAATTACCCCTTTATACAAGCTCTCAAAAAGTGTGGATGGTGAACATGTGAAGGTTATGAGATCGGTGCAATTGTGAAAGTTTTCAAATGAAGCACGTGTTATAGCCTAGATACTTGTGAATGGTCAATATGTGATTTTGTGGGTGGGAAGTCGAAAAACTTACTAATTTCCCTGCGCACAACTAGTGGGCGTATTTACGACATTTTGGCATTATGTCAAAGTTTGTATGCTCAAAGCGCGGCAGACTGATTGATACAATTATTTTCAGCAGATAACAATCGACGCCCAAATTTTACCTACAGCGATGTTTGCTTGCTATTTGTAGGACTAATCGAGTTTTTTATGTGCGTAAAAGCCCTGACGTTAAGCTCGATTTAACAGCAAAGTAGATCCCAAAGACAAAGTATTTTAAGAGAAAATAAAGGTTAATTGTGTAAATCGAACTCGGTTGGATCCTTTAGAGTCGCGTTGTCCCCTGATTAGCCTCTGACACTTAGGTAACATATGCGAGTGCATAGTTGCCATCATGATATTCTTTAAAAAGCTTCTCCACGTGCATCTCGATTTCGCACTTGATCGCATTCCACGTTTTAATTGTATTTGTTCCTCGGACTGTTGAATTACATTTTTTGCGGTCTATTTGCCCTGTTGCCGACACAAAGGGGTGCTACTGTTCCCTCTAAGCACCGACCTGCACCAGGTGAAATATCCGTTCTCTGGTTGCTAAGGTGTTTATTAACCTGCAAGGCAATTATGATAAACAAGGTAGGCGTGACATAGTTTGAGGTTTCTTCAATCAAAAGGGACAAGTAGGCCAGAGAACAACCACCAGCAACTTAAATTCTTAATTTTTGCAGAAGCCCACTATAAAGTCATCAAGATGATTTATTAGTTGTGTGGCTTTTTGTGATTTTGTCGGAGGAATGATTGAAGCCATTTCGAATTCCCTTTCTCTTTTTTTTTTTTTGTCTCCCTTGGGGGTTACCGGTGGCTCACGCCTTCTCTTTGAGGTGTAAACAAAATTGTTTTGCACGAAATCCGCTAAGTAAATGAGTGGCAAACACCGACGGACACGATGCTGTTCTCTTGAAGCACAATCGGCGCCCGTCTTCCGCTACCACGCAACCCGAAATCCGCAATCCATCAAATGGCAACTCAACAAAGGAAATTTGAATTTCCGATATTTCAACCGGGGCACTTGAGAGGTCGTCGGATAAAAATATATATATTTATGTTTGTCAATTTCAGCACGTGTACTTTTTCGGTTATTGAACGTAGCGACCAATGGCTATACAGAGATTAGCATTAATTAGCTTAGCAGGATTTTGTTGGCCACGCCTCCCGAACTCGGAAACGGTTCTTTTGTTGTCAGAGAACGGAAACAAAACCCACTTTCAACCCAATCCAGCTGTTGCCGTCACTCGCAAATATTCAAACTCGGGGAATACGCACATGAATTGGTCATAACCTCCTACGCTGGTTCGCGTCAAGAGCTGTGGTCCTTCTCGCGCTAATCTAATCAATTTGAGCTCTTGCTCGACTTTCCTTTTACCTTAGACACAGAATTCTACTATTGTGAGGTACTAGAGTTGTTCCTGTCGTAAAAAAGCGGAGAATCATCGAGAGGAAAATTAACCGGTGATTTTGTTGGGGATTGCGTGTGCCTATCTGGTGTCCAACAGCGTCGATTTGTAAAGTCTGAAGCGTAATGGCGGCTACTCAAGCTTTCTTTTCATCGAGCGTGGCTCTTGATACACTTTCTGCGGCGCGCTGTTTACTCGACATGTCAAAAATTTTTCCGAAGAAACCCGCGCCGGTGCACTCTGAGAACACGCCATCGTCTCCTTTGTTGATGTTCGCGAAAATCCTGGCCTCGATGGAAGAAGAGTGCTCGCTGATAAAGAAACATTCATGTCTTGGGAACACTACGAATCAGACATCGAACCTGAAGGCAGGAACCGGCTTCGGAGTGCAGTTCAAGGAAACAGAGCGCGAAAAATTTGCGACTGCTGTAACCCCGAAGGAGAATGGTGGCGTTACAGGATACTGTAACGACGACACGCCCTCTGAACTGTCCACGAAACCAAAACAAAAGACCCGGCGCCGAAATTCACGCAGGAGAAGCGAACAGGAAAAGAAAATTCACGCTTGCCACTACAACGGTTGCGATAAAAAATACGGCAAGAGCAGTCATCTGAAAGCACACCTCCGTACGCACACGGGAGAACGCCCGTTTCATTGCACTTGGACTGGCTGCGAGAAAAAGTTTGCTCGCTCGGACGAACTCGCACGGCATTATCGCACGCATACGGGTGAGAAACGCTACGTTTGTGGCATCTGCAGTAAGCGTTTCATGAGGAGTGATCATCTCTCGAAGCACGCAAAAACACATGGATTGAAATCCCGCAAAGAACTGGCGAGACCCACGAATCCAATGTTCTTTTGAAGTCGAACGCGGTGGGTACGCGTTGAAAGAAACAACTGTGCGAGAGTTCGCGTGCAATTTTAGTGTCAGCTGCAAAGAATGGTCTCCCGGTCGATTTCTGCGGCGAAAACTGTGTGATAAAGTGGAAAATCAGTAGGGGACATTTTATAATAGAAGTCCAATGATGTTATTTCAGCTAGTAGGTTCTTCAATTGCTTTTGTTCCCAGACAATTGTATTTGACATATTCTAAGAAGTTTACGAAAACGCAGTCCAATCGACGATTGATTTTAAATTCTTTTGGAACAATAGTCGGTGATTTAGGCTCATTTCATCGTAAATTTTAATGTTGGACATTACAGAATTAAAAAAGTAATTTTGTAGATTGAAAAGGTGTTCATTACACCCTTTTATAAAGTATGAATAATTTTTTTCTGTAAACGACAAAGTTTTTAATCGAACGTGTGACACACCTGTGTTAAAATTCAGCTGGACTGAATAAACACGGGCTACCTTTCATTAGATCGCTTTGTTTGAAACTTGAAATGACAAGAAACCACGCACACCGAGGTGAATGTTTTAATAAAAATTTCCTTTATGATTGTATTACAATAATGCGTGAATAATTTTTACATCTTCCTCTTCTCGATCGCCTGTCACTGACGAAAGCTGAAGTTGTTTACTGCTGTCGACCTACACGCTTCCTGTTTCTTTGGCTTCTTACGCAATATCAAGCGCGCAACCTCTGTAAACAACTACTAGCATACGGCTTGAAATAGATATTACCATTCAAAGCCGTTGTTCAAATGAGGTTACCAATGCTGGTAAATTCTGTAATTTAGGTCTCTATCGGCTTTTTCATCTCACTGAACTTGTTTCTTCTTTACCTGAAGTGAATGTTTTTTCTAGGCCTCATTGAACATGCAAATTTCCCTAATTTTGCGAGATGTCAAGGGCAAGTGAATGTATCTAAGGAGTGGTTACAACAACTACAGAGATCATGAATGGAACTGAGAACAGATATGAATGATGGGGTCGGATGAAGCACAATTGCCTCATTTTAGATTGAGAAGCACTTGAATTCATGAACTCTATGATCTTAATGGTGGCACTTAACGTGATTTGAGGAAATGTTTTCAATTTTTTTTTCGATGGCGGCAAATTGGACACTTCCTCACTGATGCGTTAAAATTTGATGAGGTGGAAAGTCTTCATGAGAAAGAGAGTGATTTCTCTAGTTGAAAATCAAGTTAAGAAGTTCAAGCAGTTGCATTTGTAAGACGATCCTAACCTATGGGTTTTGTTTTCTGAGGATATAATACCCCTGACAGAACAATAGCAATTTGCCCCATGAGTGCAACCCATAGGTCCTTCATGGGTCACAGACTAGTATTCCTTCTCAAGAGAGATGAATGAGTTAGAAGCACACCTCCCTTGACAGAATTAGCTAGGTACATTTGAGCGGCTTTCTGAGTCTTAAAAAAAAACGAAGAGTGTAAGCTCGGAACCTTTAACACGAAATGTTCATTTTAGGCGCAACCTTAAGTTTACAATCCTCCTAGTTGTCTCTATGCAACGAACAGCTGCCGAATTTGAATGAACTAAACAAACGCGATATTTAATATGGCTCAATTATAATCAAATTACAACGAATTCCTAATTATTCCTAACAACAAGAAGACGTTTGGAACCCACGTAAAGCAACGAACCCTTTTTGTTGGTGAAGTCTCGTTCCTACGACGTTACATTTCTCTAGCTAGTTTCACGATGTCAATTAAGTGCTTTTCTTCCACTCTCAGCTATTGTTCCTTTCATTGTACTAGACTGATAAACCCAGCTGCCACGCGCCGAGTTTCTTTATCCTTTAAAATCTCCATTGTCTTGAAAGGCATCCATTATTTAAATTGGCGAACTTTGTCCTACACGAAAATAAACTTCTCAGTGCCAGATCGCCCTCTTATGTTAAAAGTACACACGTGTTAGGAAACCACTGAAATGCGTTTTCACAGATTTATTTTTATGTCCACTTCCGGTTGGTTGGTAAAAGGGCGGCGAAGGTGCAAATTATCTTTTGATTGATCAAACAAAAAATTTTAGGCGCGAGAATGATTAAGTATCACCTGGGACAGCCTTGTATACCTGAATTCAACAGGTGGCTTAATTCAGCGAGCGGTTTTGCTTGTCAAGTGGACAGGCCTTTTAGCACTTCTAGCACAAGTAGAAAGCGTAACATTTTCGAAGCTCTAAGCAACGTTTGTGACGGCTGAAATAAGCTATAGAGAATGAATGCTCTCTTAATTTAAAATATGCGAATGTTTCATTACATTTTTGATTACGCCAGACCAACCTTCCAATAATTATGAATTTAACTAGTCATAGTTGCAATTTTTTATCTGTAATAGCCTTAGGAAGGACGTTGCCATGCAGGAATCTTTGTTTTCCAAGGCAATTAACGAAAGAAAAAGATAGAAAATGGAAAAAGAATCGAAATAGAAAGACGAAACTGGTCTGTACTAATCAAAAATCGATTACTTTTGTCAATGAGGGTAAATCATCGCCTGCTGTTATAAATTTGGTGGAGCTTTTATTTCAGTCATATCAGCTACGTGGGGTCCAAATTTTCACTCATTTTTTTTTTAGCTGGAATTTTTTTAAACTCCTTTAAGCTTCATGGTAAGACCCAGGCCATTTTATTTTTAACGTAATAAGTCCATAACGGAACTGCTGTGTTGCGTCGGTAGCTAGAAAAGTGAATTAGCGCGTATCTCGCAATCTTGACAATCATCCATTTTGCTTCGAAGCAGCTTGCTAGCCGGCGCTTTGACGGAGGGCCAAAGCTGGAAATACAAACGTTTCAGGACTCGCTTCAGCAGTCTATCAACCTTCATTCATCGACTCCTGCAAGCAGACTATTGGTCAATAGAAAAAGCTCGGTTGATAATCATCTAAGTGATGAAATATTTATGCAACTTGCTGGTAGCGTTTAGTATTAGTAGTTCCACCAGTTCACCACTGGAATAATTGACAAATTAGAAATTTCTTGCTAATTATAAATTGTGAGGTGACACATGTAGCGAATTTTAGTAAAGGAACGTTCCTTTACTAAGATTCGCTACATGTGTCACATGTAAATAATTTGATTTCAGTTGTGTAGCTTCGGACCCCGGGAGTGCCTATTCAATTTACCTGCCCTCAGACCCAGGGCTCTGACAACGTAACAGTACATATAAATATATTTTTCTATCCATTTAACGTTTTTGAGTCTCAGAGAAACGTACAGCTATATTATTATTCAATTCTGAGTTAGAGTTTTGAAATCTCTTGATAGTTTTGGCGTTAATCGCGTGATACTCTAAGTGTGGATCGTGCAAGATCTTAGGGATTCAACCTCTGACCGGCTTAATCAGCTGTCTCCGAAACGGGCGCTTTTAAGGGAATTCAGCAGAGCCACAAGTGGACGAAAGCCGCGAGAAAAGAAAATTTCTGCCTGCTCCATTGCCTTCATTTCTATCGATTGCGAGTGCATGAAACAACGTCGATTACATAGGAAATTTCAAAGTTTGCAGTATTTCGTTATCCTGTCACCAGTTTATCCTGTCACCAATTATTTTGAAAATAATAATCATTTCATCAACCCTGCAGCTGCTGTTCATTAAAAATAGTCTTTCAGGAGATTCAATACGTGCTATTTATGTATTTTTTATTTTTTACTTTTTCGAGTTTAATCGATAAACGCCTTTGATCCAAGTAATGCAAAAGGTTGGAAGGTTCTCCCATTGCACTCCCAAAATAGGCGCCAAAAATTTCCAAAACTCACCACAGCGTGGAGAAATAGGTAACTAAATTTAGATTAAACCCAAGCGTGATCCTTCCAAAATTTAACTCAATTTTCCGAAAACGGAAGCCTTAAAGTTTCTCTTTGCGGGGGTGATCTTCCTTTCTGTTAGACATGTGTTGAATCATTTCAGCTACCCGCCCTCTAAAAGTAAACAAAAGGCATACCTAGGAAACAATGGCAAAATACGTGGGAAATGCTTCTGTAGGAAATCCGCACCTTTTTACAGTTACATCACGTTTTCTTTTTCTTTTTTTTTTTTTCGTTTGGGTGGGTCTATTTCTATTAACGAATACACTTCCACGAGGGACTGTCAGCTTCCGTGGCAAGCAAATGAGAGGTTTCAACATAGCTCAAGGGGTTTTCTTATTTATAAATTTCACCTGAAGTTAAAAGTGAAAACTGTTTGCCGAGAATTGTACCGTAGAAGATATTGAACAGTTCCATGCTTCTTACGAGGTGAGGGAGGGAGAGAGTGTGAGTGGGGAACGTATTTGTCATATATTTTTTGCAAATTTAATGGCGGCTTTAAATCGGTAAACACGGTAGACTGTAACGCCGTAAATATTTTGAATGGGGCTGTATTTGGCAGGTGACTGAGGTTACTTCCGATGTTTGTCTTGGCGTGCGGTTTTTAGATTGACTATATATCCGTGTCGATTCGATAATGTTTCTTAAAGCAACGTTACGGAAGTTAAAATCGATCTAAGTCAAAGCGATTTTAACAAAAATAAGGGCTGATCGATCCATTGAATCAGGACTTGTCATGCGGCAGAAGTCCATTTCTTGTCTGACAAATCGAAATAACCAGCCCACCATCGCCGGTCACAAACAAATTGACGCTAAGGATACATAATGTCTCGACAGATTATCCCTGCAAATCCACTAAACGGATTTTATCAGTTAATAGGTGAATTAGGTCCACGACTATTGAACAGAACTGTCCAAACATTCTAAGCAGAATTTCATCGCGTTTCAGGAAGAGAGTGATTCTTTTTTTTTTTAATCCTCAGTATGAATCTTGGAGCCAACATCTCACATTAATTGCAAAAAGTTATACATCGGTGAAACAGGAAGACGACTCGGTGACCTATTCCAAAGACACCTTCGCGGCGGAAAAAGAAATGACAAAGACGCATTCAAACCGGTCGCTAGACACTTTAATCTCCTTAATCATTCAAACAGCATATTGCAGTTTGCGGCCTTTCCCTACGTCTACGTAGTTTGGAAAGCCGCAAAACTCGTTCAAATCGGCACCGTTAACCCCCTATGTATCAACGAGCTCTTCATCCAACTAATTTTTTTTAATTATTTTCTCGTCACCATGTTCCGACCAATAGCGTAGTTCCATTTTCTGCAGCTTAACACACACACAACCCACAACTCTTCCATTCGCCTTAACGAGGGGCTAACACTCGAAATTTCAGCCTTGAAACTCTTAACGGTGGACAATTTAAGTCTTCAACCCAGTTGATAATGTCAAATTACCCTAAAACGTCACACTGTCTCATTTTAATTCGCAGCCATTGTTGGTTTTGTCACGCAATGCACTATCTTTAACTCCTTCCGACACGCGTGACATCCAAGGATACCAATGTCACTTTCGAAAGACGTGATATCTTAACTTTTGTTTATTGTCTGACATCACATCAAAACAAGACATAAGAAGACAGATTAGGCCAATTAACAGATAACACTCAAAGAAATGACCCATCTTAGGAGAAAAAGATTTAATTCAATGTCTAACAGGCACATTTGTAGCAGCTGCATCATCAGGATTTAACAAGTAACTACTGAGATACCCCGAGCACCCTGACTGGTCAAAAATCTGTCGTTTAATGCACCGCTAAACTCATAGTTATTTTATAAAAGCAATAGACAGCTCGTTCTATCACTTTAGCAGCTTGATGACTTTGAAGGTTGATAGAACGCTCGAAAAAATTTAGCTGTCATTTCCAAACTTATTTCGTTTTCTATCAACACTTCGCGTGGGTTAATATCATGGTTAAACGAGAATTAAGGGCGGTATCGTGCTTCAGTGATACTTAGTCACTATAAAGTTGGTCTAATCCAACTTATCTCTAAATATATATTATATGTTTAACTTTTGTCCAATCAATCAGAGACTTAAATTGTCTAGTTCCTTAGAGATACAAATCAATTGTAAATCAAGGTTTTATTTCTAAAGCTATGAAGGACAACAGAGATTTAAAATAGTAAGGACAACACACATGGCCACCCACATGCTAGGAATCACCCTTACAGTAGCAGTGTGAATCAATTTATCTCCATGTCATTCATTCAATTAGTCTCAATAACAAGGAAATATTCCAAAATGACAAGAAACATTTACAATAAAAGTACTTGCCTTCAAAACTTGACCATCATTGCTGTTGAAATTGAAATTCTGGTGCATCAACTAAACAAATTGATGAAAAATTTTACAACCCTTTTGGTTTAAATAGAAATAATTTAAATCTAAAATAACTACTAAATATTCTACTAAATATTTCTTAGGTAAATGACAAAATTTAACATTTTGATTTTTATATTAATCAATTTTGTAAACATTCTAACATTCAGTGTGTAAAGAGCAAACAGCTTTGAAACACTTGGATATGACTTGAATTTTTCCAAGTAAAATTTTTTTCAATTTGAAATGGAAACTTGGAAAAATTAGCAGCAGAACAAATTTGAGGTTTGTTTACTTGTAACCCTCAATTTCAATCAATTTTCCTAGTTTGTCTCCAAAAATTGGATGTGATCTTAGGCCACTTCACAAGAATTGTTCTCTTTGGTATAGCTAAGAATTGCAATAATCTACTTTTCATTAATGCATCTCTCATGTAGTATGTTGCTATGATTGGTCAATTAAAGAGGCTGTATTTCACCGTCAGGCCACTAAATTCACAAGTCTGTTTTAATAAACTGAAATCTTACCCCAATATTTTAACCCAGAGATGTTAGTTATAAATATCTTTCCTAACCTAGTTTTATCAGTTTGTATTTTAAGTTATGGAAGCTCAATTTTTCTGCTCAGATTTATGGCCTGCATGCAAAAACTCAGTCGGTAACATACAATACAGACCTAAAACTTGGTTAGTAAACAATTAATGGACAAGTATCAAATAAATCTAAGGATTTAGTAAAGGATGAATGTAGTACCAACTAAGCTTTCATATCCTCTGGTCTAAATTTGGTTAGCAAGACTAATTTTAGACAGCTTAAGATTTTTTGTTCTCATTTTCTTCTGCCATATACTTCAACGACTTTTGATATGCTTTGTAGCATGTGGAACAATATCCCTTCTTTTCTGGACTGCCATAAAACTGGCAGTCTTTGGAGGAACACTTTATGACTGTCTGACCTGAGGTACTGTCACTTCCATTACTTGGTTCAAGCTTGACAACTGAGCCAGATGACACCGAAGAAGATTCTGTGCTATTGCCCCTACTTTTCACTGCATCACTATATGAAGGCAATTGATCTGTAGAAGGAGTATTGTAGCCATGTGTTCCAATGGTGTTGCCACAAAAATACCCATAAGGAACATACGCAGAGTATGAAGGAGGTGGTAGGTAACTTGATATTCCACTGGTGTCATAATTTGACACAGCTGACCTGTTTGGCACTGAGCTTTCAAGGTACCGACCACTCTCACTGTAAGATTTCTGAGTTTTAAAACAGCCAGAGCAAAGATAATTTGTAGCAGAAGTTCCGTACAGTTGGCATCCAGGGTTAATACATGGCTGCGGTTTCTCTCCAGGGTCTAATGAACTTTTGGAAGCTTTTGCCAGGGATTTCTTCTCTTCCTCAAATCGGAGCTTTGCTGTTCCAATATAGTTTTCGATCATTTTGTCATAGTAATTTGGTTTCTTGTCAGTTTGTAGTTTTGCAACATAGACATTGTTGTGAACAACACTTCCCACAACTCCTGCCATCACACCCACTTTCATGATCTGTGTAGCAATCCAAGATTTCTCTTTCTTCTCAGCAGATTTTGAAGGCAATTTTTTATCTACTTTTGTTTCACTATCAGCATTGCTCCCTGAAGGCTCCACTGTTTTCTCTCCTTTGGAAGCTACCTTGTTGTCTTCAGAAGTGTCTTTCTTACTTGTGCAAGGAACTTTTATCAGTTCCACATTTAAATATTTCTTTAAAAGCTCCAGCTTTACATCCATGCTTAATGCAAAGTTCTTTGCCACACTTGAGTCACCATCCAGGTCACTCCAAACAAAATCTTCTCCTGGATCCATGGAAAACTGCAGTGGCAGCAAATCATAGTTTGGTCCTACCAGAGGCACAGAGGCTTTCACAGAATCGCTCTTAGAGTCCTTCTTTTCCTCTGAAGGCACCAAAGGAGAAAAGTGTGCTGAATCAAAAGCTAGAACCAATGGACTTTTAATGCATATACTTGGATCACACTCCAATGGAAGATAAACCCCTCCAAAGGGAATGGGTGCGATTGGTTCCCCTCCAAATCCGTACAAAAACTGGTCAGCTATGATTATAATTGGACGTCTCAGAACCTGTGCCAAAACAAAGACATGAATGTCCTCTAAGCTTTCAAATGCTCCTATCTCAGTTTCTTCAGTAATTTTTTCTTTTGAACCATCTGGTGCAGGTGACTCCCTCTGATCTTCATTATCCTTCTTAACATTTCCATCTTGTTCTGCTTTTGGTGGGTCAACCACATCCTCAGCATCCTTTGCTGTGGCAGAGTCATGCATATCCTCATTTTCCTTCTCAGCTATAGAGGCTAAAGTTGGGGCTGTCTCCCCTCCTTTTTTGCACTCTGTAGCTGCCTTTTGCTCATGATCCAGTCGGCGCTGTGTAGAGGCTATGCGTAACACCTCCTGCCATTCATCTTCCCACTCTTGTTCTGAGTAGAGCAGTCCACCAGCCTCCTTATTTTTCTCCCACTGTTGAAATCTCCAACGGCGTTTAATAGCTCCTTTGGCCAAGTGACTTGTAAGTGTATCATATAAGGCCTTGCGTAAAGTAAGGAGACGATCTTGGAATCCCCACATTCCCAGAGAGGCAGCATGCAACAAACAGTTGCCATCTCCCACTGTTGCCAGGGGCAAAAGACGCTGGCAAACACCTGAATCAGCCCACCAGTTCAGCCGTCCTGAGAAGAGATGGAAAACAGTCAGTAAACAAAGTATGCATAGCCTAAGTTCATTGTAAATCACCTGTTACTGCTAGTTGACTCAATTAACTAAAGCACAAGGGCGATACACTGCAGGATGATGTACCACGAAAATGTCATTCACCATGTTGTGTCAAATGGCACCTATTAAATTACATCACTTTCTGAGAAGACCATTGTAAAATTGCCCGATGCAAAGTTAATCTTCAGAGATAAGAAAAAACAAACAAACAAACCAAGAACAAGGAGAAAAGAAGTGCCATAGCAAGAGGGTTTACTCTAACTTATAATATAAAAGCCATGAAAGACCTTGAAATATCATGCATGGAGACAAGAGTTCAAAAATGAGATTTCACAGGGAGGTTATGATATTTTTGTTCGCTTTCAGGGTATGGAACAAAAAAGTAATCAGAAGAAGCAATACATTGCTCCTTGTTAGAGTAGTGAGGTGAAAAGGTAATGTTAAGGACTTTTACAGGACTACACCCTAGAACAAGGTATAGTCAATAGACACTTCTACAATCTTTCAATCCCATCACTCTCATGAGAGACCAAGACGGAATTTCTCCTTACAATATCAAGACAATATCAAGTAGAAAAGTAATAAGAAAAGAGAAAAATATCAATTGAGGAAATTAGTAGTTGATCTAATGACAGACTCTCCAAACCAACATCACTGAAATTGTAAGGCAAACATTAAAGAAAGGAGAATTACTATTAAGATCTGATTTCTGATTAATGTCTTGAAAAGCTTATTTCTAACTCAGCTACCATGGGTCAGAACTTTTTTAAACAACTATAGTGCCTAATTGTTAATCCACCAAAGTGTTACTGCATATAATAATATGGCTGTCATGAACATAAATGGGCCTATCTTCCTATAATTTTGAATATATTTTGAATATATTTGGAATTTAATTAAATTATTTTTAATCAGTTTTCTTAATTACCAGTATTAAGTGATAGTTAACATTCTGACTGAAAAGTCCTGTTGAAGGGAGTTTCAATAAAGTATGTATGTATCTTCCCTAATAGCACTGCTTGCTTTGTCTTGCAACCTAAGATTTCATTTTGGCCTTAAATCATAACATTTTTTGGTCTAAATAGTGAAGCATTCCTCTCAGTCCAAAAACACCTTAACCTCTTCTAAGAAGGGCAATCAAAAGACATTTTGTCGTTGACTATTCGAAAATCTCAGAAGTCCCGTAACGATCGAGTTATGGAGAAAAGCAAGCTTCTCCTATGAAGATGAAAAGCATCGAATTCGTACAACATAATCTGAACTTTCCATGTGTGACTTAACTTGAATTAAAAAATTGAGAGGATGCAAACAGACTTTTTTAAACTTTCCAAAGCTTACAAATGTGTTGGAATGAAATTAATTACCCCGAAGTAAGCCTGCCTTACTGTTTACATTTGCGCTTTCTTCACAAATTGGTAAGTTTGGCATCATTTCCCGCAAAAAAGGAAATAAGTCATGATTTCAGTTTACCTGCTTGCTCCAAAGCGACTAAAGCCGAGGTTTCAATTAAGTCTCTCCGGAGGAAGTCGCTTAATTCTTCTGGGAAGTTGGACAAATCTGGTAAAACGAAAGTGAAATCGGACATTTCCTCAAATCTTTCGTATCTCTCGTCTGTACCCGGCACCTTGTCCTCTATCACTTTATGCCTAGCTTCTCCAACGATGTCGGCATTAACCATCGACAGCCCACGTTTGCCTTTTCCACTCGCAATATGACTATCATCACCACACTGTCCTTTGCTTTGCGTACATGAAGCCGAAGAGCCAAGCGAAAGCGCTTCAAAAGCTGAAAGCGCTTCGTCAACATTCCAATTTGTACTCTCTAATAGGTCTCTCGCTAAGCTCGGATCTATCCCAGTCTGAGCGATGAACTGACTCAGAGTGTCATCCATTGCATCAAGCAGTACAAGTCACTGACAAGTAATTTAAATTTAAAAAAAAAACCTATGACACAAACCTCAGCACCTCATTTATCTTTCGCTACAATCATCGATTTCATTTCTTTTTAGTGCCCAGTTTCCTCATCTTCATTGTCCCCCACAACGATTCACTGTGTCTTGGTGGGGGTTTCGAAAAATCGCAGAAATAAGTTTTCAAATTTTGAACATTTCCATAAATAGGATTGAGGAAAATTTTTGACCCAAAGTCGAGCAAAAGTGATCTTGCACATATTCTTACAATCGGGCTTCAAACAAGTTTTTTTTTGATACCCTGAAAAACCACACTTCTTTATCAAACTCGAAGATTAGTTCCCTCTCTCTCAACACGACGGGTAACTTCCAAAGTTTGTATGAGATCTCTATCTTTTAAACGTGTTTACGTCTAAACCCAATTTCTACTTAGTAGTGGTTATCGTATATTCCGAGAAATATTTCTCCTCCAGCCCCAAAAAATGATTTAATGCCTCCAAAATGTATTAATAACCTTTTGGTGGAAATCTACATATTTCTTCCCCTCTCTGGATTCATGACCATCACGCAACGTGATACTACGAGGTACTTAAATTTATGTTCATACCACAAATACAAACAGAAAAACAAACAACATAGAGAAAAATCACAACTGAAAAAAACACAACAAAAAATGAGTCAGCTATCACACTTTGGTTGTATTTCGTTGATAAAACGATGGAAGTCCTGGTTGCTTAGCCATACCAGGAGTAGATCCATTAATTTAATGATAGATGTTTACAGGTTTTGATTCTAAAACTCAATTTTTCATTCTGGCTTAAACAATTCAAGGAATATTTCCAAGACAAATTAAAATATGATTACGGGTACTTCATATTGAATAGTAACGTATGATCCTATCATTAAAAGAATTATGTCGGAGAATTCCACATCACCAGATCCTCCCCTTGATCTGACACACCTCGTTATCGATATTATATTATCTGAATAAAATACAAGTTCCTAATCAAATAGCACATCCAGGAGATCCCTACCATCACAGCTTGATAACTTTTTTAAAAATCAATTGCTTTAAATAAGTTCAAAGCAGACAAAGAAAGAGATAGAAACAGAAGCAAAGTCTCGTTATTTGCGGTGCTACCAACTCAATTTTCGCTTGAGAGGAGTCTGGGAACTAACCTTTCGTCAAGCACGAAAAGTGCAGTGTAATGTTGTTAAAGAATAAAAAACACTGTGCTAAAAAATTCACTAGTGTTTCGCTGGTACCAAACCGGAAATATGCACAATAATCGGCCTTAGGGTAATTTATTTATCATTTATTTTTTAGAAATGCTCGTTGTCTGACACACCCTTGGTGTGCTGACAAATTTCCGGCAAAAAAGATTACAGTCGAATGATTACAAAATCATGAGGGGACACACTTCCTGAAAAATATTGAGCACAGTTTTTCCATCCATATTTACCAATAAATATGCATATTGGTGATCGATAGGTCTACATGAAATGAATATGACCTCTTAGGATAAATCGAGGAGGTTGGAAACGATCTTGTTTAAAAATTTCTTCCATATATTTGGACAATTCTGTTTTCTTTTCTAAGCTTTCGCGAAGAATGCATGTGGAGCTGGCACAGAGAGGGGCGAAGGACTCAAACATGTTCAAGATGCTCATTTCCTACTTTGTTGTGTTTTCATTACATCATCAACTTTTGTAATCCGATGTTTGCATAAATATTTATGTTATCCTGTTAATTACTTTCAAGAAGCCGATCTTGTCGATACAGAAGTTCGTCATAAACAAAAATCGTGAAGCCCACACCAGCTAGGTAAGGTGAAGTTTCGTCAAGAGAATGTATTAGAGAGGAACGCGAACGATTAACACAGTCGCTGAGAGCAACAAAAAGGGAACTAGCATCTGGAGAAATATAAATTTGAGCATTATCGAAAACGAGAAATAGATTGATAAAATCAATTTATCACCGTGACGAAATTGTTCCAGGAACCGATCAGGGCGAACCCCAGGAAGGACCTGTGACGTCACTGAATCTTTTCATTAACTTGTGGCAGCTGAAGATTTTGGTTAATCGTTAATTTATTCCAAATAGTTCGCTCTTCAGTGAAAGTCGGTAGACAGTGGGCGAGCTTTATCCGTGGCTGGCATCCGCACCGGGAGAGTTCAACTCGCATTCAGACATGGCGAAGACATTGTTCAAACACTCCAGAAAGGGAGATATCAACGATTATTATAACATCCAGGAAGGAGAGCTAGGAAGGTACATAGAATCGTTTGTGCAGTGTTTTGTTTCGTTTAACTACGGCCTTTCGATTTTGCAGTACAGGTAATTCGCTTTGACAGGGTACTCAGCGCATATGGTTGTCCTTAGTAATAAACTGTAGCAACATTCAGCATGTATGCTCGCGTTGATCGATCGAGTCTTCGAATGCTCATTTTTGTGTTGTTTTCATTTTTAGAGGAGCCTCGTCTGTGGTTAAGATGGGCAAGCACAAGGGGACCAAGAAAGATTACGCTATTAAGATAATAACCAGAACAGTAAGTGAATCCTTAAGGGTTTCGTTTTCCATTTTGCACACCTGAAAGATTGAACACCAATGAATCATTCCGGCAGCGTTCGGCTTTTCGCTATGTTTGTGTATGCAAAGCTGCATTTGCAAATTTATCTGTCAAAGTGTTCAACAGCGGGGAACGCGGTAGTTATGGCGAGTTAGTTGCCATGTCATCGCGGTTCTATATTTATAAACTTGCACACTTTCGTCTCAGAAAGGATCCCACTGGTACTTAAGTAAGCCTTTTAAGCTCCTTAGATTTCTGCAAAGTGTAGAAGTAGTATGCAAAAGGTATAAGTTTTTTTTCCTTTATTGTAAAACGTAACAATAAATTTCTATTTGTAACTTTAAAATGTTAAAACCATCGACTGTAACCTTTTTCCGATATCGGCGCTAAGGAGCCAATGTTAGACTAAACAAGTTGAGACAAGTATTGTATACCAATTAAATGTGATGGAAAAAAATCAGATCCATCGATCTTTGATCTTAAGAATGAAAGCGTAGTCGACGAAGAACCTCGAGCGCTGCAGCGTGTGGTTAAGTTGTAAACATCATCCCATGAGCGTCTTCGAAGTTGCTACACTCATTGCAGTATAAGCTCGTTATTATTCACTAATTGAAAGCATTAAGAATCTTAAGTACATTTGCTTCTTGAATAGTTCAAACGCCAGCACTTGTTGAAATATTTCAATGATCGTCCTTTACGTCATCAATAGCAATTGTGGAGTTTACGTGGCGAATTTGTGTTTTCCTTGTCATCGTTATTCGGTAGTAAGGAAAGATGCTCGTAGTTTAATTTTTATACCTGACCTATGAGACTTCCTTCTTTAGACATGCCAGATTAAATATTGTTAGAAATGAAGCAATGTCAGAGATAAACAAAATTAGCTGGAGCACTACAGATCTTGTGTAATATCACTTTTGAAAAGGCCAATATTATAGAATTGCAAGGCTATCGATCAAAGGGACTTATTGAATTCTTTACATAGAATGCAAACTCTTTTCTTCTTTTTTAACAAATGAGAAATCAACACCCCATTATTGAGCTCTACTGGAAACCCTTGATTCACAAAGCAAGGGTTTAATTTCTTGTCTGTTCAAGAATCTGACAAAAGCGAGATAAATAATTAGTGAATATTTATGCATCAACCTTTATTTACATCTTCTGTGCCTTAGTATTATGCACCGCATGGGTTTAATTTCCCAGCTATTGTTTTTGATATGTGAAGGAGATATATTTGTTTAGCTTTATTTGCATACTGCTTGAACTCACAGTGAACAATGTACAATTATGGTAAGAGTATTTTAAGTAAAATGAAATGATTGATTTCTTGCTGAACTTTTACTCTTTCCTGTAAAAATTGAATTTGGTGTTGAATCAAAATTTTAACTCTTTCATTCCTAAGATCTTAAAATTAATTCTCCACAATCTCCGCCTCAACTTTTTGCATGAAAAAGTATTGATGTTCCAAGCTAGGAGGAACTTCTTTTTTGTCTCTTCCTGAGGGTTTAAGGATGAGGCTAGTTAATCCAAAGTCCAAAGCTTTCTAAGCGGATGTTTGGTGCTCCTTTTTAGGAGGAAAGTTCTTAAAAGAGTAAAGTAAACTTAACATAAATTTTGTAAAGGCGGTGGTCATGGACTTTGGTCATGTTTGACGTGTACATGCAAGCTCATACTGTTGGATATCCAGTTCGTATGCAGCGGTGTCATTAATTTCTTTTTTAGCTTGATGCTCCTTTCATCCTCTCCAAAATCTTTTTTCTGAAAAAGATTTACAGTGTAAGAAAAATAAGTAGATAAAGGAGGTAGTTAAAATTCTATATCTAAAGATCGATGAACACCTTACTTGTTATTCAGCAACCAAAGGCCAGAAGGTCTGTAGTTCTCATCACTGTCGATGACTCAATTTTTCTCCTTTTAAAAAAAAATGTGCTTTTTTAAAAACTAGTTTATGGTGGTAAAAGTAGTATATTTTCATTTTTCAATGCTATTCTGAGAAGATTATTGAATAAATTTGGCTAGGAATGCTTTGGAAGAGCCTCAAATGAGATGTAGATACATTAGTTGGAAAAAATCCAGGAGTCGAAAGCTTCCATCCTATCTTTGTTGGCTCTTCACTCCTGTGGCTCTGAGTTAGTCAACCACAGTTTCTTACATTGCCAAGACTTAGTTAGTGGCTGTCTGTTTCGGCTACTTGCATAAAGTCTGTATATAATTGAAGCCTCACAAACAATTACAGTACGTATTTCTTCTTTTCCTTTCATTTTGAGAAGATATTGATACCAAGCATGAAACCTTTGGCAGAACTTTGTACCTAGACATATTAATTACAGAACATTTTCAATATCACTGTCTGTTTTTATGGGATTAGGGTTCATATGAATATTCTCCAGACCACAGATGGTTTTCATTTCATATTTATTACAGGATATAGGCAGTTATCCCAATTAAAAATGTTTTTTTTTGGATAACTGGAATAGACATTCATGTGGTATATTGTTCTTTAATACTTGACATCTTTTTGTGTTTAGTTTTGCTGCGAATTTATATCTCATTTAAGTCTAATTAATATGTTTATAGAAAATAATTTTCAAGGGCCATGTCTGGGTTTATAGACAGTCACATGTCCATCTTGTTGAATTAATTTTTGCAGAATTTTCAAGAACAGGAAATTAAAAAAGTTATGATCACATTAGAGAATTTTCACAATTTAAAGACTCCTCTTATTATTTAATCCAGAGAGTTTTTGTCCTCAAAAGTAACTATGGGCAAGTAATCAATGCTAAGTAAAACCACACTGATGTTAGCAACACCTCCCTGTTGCCTTTAGATGCATGTCTTTACTTAATTTACAACTGGGACTTTTTTTGGTCACCATGGCAATGAGAAAATAATTTCACCACCAAATTTGCAGCATAAGTTAACAATGATGACCTGTCCTCAGTGGTCGATTAGCAACATGCTATGTCTTCAGAACTTGGTTTTATGGTCTGAAGTCAAAGTGAAAGAAGCATTTTCATGAAATGTTACTCATGTTCTGTGGTTTCTTCAGATAAAAGCTTGCCTCTTTCACCTTGGTTACCACAGTATTGCATCTTGAGATATTGTGTGCAAAATCTTAAAAAAATGAATTCCATCCATAAAGCTGACACTTCTATTTACTTCAAAGACATGCGACATGATTAACAGTTAAGTGAGTAATGTAATTTTGCCGAAAGAGTCTTTCCTTATCTGGCAACCAAAAGGTTACCCTGGGAAACCATGCTATTGTTTTAAGGTTGTCAAATAACAACTTTGTAAGAATGTGGAGTTAGGAATCCTGATTTATTTTTTCATTTCTACTAGGTTGATCAAAAAATAATTGCTACTGAAATTGACATCCTCTTACACCTGAAACAACACTGCAATATTGTAAGTACATTGTACCTTGTGCTTAATTATTAATAAGAAATACATTTATCTCTCATATAAATTCATCAAAATTATGAGTATTTAAGAAATCATTCACCATTCCACTTTTGTTAGATAAAGTTACATGAGATGTTTGAGACGCCAACACATATTTACATGGTCCTTGAGCTTGTGACTGGAGGTGAACTGTTTGAAAGGTGAGCACTGTCAGTACACAGAGCTCTCACGCAATGATTTTGAGACTCATGCTAACAAATTTAATCCTGTATGCTCTCACTCTAAAGCTTTATTTCCTCATGCAGTTAAGGTTTCTGATTTAAACTGTTGATTTTGAGAAAGAAAACTGCTACTTTAGAGAAATCCCTAGTAAATTAATCATCCTGCTGTGTACCATTTATCTTATGAACTCCTTGTTCCTTTTGTACTCCTTCAAACACTTTCCTATGGTGGAAATTCTTGCTCAGAATATAGGAATGCATGACTTTGCTATTTCATTTTTCTGCAATTTTCCTGGGGAGCATGCCCCCATACCCCCATACCCACATATTCCCTTATATTCCCCTAAGGAAGTGATGCTCCCTTCATCACGCTTGAGGGCTGCATGGTCGAAAATCTCCCTGCTAGTGATAAAACACTTAAACAGCCTAAAATGTGCATCAAGTACTTTGATTTGCTGTGCAATTAACATGGTCCCATTTTGGTGAGAGAGATGGAGGCATTAGTGCAACTTTTTGTGATCTGTCATTATTGCCACGGTCATTTCAATGTCAAATCTCAGTGATTTGTGGCTAATCCTGAGTGCTTTTCATGACTGCTACAAGGCCATCACCAGCCACTTAGTCTCCTGAAAGACTGGTGGGTTTGTGAGTATCTTGAAGTATTGGGCAGCAGCTCAGCAGCAAAACAAAACGGATGCAAAACCACCATCTACACATACTTGCCACTAGGGTTGATGAAAAGGTGTTATTATCCATCGTTACGAAGAATCTCAAGCACAGAATAATTAAGATAGTAAATTTTGAGCCTAGTTGTCATTAATAAAGAAAAAATATGCCATTCATTTTGCCTCGCGGGAGTGGGACAAAGAAGAAAATATGGGCAACCTGATGATCCTGTTCCACACTGGCTCACTACCTTGGTCTTTCCTGGGTTGTTGCCAAACAATTTTATTTTCTTGATTTCCATGTTTCTTGATTTTCTGTTTCTTGATTTTCTGTTTCTTTCATAGACCTTGGGTGAGTTGTTTGCATTTCCATTCCCTTTGCACCCCAAAGGGGTAACAAAGTATTTTTCCTTCTTCTTATGGTTCTTCTTTAATTTTCTCTAATTTGTGTTTTGTTTACAGAATTGTGGAAAGGGGTTATTATTCAGAAAAAGATGCAGCTGATGCAGTCAGACAAATATGTTGTGCCTTAGAAGTAAGTGTAGAAGAATGTAACGATTTTATAGTTTTCTTTGTTTTTTAATTGAGTGTCATTAAGAAATCTGAAATTGTAGCTCCTTATTATTTGTTTAGTCTGTGGCTGTTTAGAAGACTCACATCATTCTCTCTGCTAATAGGAAGCAAAACTGAAACCAGTTGGGATTAGGTGGCTTGTTTTTATTTTTAGTTCTCATTGGCTTTACCTGGATGTTCCCTTGTTTTGATGAAGCACTGTTATTTGGGTTGAGTTTTGCAGTATTCCATCAAAAAGTGCACCATGTGCAGTCATGGAAATTTATTGCAGCTTTAATTTCAGAAAATAATGTTACTGTGTTTACAAGACTTGATAAATATTGATCAAAGATATTGAATTTTCTTTTGTATGCATTGCATTTCAGGTTATTCACAGTCACAATATCATTCACAGAGATCTTAAGGTAACAAAAGAATTAAAATCTTCTGGTCCTTTTTAGTTACTTGTTCTACAATAGATTGATTGTAACAAATACCTTGGGAAAGTGTTGAACTTTATGTGTACATGTACATTTATTTATAAACATGTGTTATGAAAATATGTTAGTTATTTTCAAATCATTGAAACACTTTTTTTCTAACCTCCTGTAGGTCTATCTTTAATACTCATAAACTGACAAACACTTGTATGTTTTTAAGCAATTGAGTTCTATACTTCTGCCATTTACCATGCTTATTAGATGTACTTCTTTTTGTGTTAAGCCAGAAAATCTCTTGTACGCTGACAAAAGTGAAACTTCAGACTTGAAAATTGCGGATTTTGGGTTGTCAAAGATGCTTTATGGTGAACAGTGCAATACAGCTACAGTGTGTGGAACCCCTGGATACTGTGGTTAGTAAACAGGTTGATCTTAAGACTGTTTGATATTTCTTATTGTTAAGTCTGCTTGCTGAAGACAAATTTTTATTCTAATCCAGAGACTGATTCACCTTACTGAACACTTTATTTGTCCTCCTTCCTCTGAAACTTGTATTCAAACCATGTTTGTTCATGTTCACAAAACTAACGTTCTCCTTGGAGTTGGGGGGAGAAGGGGGGGTTGGTGCATCTACCCCTTAAATTTTAAATTTTGGAACATAAATCTTACATCGAGAATCAACAGGGTCTTGGGTTACATTATCTGCCAACACAGCAATAACCAGTGTATCAATGATTCTTGATATCCTGCAGCAACCTTATCCAATGATTGTAAATTTTACTTGCTGAAAACTATTGATTATAGGTATGATTGTACTCCCATTTGTAGAAAATTCTTTGTTTGTAGATGATGCAATGAAACTGTGCTAGCCAGGGTGGTAGCTAAGAAAGTAGCTGCTGGTGGAAATTCCAAGGATAGCATTTGATATCAAATGTAAATGTGTACCTCAGAAGTTCTTGTTGTGCTGAATCAAAAAAGCAGCCTGTGATTGATTCCTTGAAACTATCTGCCCAAGAACTAAACATGTTGACTTGTAGGAAGTTACTTTTAGTAAATGTGTATTTCTCAATTTTTCTTCAGCTCCTGAAGTTCTTATGGGCAAACAATATGACACTAAAGTGGACATGTGGGCTGTTGGTGTTATTGCTTATATACTGTGAGTAATGCACAATCTTTTCCCAAAAAACTTGTCACCACCCATTCTATTGGTGAAAAAAGTAATTTAGATTTGACATTTAGTTTCCATTAAGTAAGAAGAACATTAATGAAAACATGATGAATTACAGAAGAAAAAAGCAGGCAGAGAGGAATACTCCCTTTGAAAATAATGGAATGTATTGAAGTATGATGCAAGGAGTGATTAACAATTGAATGTTAATTTTTATCGTGTATCTTTATTTCACCCATGGGTTACTGCTTGGCTGCTGAGGGACTGGGTAAGAAAGTTATTCAAGCTATAGGCAAGCACCTTCTATACGTTTACCTGCAGATATATGTAACCCAGAGCTTAATTATCCTAGTTTCCTAAGCATGGTGCAAGAAGGGGTACCACTACTCTTCCTTTGATTGGATATTAGTCCATTGCAACATTACCACCTCAGCGTTTCATCAGGCTTCCCTGGCAATTTGCTGATACCCGTTTATACTCCTGCGTATAAAAGTAAAATGTCGTGCCCAAGAACACGACACATTGACCTGGCCAGGTGTTGAATCCTGACCTGCTGACCAGGAGGCCAGAGTGTTAACCATGAATTAAAATATTTCTCACTTATAGTAGCTGTTTTGTAGGTTCTTTGATTTTGAATTGTTAAACATGAACTAGATTTGTGAATTGTTCACTCCTGAAGGTTGTGTGGTTTTGAGCCTTTTTACGATGAACGAGGTGATCAAGCTATGTTTCAAAGGATCTTAAAATGTGATTATGAATTTGTTACTCCATGGTGGGATGAAGTTTCAGAAAATGCAAAGGTTGGTTTAGTGTAATACTTTTGAATTTTTTTTAAAGAAGCGTAATTAAAAAACGGATTTATATAACGGATCATTCTGAAGTTAATTGCTGTACTTTGTCTTCATAAAAGTTGTTACTGGCTATCTGTCTGTGGAAAACAAGAGTAGAAAAATGTTCACGGAATTTACCCATCCAATATTAAGACCGGAAAAGAATCCCCTAATAACGCCTTTTTGCAAGATTACAAACCATTACTTGCTTACCTTTGCCTTTCTACAGGATCTTGTCAGCAGGTTGATAGTTTTGGACCCCAGTAAGAGGTTGACAGCAAGACAATGCTTAGAACATTCTTGGGTACAGGTAAGCTCGTAGTAGTGGATTAGAACGGCGTATATGACGACGAGAAAACGGCATAGCTGTGGATAGGTAGAGTGGGGAATGGAGATAGTTTGGTACTTCTTGCCTAAGCCACCCCCATTATAGGATCCGAATCAAGCAAGTTTTACAAGTCATTGTGTAAAGCTTGGCTTTTGCCTGGTTTCTTTCAAACCTTTATTTTTATTATTGTTTCGAGAACTACAATATTTCTAAGTTTCACTTTGTTCGATTCCTGTCTTGTTCAAAACTTCAAATTGACCGTTCTACGTAGTTGCGTGACCCCGTAACCATGCAGATGTGTCACGCAAGTTATGGCCATGTCAATCAATAAATCAAGCCTTCAATCAATCTTTTAATTACGCTCTTCAGATTTAACAAATGAGAAAAAAAGAAGAGAAAACACAACCGTTTAGAGATAGCGAATGCTAGTCAAGCTACATGTAAGTGGCTGTGGAAGGCTCATCGATAGAAGCAAAATTACAGTTGTGTTGTAGTGGTGTCTCAAACCTTTTACTTTGGTTGTGTCCTTCCTAGGGCAAGGGTGCTAAACGTGACAAAATGGACCAGACGTTCTTCGACAAATTGAACGAATTTAATGCCAGACGAAAGCTGAAAGGAGGAATGATCGGCGTAATGGCATTAACTAGTGCATTCAAATCGAAGTAATAGGTCTTGCTTCTGGGAAGCTGTACTTGGAACCTAACGGTCGTGAAACATATATCTTTACTTAATGCTCCATAGTTACGACGAACAGTTTTGCGAAGGAAATAGTTCAGGCACCTCTCAGTTTTGTGAAAGCATGTGTAAGCGTTGCTGCATATATCTGGAATTTTTTGTTTTTCGTAGTCTTTATAAGATGTTTTTTTTTTCTTTTTTTATCCCGACTGAATTTTGTTTGCCATTCAGTAACATAAATTCAAATCTAAAATGAACTTTTCAAAATAATATAACTGACACTACCAAAAAGACAAGGATTACAGGCAAAAGTACCTGCAGGTTAGAAAATCGCTGTTTATATACTTCAATTTACTGTTCAATATAATTATTCCCTTTAGTCAGAGTCTATTTGAATCTCTTACATGGTTTCTGTGACGTTCTGTAACCGAAACACATGGAGATACACAAATCTAAAGCTCATTGAATGAAATCAAACAAACTTGATATGATTGCTTTATTAAACGTTCTTTCAGTTTAACTAACATTAAATTGGTCGCTGAAAGATTCTTCTATATAAATCTCCAGTTTCGTGTTCGTGTCGTTTTCTCAGTCTGGAAGTTTCGTGCGCGCAAAATTGGGTCACTGAGCTGTGTTACGGGCGAAACAGTTCACTCTCACAGTTCCCCTCCCTACACAGGAGAATATAGGTACCAGCAAGCAGTCGTGACAACCTGACGAAATGTGTAGGTAGGAAAGGGGATGGGGGGGAAGAGACTCGCCAGCGCCGTGCGCTTAGTTAAGGAGACTGGGTATAAATTAAGCTAGGGATTGGGGTGAGAGATCGACTATCATTTCCTCAGCTTTGGAACGAAGAAAACTTAAAAAGGACACTGTGAAAACTGTGCTTCGGTCTCCAAGCTTTCAACCCTGGTAGAAGTTAGTTGACGAGAATTCCATCTTGACAAACATAAAGACAAGCTAAACCAAAAAAACGACGGAACGGTAAGCTTGCATATTTCGCCATGATGGGCGCGCGAAAAGCAAGAAGCATTGTTGAAAAGAAAGGAGAGTCGGGGGGGAAGAAATGTCCAAGATTTTTAAAGATGTCAAACATTCTCTTTTGCTTTTATATACAAATACATACGGGGAGCATATCTTGGTATAGTTATAAATAGAGGTACAGTTACCTATCCCACTGTTTCATGATGGATATTCTAGTTTGCCAAAAAATAAAAAAAAAATAACTTGTCGTTCTAATACCTAACAATTGTTTTGTGGCCTTACCTGAGCCTTACTGAAAATCTTAATACGGTTCTAAGCTAACTGTACTAGAATACTTATCATTCAAATTGATATGGTGGCTTCATGCTTATAAATCAAGGCTTTCTTCCTCGCTACTCGCGTGAATTTCTAACCTCGAGGTGAGGCCTTCCTCGCTACTCGCGCGAATTTCTAACTCGGAGTACGAGTCCGTTTCTCCATTGCCTGAGAGCATGTGAACTATCACGTGAACACCAATTGAATGCTGGAACTTGAGAGCAAAGTTCCCATGTGATCAGCATTGCCTTGTCATAGTCTTGTCCAGTGACACAATAGTCGACACTTGATGAGTTATTTCAACAGGTCCACGGCAAAGGCTACTCTCTTCGTAACAATAAATTGTACTCGCTTAAAATATAATTGAACTATCAAGACCTCTCCAAAGATTTTATCCAGTGTTTGTCTTAATCCAAGCAGGTTAGAGTTCTTCTAATATAGCGGATCTATAAGAAAACACATATAAAGCTGAAAAATATTTTGGAGAAATGGTATAACAACTTGTGGAATGATAAGGAAATATTTACATAGACACATCAACAAGAGCAGAATGAAAAAAATAAGCAAAAAAAAATACTCAGGACTCAACAGCTTTATTTTAATTACACGAACAATTCATTTCCCCTTTCCACAAAATTCAACATAATAGTTTCCGATTTCTCTTACCCAGACAACGTGTAGATATCGCAGACCAGATGATTTTCTCTTGTGAAAAGCACATCACGCCGAGTTTACCTCCACGAATATCAGGATCTTTTATCACACCGCTATCCATCATTAGCTTGTTGTACTTTCGCCAAATTTTTAACCTGAAGAGCAAACGAGTGAAAAAAAAAAACTTTAAAATTTAGTTCCTAAGATAGGAACGCTTGTTTGTTTCGGGAAACTGGAGATCAACGAAGGGCCAATGGTTTTTACCTCATGGTACTTTTCGACGGCATATAAACCAGTTGCCATCGGTAAGCTGTCTTATCATGCCAGCCGTGACCATTCTGTTGATCTTTCCAGAGAAGAGTCGCCTGAGAAAAGAGAAGAATATGAGATGAATCAGCCTTTACCTTAAAAATTTGTCCGGAAGAGTGACACCAAGTGTCGTTTTATGAGTGAGTGGGGGAGCAAGTTTGGTATTTAAAGGTGCTCTGAACATTTCAATGCATTACAGTGATAGAATAATGATAACGATTATAATATTGATAAAGATATTTATCATGGTGATGATCATGATAGCGACTACAATGATGATGATGATGATGATGATGATGATGATGATGATGCTGATGCTGATATGATAGTAATTATAACAGTTAGAGGAAAAGGAAAGCTCTCTGAAAACCTTCAATATATTACCCACCAAAAATGGCACTGAAAATTCTCAACGGGATGAGTAAAAAGTGTGATTATAATAAGTATGTAAATCTCTATCAGATTTATTTAGCGACTAATATCACTGTGCTACAATTCCAAATAAACCTAAGTTTAAGCTTGAAACACTCACGTGCGTAACCCTCAAATAAAACAGCAGTTAAAACTAACCTCATGTGAGACGTTTCCCGTGTGCCAAAGAACATTCCGCAGCATGCGCGACGGACCACTTATAGAGTTAATTTTCTAGAATATAAATAAATAAACAAATCATAAAAATTAGAAAAAACTAAAAATTAAAAGGATTTCAGAATTTTACCAATTGCAGTAATCAAATAACTTATATGGGATGGATATACAATACAGGGCTTTTCGACGAGGGCTTTCCTTTCTTCGCATTATATTCTAAATTTAGGACAACCACAGGAATACCACAGTCACTCGCCTTGATATTGACTGCTGACTCTGCCGTCGCTCTTATCGGTCTAGTGTCCCAGTAGATTTGCCTCTTCTGTTTCCATGAGGCCACAAAAAATTTTTTCGGACTTTGGTATCCAAAGACAATGCCTATGATGTCGTCGTCAGATTCTGTGTTCACAAAGAATGTACCACTGTATTCCACGTCACGGAATATCTGCTTTCCTGAACAAGAAATGAATCATTTTGATCAGCGGATTTTATCCTTTTCACCTAAGCAGGCTACTAAAACAGAGGCTGTCATCCAAAGAAAATAGATTGTAGTTTTTATTTCCCCAATCATACCCAAGTAGGCATTTCAAATTCTCAGTAACACGGCTATTGAAATTGGCAAAAAATGTTGCGGGGAGGAGGGGCATGACACTGCAAAAGTATGATAAAAAAATCCATTATTTCCAATTACCAATAAGCATTGTCGCGATACTGTTCACAGCTTGCTGTATTTCATTGCCCTGAAGAAAAAAAGGGTAAGACTTCAGTCAGTGCCTTAAATTCTCTCTGTATATTTCTTTTTTCATCGTTACCTGGTAAACGGGAGCAGCTGACAAACAAAACAAAAATAAACAATCTGTGGAAATTAATAAACGGGCTAACAAACCGGGCATAAAAGGCGATCACCTACAGCCGGTATATTTATCAAAATGTCAGAGACGATTTAGCAGTTACAATAAAAATCCTCAGGTGATTATCAAGGCAACAGCTTTATTTTGTGTTAATCTATCAAAAAAAATCACGCAGAGGCCATTTTTGAAAGAGGGTGCCTCAGTGTTGTATTCCCTCACCTGGGGTCAACCTCGTTTCCAGGGTCCTCTCCACCCTCGAGGAAGAGATAAGAGACTGGGAACGAGTTGAGCATGAGACGGTTATGGTAAAAACATGACGTAATTTTTGACCAAATAGATGCACGCTTCTCAATCGAGGACAATACATTGAATAATTCAAACATTCGTTTTAAATTCTCCCAGCCACAGATCCCATCTTCCTCCAGAATTTCCTTCACAAGATTATGTCATATTACCTTTTTGTTGACTTTCCAGATGGGCCTTTCTTGTTTGGTGCTTTCAGGGTCAATAGCCAGAGTGTGGTACAAAGAGAAGTCCGTTCGCGTTATTCTGGGGTTGACTGGACAGGCATCTTCTTTATCGTGCACACCATCACCATCAAAGTCTTCGATACAAGCATCGCCGTATGTATCACCTAGAAACAGAATGACAATGCAGCTCAGCATGTAGGAGCGCTGAAGTGGGGTTAATCAGGTCATTGCCTTGTGTCTTTGAGTAAGACACCTTGTTCAATTCCACACCAGAGTATAAATGTCTACCGGAAAAACCGTTCAAATATTCTCCAGCTTTTGACACAAGTGACGTCCGTTTCCAAATTCTTGGTGATTGGCTCGCTTTGCAAATACGGTGTTTTCAATGTGTACTGTAACTGCTTTAGTTTAGGTTTGATCAAAAAAGGTTTAAAAGGGACGTACATGTGATATAACTTACTTTTGGTTTGCTTTTGATCGACATTAAACACCAGTCGACAGTTGTCCCTGTAATCAGGTACCCCATCTCCATCGTCATCGCTATCGCATGGATCACCTTAGGCAGAAGCAAACGTTCAATCACTTAGTCTAGTATGTCGCATAAATTAACGAAGGACAAATGAACGAGGGACGGAGGGACGAAGTGACGGAGGTTGGAGGGGTGGGGGAGTGGAGGGGACGAGGAGACGAGGGGACGAGGGGACGAGGGGACGAGGGGACGAGGGGACGAGGGGACGAGGGGACGAGGGGACGAGGGGACGAGGGGACGAGGGGACGGGGACGAGGGACGAGGGGACGAGGGGACGAGGGACGAGGGGACGAGGGGACGGGGACGAGGGGACGGGGACGGGGGACGGGGGACGGGGGGACGGGGACGAGGGGACGAGGGGACGAGGGGACGAGGGGACGAGGGGACGAGGGGACCAGGGGACGAGGGACGAGGGGACGAGGGGACAAAAGGACAAAGAAACGAAGGAACGAAGAGACGAAGGGACAAAGGGACGAAGGATCGTTGGAACGAAGGAACGAAGCGCCTTTCCTGATAACTAATAACTAAGCCTTTTCAAAAAACACTCTGTTTTCTGGCTACACCTCCCTTTCAAACCCTCTGAAAAACTTGAGAATTGCTTTCTTACCATTTCCATCCTGATCAGCATCCAGTTGATCTGGGTTTTCCTGACTCAAACAATTATCAAACTTGTCCCCTATGCCGTCACTGTCACTGAAAGAAAGAGTATATTGAGAACTTGTTTACATTGGCCGTGATAACTTCCCTCTAAATAGATAAAAACATTGACAACAACAAAAACAATTTATAGACTTTAGATAACATCTAAAATTCCTTTAATTTAATTTAATTTCATTCATTCTCCATAACATTCTAATACAGTGTACAGAAGGGGGTTAATGAGAATAAAGAAATTTATAGAACATTGAATTGAAGTAATTCTAAATCCCATAATTGGCCATCAAACAAGTACACGTTCACTAATTGCGAGAATTGGATTTCAAATCTTGGTTAATTATACTTACTAGTCGCGATCTACGTCACAAGCATCACCCCAGCCGTCATTATCTTTGTCAATCTGGCAAAGGAATGAATTTGGTCAATCAAACAGAGAGACGCCTCAAGAGGTTAAGGAGAACATAGATGAAGAGCAAGAGTGAAAGACTGAAAAGATGAAGTAGGAGGCTGACAAAAACTGTCGAGGACAACGCATATATATATATATATACGGGGGAGGGGAAGGGGGGGAGATGAAAGAAAGAAAGGAACAACTGGCTCTGTACTGCAGGAACTTATTCCGGATTTAGCTGGGGATTCATTAGCATAAAGTTACCAGTAGTGTTTCTGAAAGAAATGTTCGCTCATCGAAGGTGACCGCTTTTCCCCCCTCAAACCAAATTCATAAATTCATCATATTGTCCTGATATTTTTGCTGGTACCCATTTCTACTTCTGGGTGCTGAATGGAGAAAGGCATTGTATAATGCTGAGAAGTATCACGCCTAACAAAATGTTCCACCCTTGCTTGGAATCCAGACCTTTCCTTTCGACTAGGAGTTGGGAAATGAACGGGAAAGTAACTAAAGAAAGAGCATAAAAAGAGATGTAAACAGGAGAAATGTATCAACTCTGACGAACAGCCTTCATACTTGATTACTATTGGGTGTGAAGGGGCAGTTGTCACACGCGTCTCCGAAAGCGTCACCATCCTTATTTGCTTGCTTTCTGTTTGGAACCGCAGGACAATTATCGAAGATATTTCTGAGGCCTACAGAGAAAGAGGAAGGTCGATTAGTGCTTTGAAATATCCTGCTTGTTTATCTGATCTCAAACTTTCGCACCCCACCCTAAACATAAGTTACGTTGGGCGGATTAAGAGATTTTTAATAGGTAGAAGTCCAAATTTAGATTCTGAAAACACAGACAGTTTTGTTTGACACAACCTTAATGGAAAAAGACATATTTCAAGATGAGTACATTTTGAGGTAAAATGCGACCATGTCGTTAAATTTTTCTTGGTTTCAGACGGGAAGTAAAAGAAAAAAAAAAAAACCAACAGGTCTGATTGGGGAAGGGGGTCGGGCACTGCTTACCATCTCCATCTATGTCAGGGTCACAAGCATCCCCTATCCCATCACCATCCGCGTCGTTTTGTTCACGGTTCGGAATGTCTGGACAGTTATCACAATCATTCCCGATCCCGTCACGATCTGTGTCTCTCTGATTTCTATTGAAAACATGCGGGCAGTTGTCCTACAAGAATAATAAATGTGTTCAATTCACTGTCTATTAGCGCGAGTGTGACAAATACTAAATGTGTTCAATCACTGTCTCTTAGCCCGAGTGTGACAAGTACTAAATGTGTTCAATTCACTGTCTCTTAGCCCGAGTGTGACAAATACTAAGTGTGTTCGATTCACAGTCTCTTAGCGCGAGTGTGATAAATATTAAATGTGTTCAATTCACTGTCTATTACCCGAGTGTGATAAAGTCAGATTACGTAAAAACTCAAAACTTAAGGACGATTTATCTTCTCCGGTGACCACGAAAACTGAGGAAGTGATGCTTTATAAAACGAGCACTGAAAAGTGGAGTAAATTAGAGCTCAGAACGGTTTGATTGGTATAAAAGACAGTGGACTCATCCTTGTAGTCAATGCAGCTTCAAAAGTCCTTAGACGGGGAAGGGACATGCATTCACTTGGCCTAACAGGGCCTGTGCTGGATAATGGGGTGTGGCTAAAAGGAATCTGGAGTCTTAAAAGATTATTATTTGAGTTTGATGGCCTCGACGGTCCCCCATTCACATACACCAAAACATCCTCACGATCGTTTGCAATTAATAGAAGATGTTGTCAGCTTCGTCAATCCTGCACTAGAGAGACTTAAAGAACTATTCCCTAACATGGACACATAACCAATTACCCTAAAATCTGCCAATCTGTCACCATCCACGTCCAATTCACACATATCTCCCACACCATTTTTGTTCACGTCTTCTTGTTCCGAATTTGGAACATTTCTACAGTTGTCCTAAAAGAATGAAATAAACGAAGATTGATTATTAATTTTTAAGGTCAAGTTTTAAAAGTGGGAATTGTTGAGCCACAAGCTTCTTTGAAGGTTATAGGTCATAATTTTCCGAATGAATAGACACATTTTCCTATAAAACGTGTCCAGGGCTTTAGACTAAGTAAACCACGACAGTCACAAGCTCCCACAGGAAACGATGGTTTAGTGTTTTCATTTTTTGCCGGAGTGGTTTTACCTTCATACAACGAGGATCTCCAGTACAGCTTAACTTCTCATCCGGAATTCCGTCCATATCCTGGTCATTACCACACACGAATCCATTTCCAGCCAGGCCAGGTTTACACTGTTAAAAGGAAGACCGATGTTAAAATTAACAGAAGTAATGAGAAGAACAATGAACATGGCCAGGTCAGCGCAGTTTCGCCCATCATACTATAAATATACCGCAACTGAGCCTGGGTGGGAGTAACCGCAAGCAAACCAAAGCAATAATTTTTCACAAAATGTGCTTTTATACTTTTTACCTGACTAACTTAAGTCTTTGGGTAAATAGCAATATACAATTAGAAACAAACAAACAAACAAACGCAACAAACGCAACAAACGATTTCTTTCCATAATTTTGCGCCGCACATGTTTTGAACCTTAACTCGTTACCAGGATTCCTCCTTCTTTTCCCTCCTTAGAAACAAAGTAAGACATGCATGGGTGAGGAAAGGACCAAAAAACTGAGAACAGGATGAGAAAAAAAATAATCACAAATAAATTTTGAGACAGTTTCTCTTACCCTGCACTCAAAAGCTGCTCCTTCCTTGGTTGGTATACATTCCGCTCCTCGGCCGCAAGGATTTGTTTTGGGATCACCTGAACAAAACTTGACGCGAACACATTCACTGTGAGGATCTCCGACATATCCATCCCGACATGCACCACAAGAATAGCTTCCCTGCAAAATGAAATTTAAGTCCATCAATTAAGAGCGTCATCTGTTAATTATCTCATACGGAGAGATAATGAAGAAAATGCGACTCTCTTACTCAGGCTATCACCCCGGAACAATGGGGCCTCCAAGCAGGGACTTACCATGAGGCAAGAAAAAGTGTCCCTCATTAAAATTACAATTTTAGAGGTTAGAAGAGAATTTCACTCTCTTATTCGTATATCTACTCATTCATCTATCTATTTATTCATTTTCCAGGTTAGATCTATCCCTGAAAGGAAAAAACAGACTTTCAGTTCATCACTGTTTTGCTGGTGATAATGGTAATAACAATAATTATTATATCTCTCAATTAGCATGTGCGCTATGATTGGTCAATTTAGCGGGCCTTGCTGCTAATTTTAAAAGTTAGCTTAAATTAAAAGCTTCCCCCCTCCCCTGCTTGAATTCAGAGATAGAAAGAATATCTTACTAGCATCGTTTTCTCGTTCGTGCAGTATGTTACGGAGCTTCGTTATTTTCCGCCCACGTGATCCGTAACATACAATAGGGACTTCGTACTCAGTTAGAAAGAAGTATTAATGATGATAATGATGATGATGGCAATAATAAAAATAATAATGGTAATGACATTGATAATGACCGTAATAATTCAGTATAGTTTAGATGATGATGGTTATGACAATGTTTGTATACTTTAGGTAATAACATGATTTCGAGTGCAATTCGTTGTAAATAAGCACAAGTAAATTTTTCAAAGGCAACAAAATTGCACGAGCCCGTGGGGCAAGTGCGATTTATAGTCTTTGAAAAAATTTACAAGTGCTTATTACACCAAATTGCAAGAGAAATCATGTGAATACTTGTTAATACTGTATATGAAAAAACATCATAGAGAGTCTCGACAGACGAAATTTTGAAAGCGAGTGCGCGCTATTTGTAATTGCACTCGTGTTACAACTTTGCACTCGTGTTATATGGGAATGCCCACGTTTTCAGCCAATCAGAGGCGCGTAATTTTTTTTTAAACGTTATCAATATTAATAACTTACTTGTGTATTAATGCATGTGGAAAAAACAGAGCAACCGCCATTTCTACCGTCATTGCATTCATCTACGTCGTGACAAAGCTGGAGGTAAAAAATTCAAAGAGGATTAACACTAAATTGTCAGCCGTAGTAAATTGGAGTTTACGAACCTTGTCGCTCGGGAATAAAATTTGCTAAAAATGGAAAATTGAGTTTACCTGTTTGATGTGTTCAGCAAAGTCCCGGCCGATGCCCACGGTAGAATTACCCAGAAATCCTTTAGGGCATGCACTGCACTTAAACCCCGGCTGGAGATTGGTGCAAGTGGCATGCGGTGAACAGGGCGAATATAAACACTGACGAGAAAACAGAACGACAAAATGAGAATGAAATTTCTTCCTCTACGGCGGGTATACTCGTAACACATCCTAGGTTAAAGCGTGCATAACAGCGAATAAAATTCTTTTTTTTCAGGCAATTGGAGGAAAGGTAGCGCTTAGCGAAAGCGAGGAGAGAGCATAGGGAAAGTCAAGCCTCTCACCTGTGAACGCAAAAAATTTAGCGCCTATTCAGCAGACTACCTGATTTTGCATCACCGCGCACCGCGCGAAAAGTCCCTAAGACATCATCTACAAGGATACGCTTAGTCGTCAAGTGATAACTGAGAAAAATCGGTCTGAAACTGACGCGCTGATTCGTTATCTTTTCCAAATAGTTTCATTTAGGCAATACACCGCACTTCCTCTCGGTTCACCGGCTTAATAACCCACGCGGGATGGAAAAACACGAGAAAAGATTGCAAATTGTAGATCACTCGCTCCAGCTCGTGATTTACAATATTTTAACCTTTTCTCCCGATATCCTGCGTGGGTAATTACACCGGTAAACCGAGATAAATTTTAAAAAGTCTATGCCTGAAGTGATTTTAACTTTACTAATAAACGATAGGTTTAACATCTCAGTTATTTTATAAATACTTCCGGTATCAGCTGAGAACATGAACCTTTTTCGGCTTAACTGAAATTGTGTAATAACCTGGTTGAATGTTAGCTCAGGCAAGGAGAGTTGTGGTGTAACGTTAAACAAATAATAACCACAAAGAACGAAACAAAGCGAAACGTGACAAACACACAAAATAATTTAACTCCCACTCCATCCTAATGACATAACAATGATGTGTGAGACTAGAAAAGATATCCTTACATAGCTACTTTCTTCCGAGTTATTAATCTTCTTTGAGATCTTTCATCGTTTGCTACTGTACATGTATCTATAATGATATTTTTGTGGCAGCTTTACTCGACAGGTGAAGCTAATTCAGTCTGCTCCATCAGCGATTTGATACAATAGAGAGAGAATCGAAGCGAGAAAAAGGCGCTATTATACGCTTGAAATAATTTGACATAGATCGGTTTTAAACGAAACAAGATCATTGACAAATTGGAGACAATATTTTTTTGCAAATTAACAAGAGGGTCGTTAAACCGTCACAAATTTCCATGGTAACATTTTGCTCCTAGAGTAATTCCTTAGTTATCTGCCAATTATATTTGTCATAATGTTTGCTTTGGTTAAGCTTTTAAAGGCAATTTTTAGCGCTTTAAAGGTTCAAAGAAGTTCGTCTTTAAATTCATAATACTGATACTTCGATTTTCTTTTGGCATTTCGGCGTTTTATTTGGTACCTATCACCATGAGACTTGCGTTCAAGCGAAAACTCATAATTCTACCGTTTCTAGTCTTCCTGATTGCAGTTGGGAATGTTTTCGTGTTGGTTTATCAACACCATGAAAAATCACTAGTCAAAAAAGGCAACCAAACTGTAACTGTCTTAATTCATGAAAAAGCGCCGAGTAGCTATAATTTTCTGAAAGCTCTGCGAGTAGAGATCAAAGAAACATTCAGACGATATGAAGCTAAGGAAGAAACTGTCGGTAAAACTTATCAGAAAGCTGCATTTCATAAGAAGCAAGGCAGATATAGGAGAAATTCCATCGCCTTTCCTGATTGTCAGCCCACACCGTTCCTCTTGATCGAGGTTCATACAACGCCGCAGAACTTCATGGAAAGAGAAGCCATACGTCTTAGTTGGGGGCGACCGCAAAATGCTATCAATGCAGCAAACGTAGGGGAGCAGTTAAACCCAAGGTTAGTAGAAATCCAGTAAATGCGGGGTCAGGCGAGTCGATGAAAAGATTGTAATTTGTCCGGTAGAAATCTACATGAAATTTTGGCTTAGACAACTTTTTACAAATTACTTTCAGATTCCGTGCTTTAACATTTAATTACTTTGCGTTACTTGATGAGGGTAATTTATTACAAAGTACCAGCTCATTTATAATCAATTTTCAATTTACACGAGTGCGTAAACAAAAGTTTCAATTTTTCGTTCGTGTTTCATCTAATACGCATCTTCACTAGTAATGAGTTGGTAGTTTAACATTCCCCCAGATTGCGTTGAAACTTTAATTTGAGTCTTCTTCATTTAATTGCAATATCTGTCAATATTTCGGTCATCTCGCCTCCAGTGTCTTTAGTTAAAATGAATAGATAAATTTCTTACAATTGAACAACCAAACCCTCCAAATCAACAGAATATCATATTCTCTTGGCCAAATCTGTTTTCTTTTGCTCAGACATTGTCACGTGAAGCCATTTTAGGCCCTGTACGTACAAACTCTGGATTATGGCAATCGAGGAAAAGGGCCATTCTGCATGTACCAAAAAAATATGATAACAAAATGAACAGGAGAAAATAAAAATTGTATCTGAGATTTGCTCCTGACTTTGCCTTATTTTTCCTTGTCTTTCTCTCTTTAGTTTGTGGAAAACGGTTTTCCTCATTGGACATACGCAGAATAAACGCTTAGATGAGCTGCTTGAGGTCGAGGCAAATCACCACAAAGATTTGGTATTTGGAAACTTCATCGATTCGTACCGAAATTTATCAAGAAAAATGGCTTTTGGAGTTGAATGGGCATCTAAACACTGTCAGGCAAGGTACATTTTGAAGGCAGATGAAGACTCGTTCGTCAACATACTTGAGGTTATTAAATTGCTCAAGAAATACGACCGCATGTACTCAAGAAATACTCCTCTATACGTGGGGGCTGCTCTCCTTGCTAAGGAACCCTATCGGGATAAAGAGAGCAAGTTTTATGTGTCGGAAAAAGACTATCCCCGGCCGACGTATCCCCCGTACGCAGCCGGGGCAGGCTATGTGTTTAGTGGAAATCTGCTGAAAAATCTTTCCACCGCTTTAAAAGTTGTGAAGTTATTCCCCAACGAAGACGCATGTTTCGGCGCTTTAATGCAGCACAACGGGGTCAGTTTACTAAACAATGACCGATTTATACCCTTCTCAACGGGAAAAGCTGTTTATCGTAAGGAAGGGGGATACAGCTTGTGCAGGTTTGACAGTCCTCTAGTTATTCATAGAGTGTCCGGAATACTTCAAATTCAGACTCATTTTAATGTCTTGGTTTTACGGCATGTACCGACGATTTGCCAGCACATCAAATATGGAATAGGCGAAGATGACAACTTCGTTGATGATGAGATTTGGTAAGGCAAATTGAAATTCATCGGTGAAGCGGTCATACCTTTTAAGGCTGTCTTTCCTAAGTATAGGCCAACATCTTTTCTGATTCAATCGACCTTTTTCTCGGTATTACGTTCAATGCGATGGCAAAAAAGTATGTTCATTTAAAAAAATTTGCAAGTTATTTTAAAAATATCTGCATACTTTTGTTGATTATTATCTATTTTAGATGCAACAGAAGAACCTTAAACCTAATCCACATAAAGCTGCTTCTCTAAAGATAACGAGATCTCAATTGGACAATTCGTCCTCTGTTGTACTTTTATGTATACGAAAACTTAATTAAAAAAACGTTCCACAATTTCTAGCTGCAACACTGTCCACTGCGAGAGAGAACATTAATTTCGAGATTTTGTAGCAAAATCCACAAAAAAAGAAAAGTATACAGAAAAACGTGACATTCCATAACATAGGAATGGATTTATTTGACTGGAGAAAAAGCAAAAAGCAAGCTCTCTGGGTCAACGAGAAAAGTAAATTTATTTCTGCTTTGTGATCCAAAAGAAGAAAAGCTATCCTTTGTGTTGATTTGATACATTTTTTTACGGATATGTCTTTGGACCAATCAATCGGCTTTGTAAGAATACTTTTAGGGTAATGATATTGTTTATGTTCTCGTAAATATTGTATCAGATGCAAAAATACGTTAAAAAGAAGAGAAAGAACCACTGTTATAAGTACCGCGAGCTATTCCATAAAGATTGTTGCCTCGATACGCGCTATACCAGACCCTTCTCGTGTAAACTAGCATTTACCCCATGCTCTTTCAGATTCGGGATGAAATTCTTTGAACTCCTCACAGTGACCCAAGAAACAGTAATAAAACAAATTTTAATCATGGTTCAGACAAGTTTGGTCAGAAAAAACCTAGGTGTCCCGAGTTTTCGATTCACTCAATTATGTGTCTCAAGGACAATGGCCAGGAGTTATTCAAGGTTGTTCCCGTGTTTCCTTTTGGTCTGCTTTAGTAACACACTATGAATTAATAAGGACCCGTGTAAAAGTTTAAAAGAACGAAACATTTTTGGTAGAACGCCCGAGGAGGAGACGAACTTCTTATTATATAATGCCTCCAAACAGTTTTAACCACAAAGAGATCTGCAGCTCATTTTGAATCATGTTTGAAGTTTTCCATCAGTCTGAGGCTAACATGCTAACGTTGTTGTGTTTGCTCAGCGAGTATCGAACAATAAAACGGATAAAACCCTACTTGATTGATCGTTATCAGACTTGCTATATAAACAAGGTTTCTCTTCATGTTTTCTCTTCTCATCTCGTCTTATCTCTTCTCTTCCCTTTATCCTCTCCTACCCTATTTTATCGTATCTCATCTTTGTTTATTTACCTCATCAACGTCATCACATCTCATCCCGTCCCCAGTGTATCCCGGCGGACACTCGCCACACTTGAACCCAAGCCCGTCATCAGGCGTATTCACACATTCGACAAACGGGAAACAAGGCTTCAAGGAACACTTGTCCACTGAAATATGAAACCAAAATCAAGAAAGAGAAATCAGCAAAACGTCAATCTAAACTCAACAACACTATTATGTATGAAAGGCAATCGTAGTGCAACTTAAAAAAATTCAAAGTTTTGAGGCAGATTTCCTCGTAACGAATATTAAGAATTGATCTCAAGTATAAGGATGTAAAAACCGACTCTTTTTGCTTAAGGTTTACCGAATTGGTTATCTATTTAAATTTAGTCGTTAAGCTTCATCATTACCATTTTCTCTTCCTGGCGAGAAAGCCCTTCTGGAGCAAACACCGCTTTCAAGAGTTTTCTTAATTGACGTCAGGTCGTCAGACTGAAAGACAAATGGGACAAACAGCATAACTCAAGTAAATCTAAGGTTTAACCTAAGCCACTTTGTGTTGTAAATTCCAAATCCTTGAAAGGAACGCAATTCTGTTCAATCTTGAGCTGTCCATAACTTCCCCTCTCTTCTCTTATAGAACTAAAGCTTCAAATGATAATTTAGAAATGTTCTTGGCTTACTTGGGACTGCAATCTCTCCTTCACATGCAGCAGTGATCTCTGCAGACTCTCCTCTCGTCTCTGTGCCTCTTTCTGCATATTGACCAGGACCATCATCAAATCTTGAGTGGAATACTGCAAGGAAGGCGCCCCCGGGGCTGCCAGCGATGGCGTCCTAGGCTGGCCTCGTATCTGGGGAGAGTACAAGGAACCTAACAGGAAAGAAATCTGTCAATCACGTGGATTCCTTGTGGGAGATTCAGAATTTGTCTTCGTTTCATGTTCTTGACAAAATAAATCCGTCTTCCTGCGCTCAACGACCGACCCCAAGATCTACCCTTCCTCTTATTCTTGTTACTAACATGATGCTTTTAAAATTTATGATCCTAGAGCTATGCAGGAAACGTACATGTCGCCTATGAACTCATTATATTACTGGCCTAACTCACCATAGAGCTCTCATATAAAGATTGTGGGAGAGCACCGGAGAGCGGAATCCAAAAGTCTAAGATTTTTCTCTTTGTCCCAAGTTTGAGCCAGAGAAAGCCGTTGTTATGAATTGAAAAGAACGGATATCAGCAGACATACGAAATGTGTTAGGAACGTTACTGATGTACAAATTACCAGCAGAAAAGAGTTCCCCTTCACCCTCTAACAAATCAGACGGACTGGGAGGCAGACAGCTTGTGCTGTTCATCAACTCTTCCACTTGCTTGTCAAACACAAACTTGACGTTTTGAAGGCTTCCCTTGAAAAAAGAAAAACAAATGATCGTCAGCCTTTCATTCCTTCAAGTGGAATGTGTCATTAATTCATTGAAAAATCAATCCTCAATTAATTGAGGCAGCACTGTCCTGTTCGAGAAAAAACGAAAAAAAGAGAAACTGACGCGAGGTCGTTTTTCCAAAGTACTGGTAGTTACCGAAAAGTTAGTTTGTTTGTTTTTTTTCATTCATGAACCCAAGGCTCGAATCCGAGCTTACCATTACGGATTCCAGGGCGCTAACAGTGTCTACTGCGATTGTATCTTTAGTGCTTCACGCTAAATTTGTACCCTCTCTATCATGCACTGCACCATAATTGTCCATACCTTCCAAGTTAGCATTGCACTGTCTGTCTTTCCACTTCTCCTCCCAAATAGGAACACGATATCCTGAGAAATTTTTGAGGAAGATGGGAAAAATTCCTCTATCTGCGTTAACAGCTGTCTTCGACCCCGCATCTTGCAATCCACGTACAGACCCGCAAGTGTTTTCTTGGGATGACTGTGCGGGAAAATGTGCAATGCGATTTTGTGCCATTTACCATCAGATAACGCTCCGATATGGTGAAATGAAGCCTCCCGGATTTTCAACTCTGATGTTTGGTAGGTAATGCCCAGCCGACAAGTCCGATAACAGCTTATCCATACGGAAAGTAAAGTTTTCCCTAAATAGGCAATTGAATCAGTGAGCTTATTGTCTATGAAACCTTTGGGGATATTTTTTTCTTTTACAGCACTCCCATTTATTGAAGAGAAAAAATGATGCAATAGCTACTATTTTTTCCCCTGTTTACTTTGTGGTGAAGTGAACAAGCTATTTAAAATTCCTCCTCCTCTTCTTCAATATTTCTAGATATATAACTGTAAAACTGATCTTTTTTAAAATTATTTAATTACAAAAGAAAAACAAAACAGAACAAAAACGGAAAAAACAAAACAAAAAACTCCTTGCAGAGTTACAAAAAAGACACTACTTACGTTACAGTAGATGCATTAATTACAATGATACTTCACTTACATTTCTGGTACTTACATTAAAAACACTAACACTATTTACATCACAATACCAACACTACATACAATGGTATCACAAGTTACACAGCTTTTTAAAACTTAAATTACAGGAGCTAATTTCACTAATTTTTTTTCTAAAAATTGGCTACGAATTATATTTTGGTCTCTCTTCTATTCCGTTATTTTTATTTAATAAATTCTTTTCTTTTTTATTTCTTTCGAGCGAAAACTCAGTCAAACTGAAATTTCTACCCATATAGAATCCTATGAACTCTGCCAAAATTTAATTGTTAGGGAGCATGAAGTATACAACGGACGTATTGTTTAAAAATTACTTTATTCCGTCGAATTTCCGAGCAACACGAACAACACGAAAAGCGCGCCCACTAGCTGAAGGCGATTGATAAGGTTGATGGAAGAACCAACAGAGCTAAACTGTAGATATTTAAAGCCTGTCAAATTACAAAAAAGGAATGACGATAAAAAACGTACCTGAGATCTTGGCGTCCATCGAGAAAAGTGTTCCATGTGAAAAATCTTTGACCTTCAAGTTTGCAACGACAACAATTTGTCTTTCTTTGATCAACATTCGTCTGATTGTGTCTAAGACTTGCCTCGACAATTCCATTCTAGGCAAGTGTTTTCCGATTTTGAAAGCATTACCAGTCTCTCTAATAAGGCCCTGAACTTGATTTACGCCTTCCGTGTTGGAATTGATGCCAAAAACCTCAAAAAGGTCTATCTCCGCTACAGAAATAATATAAAACATATAATTAAATAGGAGAGAGAATGAAACAGGATCTTAAAAGCTACATGCATGCGCGCAACGTAGAAGTGATAACGTTTGTAACACAAGGCACAGTAGTGTTGGGCGGTCTCTAGTGAATAAGGTTGGGCCGATACCGTTTCTCAAATTGGTACCATACCAAACACAATGATGACCTTTCTCTTCGATAACGATATCGCAACTGTGACGTCATTGAGTTCACTGATAAGACACGTGGTCTTCTTGATTAGTGCAAATACAATTTTTTTTGCACTTCATATGTTTATTATTGATGTTCAGGACTCTGTAGTAAGGTGAAAAACACAGACACAAGAACATATTATGGAAAATTTACATTTCTTGAACTGATCGTTGTTCATTTCACTCTTGCAGCATTCACACGCCACTTACATGTGACACTGTCCTCTACGCGTGACCGCGCTCTTTGCCTCCAGGAAATGACTAGAAGAACTCACGTGCGGGAGAAGACAAAGTCTGAGCAGGTCAGGTACGGTATCAGAAAGGAATCTACTCCTCTCGATAGCATCGATATTTCCCGATCTGACCACAGTTTCGGCGGTATCAAATCTTAAGCATTGGTATTGGCCCTCTCTTATTTTTTCTTGCTTTTTCTTTTCAAAAGAAGCGGCACTTGACAAACAACAACCAACACAGTAGAAATAGAAGACAACTTCCCTTTTACTGATCCAAGCGGGGTAAAATGCGTAGCGACTTATTCATGGCCCATAATATTAAAGATCATAGTTAATCGCGCACTGGTTTTTGCCTAAACTAGAAAGGAGAGCCCTACAGAATAATTTTGCTTGAACTTACCCGCTGTCGCCGGAGTCAGGGAAGTCGTTGAGACTATAGCAAATAAACAACATAAAAGTGGCTGAATAGAGAACATCCTCACTAATCAATTAGAGCAGCCAAAGAGTCTGAAAAAGAAAACAAATGAGGATTGATTGCTGTTTTAACTGGAGTAGATGAAATTTGAAAACCTTAAATTATCCTTTCTTGTCATTAGAATGTTGTCATATGCTGAGTACAATTTAACTTTATCAAATGCATACACGCATGCTTGGTTTTCGCTTAAAATCAGAACGAATCTGGTCTTAAATTCAGCTGTGTAGCAGGTAATTTTTCGCTAAATTGTCAGTCATTGTGAGGTTTCTCTCTCTCTTTTGCTGTTTTCTTTCTAACTGACGAAGGGCTAACGCTCGAAACGTCAGCTTTTTTACCGTTTACGATGGCCAATTTACGTTTTCAACTCAGTTGTTAATACTAAATTACCTGCTAAACATTCTTCTAGTTATGTAACTGCTACCTGAAAAGTTTTGATCAAAGAAGTAGTTTCCCAGTTTGGTCACTTCAGTTCCATAAGTGACTTAATTGCGATAGCGTCTAGGTTACCTCAGACTTAGTGCAGATAATGAAAAACGAAAGAGACCAAATTGAAACGAAATCCCAACAATCACGCCGTAATCACGGGGACAAACTTGGTATAACTGTGTCAAATTGCAATTGGAGATAGCTTTAAGGACAACTGAGTTGTTTTCAGATCTGACACGAGATCTCATTTTTTTTATCAAACGCATCAACCTTTTAAAACAATACGACAAGAACTCGAATGGGTCAGTGATAAACCTTCTCTTTAGGCGTAAAATCGAGAAAGGGAAGGGATCCCTCTCTTTGACAAGTGAAAGAAAATTACCATCTGAAAAATTACAAACAAAGCAGCATTCCCCCAATGGCAGGAGGAATATGGACAAAAAACCCCAGACCCCTCGCGTATGCACCTACAACCGATCGGATGCTAGATTAACGCATAAAGGCACAGGTGACTTAAGCACGATATATTGTACAAGTGTGTTTTCTTCGTTTTGTCATTACGCAACTTGATTTTTACCTGGAAAAAATAGTTGCATTTCAAGACCAAAAGACGTCAGAGATGCAACTTCATAACGAGTAATTTGGTTATCGTTTCTAAATTTGTTTTTCTTATAGGTGTCAAGAAAAAGCAGAGAATCTAAAACTCGCCTAAATCACCGCCAGGCATCGACTCAAAAACCACACCAGAGAGAAAGAAACGCTCGGTTGAAGTAAGGTCAATCTTTTTTTCAAATTCCAGACATTTTACGGTTTCCGAAACCTAAACTACTTCAAAATAAACACTTTGGCTTCAAACTCGTTTGTTTAAATTATGTATTTCTACTCATGCGATGCTATTTTTCTCAAATTCAAATTATTTTAATCCTTAAGACATCTGAACGTGTGGTTTTAGTTTATCAACAAGTATCTGTGATAGGCTAAAGGTTTTTAGCACGGGGATAATTGCTTCAAAAGTGAGCAGTGTTATCAGAAACGATTCTAAAGTTTCTTCGCATGTGTAACCTGGCCTCTTTAACTTTGACTCTTGGAGAATTTGATTTGTTAAGCCGATAAGGAATTAAGGAACTTTGATGTACACCATGTGCTGAGTCTGACTGCTTTCAAGATCATTTGGAGATCAAATCTTACGGGCCAATTAAACTTAAAGACAGAAATAAAATGACGCTTATTGCCATTGGTCGCTTCTTCCGTATAATCATTATTAATGCGCAGTGATCAGCTCCGATGAAAAAACCTGTAAGGAACGTTGAACCGATTGGTGTAATTTAGACATGTTTATAGATACAGTAACCCGTCGAAGAAGACCAGACATGAAACTGTTTTAGCTCCTTGAGTTCCCAGTACTAGCATTGTAACTAGACTAGCTTAGCCCATGGTCTTGTCATAACTTCACGCTTACCAAGTGCACGCAAATAGAAAGGGTGGCGTGTTTATTCACCTAATCGGAGCTAAATGCCTAGGATTCCACATATCATTTTCTCGTTTAGGAGTTTGACGAGTCAACGTATCTTCTCTAGCTTTGAATTTAGCATTGAAATTCTTTCCGTAAAATGACAACACACCTATTTGAAGCTTGGAATAGAGAAAAATTGCTGGAGCTGACGTGAACCCAGCTAGTCTTGAAGCGTGATTTATCATCATGATCGAGTTTTTCCTCATAAGTGAGTTCTTGCTGTTCATAAACAAGTATGGCACCTCCAATGTTTTTCTTGAAAAACTAAATTCCTTATAGATGGACAATCGATAAGTAAGTAGTGACGATATCTCTGAAAGGGTCACATTTCAGTGGAATGTCTATCACTTAGAACTGAACAAGTGAGTCAGGACCTGTCTGATGTGAGAGCTCAATTTTGCAGTAAACTTGGTATTAGGTGTTCAGTCCAACTGACTCCTCTCTTTATCAGACTAAATTCAACGACATTTGACTGCCATATGGATAATGCTGAGAATTTGTTTTCCTTCGAAATATGAGGCAAAACTCTGTTTTCAATTTAATTGGAAAGATAACACAAACGTGATCTATTTACCGTAACCAACTCCTTTCATAACAGCAGTAATAGGGATCAAAAAGCATTCAACACAGCAAAACGGCAATTATTTCTCACTTGTTACTAAAGTAGATGAAAATCATCAGTTTTCTGTTTGTCTGGCTCTGTTTTCCTGTCCTGCAAAGACAACCACGTTACATTGAAATCCAACTAAGAAATAGTTATTCTGCCCAGAGGGCGTGCTTAATTCTAACTTTTATTCTGGGAATAAAACTCCTTTGTGTAACCATTTGGTTAAACATGACGTAAAGAACTGCCGACTTAAATTAGTAGGCACAGAACCTGTGCTTCGCTTCATGACTTCAAAATAATTTGCTAGCTCGGTTGTTGAGAAGAATCATACCTACAACATGATCAGGTCAAACTTTTCATGCGCTAGAAACTATTTTGTTTGCTTACACTGTATACGACGTGGAAAGTTCTGGCCAGGCCACCGCTGAAAAAGAACCATGCACTTCATACCTGAATAATCCCTCGCCACAACTCTGAGTTTTCCTTATCTTAAGGGCATTTATGGAAACCGTGCGGTTATCTACTGCATCTTAATATCTCTATCAACGTCAATTAAAGTAACTGCCTTGAAGGACTGAATCGTGTAGCAATACGTATTTCTTGATTAGCTGGAAAGAGTTATCATGTACAAACTATTGTATGCAGTACTTTTGCCATCTGATTGATTTTGTTTTTCCTTTTGTGTTAGGCTTAATAACGACAAATGAATAAATATTTTCTTTTCAGTAGCCCTCAAAGCTTTTTCTCCTAACCTTTGGTTTTACAATGGCTCCCTGCGCCAATCACGCATATTATTTGCCTTCAGGCAATGCTATGAGACCGTGGGATGTTGATATTTTTCATTAGGTCGAAAAGAATATTTATTAACGCCCTCAAAATAACCCTAATTATATTCTATTCAAATCATTACCGACTTACAAGACTCATTTCTTTTCTCTCCCACGTCATTTTGTCAGCTCGCTTTTTTAATCTTACGTTTGCACTTTGATAGTAAACCCTAAAATATTCTCGAGAAAGGTCTCTATATCATCCCACAGGTGATATCCATAAGTAATGAAAAGTTTAGAACATTGCAACCACTTCCTTACAGAGAGCGTTTTCTACAAGCTTGTGACTTGTTAAGCAGACACCACCAGGCTTAACAGGAGATGTAAACACGAGCTTACAACGAAAGACCACCAAGTAAAACTGAGCCCTTGTTTAAAGGAAAAGCTTCCAGAAGAAACGAACTTGTCATAAGTGTGTTGACATAACCTGTCAACCGGAAATGAAGTCTGAACCCTCCAAAAAAGTCACATCCTTTATCACTTAGTTCTTGGAGATACAGCCACATTGTGAGCCGAGATGATATAAAAATTCTCACGGCTTGATTTAGTTTGAAAGTCGCCTCACACACACACACACAAATGGTGATTTTTATTGCAGCTTTGATGAGACAATGGTGATTTCAAAAAATGTTTACCTTCAGCTCATTAAGGCTCGTTTGTGAAAATTGACGGCAGCTGTTGTGTATGACGTTAATTGAGTAAAAACTGAGAAAGCATTACT